CAGGTCAATGTTTTAAACACTCTGACCAACACCTCAGCCAGGGTATTATATTTGGCATGTCATACTCAGCTATGAAAAATTCCTATTTACATAGTATTTGAACTTTTCCTACTTGTCGATGACTGCTTGTATAAAGCCGTGTTCAGAGTAAATATGCCAACACCGGTCATAAACAGGAAGAATATTTATTAAAATATTGTCTGAAACATTACTGAGCTAACTTATGTGGAAAAAAATGCAGCATGTATGGATAACCAACAATTTTATTATTGTTTTTCTTCCAATTTTTTTTTCCGATTAGCAGTATTTCAAGTCTAACCACATTAAGGTGCTGAGCTGCCTGTTTGTGTGCGATTCAGTTTCTGATTCTGATATTGTGCTACTGTATAAGGAATGAATATTAGTTTAATTCTAGAGAAAAATTTGTAACTTTATAATTATTTAGAAAATAATTATTGGTCATCATGGACGAGATAGCATTTATGGTGAGTTTTCAAATATAATATTTGTGTATTACCAAGTATTGCTGTGAGATGACCAGCCAAAATGCGTAGTTCGCGAAACTTTGGACCTTACTTTGTGACTATATTTAGGTAAAAAATTGTATGCTTGAAAAAATAGGTTGCAAATCATTGACTCAACTTTTGCTGTTAGATCTTTTTACATTGCAGTAAATTTCTTCTTCAATGATATATTTTTTTATCCAGAAACAATAAATACATAAATCATATTCAAAACAAAATTGTGTATTCATTCAATAGAGTAAGGTCATCAAACATTTGTTTCTTTATTATCATTCTTTACTTGCAATCTAAATAATCTAAAATGCCTTGTAAATACTATCAAACCAACACAATTCCACATCTCGACGATACTTGTTAGATTATATTGTTGCGTCACAGTTCGTGCTATACATTTGTCAATCGGCCAAAATAATTTTAAAATGCAAATGTTAATGAACTTGTGTGGCTTGACCAATGTGGCATCACGATTTATAAAAACTTCGAACATGCACAACGGCACGAATGAATTTCCAAGTCACATTTTATGAGTTTCGTAGATAATTAATTGAATATTATTGGAATTTAATTCCTCATTATGGCATATGGAGCATTCTCACGATTGATCTTGGGGTATTCATATCTGAATAGCTAGACGTGCTATGATTATATCTTCCACTCAATTTGAAATTATTTGGTTTTGTACATTTATGAGTAATTGAATATTACTTAGAATCACTCTTTTTATTATGCCATATGAAGTTTTCCTAGGGCTTATCTAGCGATTTTGATATTTGAATAGTTAAGTATTCTATAGTTCTATTTTGCAAATAATGTCCCATCATTTCATCCTAATTCATCAAGCTGTTTCTTTCATAACTCTGAACAAGATTCTGGATGAGCATGTCGATAGAGCTCAAAGTTGACATATTTGTCAATATTTTTTTTCTCGTAGAATTTTCCAATTTTAGTTCCCAACTCGTGTTTCATTTGTTTATGCTAAGATACTTTCATAATTGTTTGATGTCATCTGCTGCTGAAAAGTGGTGTCGCCTACTCAATGACTTTGATATTATTTTTGCGGCCCTTTGTCCATTACAGTTGAAAATTGTAGGTTTTTTTTCGATGAATTAATTTTTATCTTATTCTAATGTGGACAATGTTTGTTGCACGACGAAAATGAATATCTGAATCTAATGATAAGTAAGGAACTAGTAATTGTGGGATATCTTGGTTTGAGGTACCTGACTCTTAGATTTTAATCCTGCGATGCTGGCACATACTTAGGTTCAGTGCTGAAACCACTAGACATCACACCCACGTTTCCTGTGTAGCAATAGCAGTTGTATACACAACATGATATGTCAATTCACCAGTTATCAATAAAAAGGCTGGTTTCAGTAGAACCAGTTGAATTCTTGAAACCAATTCAGTTGCTATTACTATGTTGATATGTAAAGGGGTGGATAGCTTTGTGTCAGCCCCCCCTATCATAAATCCCAATTTTTTGAATAATACAGGAGGGAGGGCATATAACACTGAATTAGCTAACCAACTTTCCTCTCCTCATGGCATAAATATGAACTTCTTGCATAATGCAGATGGGCATAATAAGTAACATTGTAACAGCTTTAGCTCAAATTTAAAATTTTGATAATACGGTTATGTTCGGTTGGTAACATTCTATCAGCTATGCTCCGCCTTGACATTAATATGATGAAATACTTGAAATTTGAATGGCTCCCTCCCAATTTAGCTGCGATTCTAATTACGCATAGTAATATATTCAATGTGCGTCAATTAACCTCCAATCATCCCTTGAGAATTGACAGACATGGAATGCCAAAGTTTGGTATTTTAATTAATTATGTTTTTCGATAATATACTTGTTAGAAATAGGATTCCAGAATTGGTAATAAAAGTATTAATGTAATATAATGTAACTGTCTGAGTAGTTAAACTAGAAAGAACACAACTCCTCCAAATAATACTCGTTTCTTACATGTTGGTAAATATCAGAAACTGCTCATTCAGGGCCTTGTTTTGAGCAATGTGCATGATTGAAGCGATAGGCGTGATCATGTAAAGCTGTTTTATCTACAATTCTATTATAAAATATACAATTCATGGACAGTGTAACATGCTAAGCTTTCGTTGCACCTTTAAACAAAGCAAAAGATGCCAAAAGTTTCTTATAGATTCAGATTCGGTTATTTATTTTCGTCATGCAAAACCAATCTATGATAACTATGCAGTAGACAAGCGGACGCGAAAGACTCAAAGAGTCATCTAGTCCAGGGGTGTCAAACTCGTGGGCGTTCCAGGGCCGCATTGCATTTTCAGAATTGTGAAAAGAGCCACAAACAGTTTTTGATATGTTTTGATAATGTATACTTGAAGCATATTTTTAGATAGGTGTAGTTTGTGACATATATTGGGATGTAATCAAACAGTTGAATGAAGTTGTTATTTTCTTAAATTTTAAATGCCATTTACATATTAGTTTGCAATTTACTGTAGTTATTGCAAAAAATCATAAATTTTCATGTACAACTACCAAAAAAATATTTTTGAACAAATGAAACATTTGATAAGGAAACAATAATACTTAAACTAAAAATGACTTAATTTAAATATATAGACCTAAAATTTACAAAAATACTACAGACAATGTTTTTTTATTACATATGTCCTTACTAATATCAGGCTGAAATGATTTTACATTACCGACTCTAATTAACGAGGTCACGTGATCATCGGTTCATTTGGATCGTTGAGAATATTTGATTAGGTTCAGTAGGCCTAATGCAAAAATATTATGTTTATTATTTCATGTATAGATGTGTGCATGTGCCTTAGAATTTTGAGAAATGCAGAGTTATTGCAACTCCCTTTTTTTTTCAAAAATGCCATCTTCTTCATGTACTTTGCGTTTTATTTAATCCCTGAAGTGTTTCACAATTATTCTTTTGCTGGCTTTGAGGTGTATCCATAATCGGTCCAAATTGAAAACAAAAAAAATTCAATTTTCCAAATTACTTTTAGCAACTTCACTTCGAAAGATGTAAAAAAACGTATTAAATTTAGAAAAAAAAAACTCACAAAACAACACAATTATTGTTGAGTGTTTGCGGGCCGCATTGGAAGTTCTCTGGGGCCGCATGCGGCCCGCGGGCCGCAAGTTTGACACCCCTGATCTAGTCAACGACACCTAGTAGGTTGTAGCTGCATTAAAGTGGCAAATATAGCAACCGAACAACTCATTATTAAACATTTACTAAATTCGACACAATTATATAAAAAGGGACAACAAATATATAATAAAAAAAGTCTTGGTACACACTCAAACAACAGCATTTCTGTATGTCCAAATAGGTAGTACAGAATACAGATATATCTGAATTATTCATTATTGTTCCTGTCGCACCAAAGTTCTGCAATTCTGAATATTTGATTCCTCTCCAAATTTGAAGCTTTATTTTGACAGCAGTATCCGTGTAACATGACTGGATATGTATCACACTATGATCATTTATTGTGGCCCAACCCTGATCCAGCGTAATAATTTTATTCCCGTGGGATTCGGTTATCTTAAACGGCTGTTGTTTTGTTTTGTGAGTTCGTTGTTGGCTGCAAGGGTGGCAGGCAAGTGGTTAGTTTCATTTCTAAGTACTAGTTTCAGCTGAAAAAGTGTTTGTGTGTAACCTGTCTATTGAAAAATAATTTGAATTTATATACATTACAGTCTGTGGTTGCTTGTAATTATCCTATTAGCGCTCTTTTCAAGTTTAAGCTAAATTTTCTCATGGTCTTGCTCTGTGCTTGACTTTGGAAAGTAAAAGAAATTGTATGTGTGAGTGGGTGATTGCACATGGCCCTGTTCCGAGTGAAACTGTAAAAACGTATAAAAAGAAGTGAAATTCTATTGCATTGCAATGTCAAAGTTCTTTCAATCACTGACGAATTTCCTTGGTTTTACACCGGTTAGTTTAAATACTCTGCTACAATAAAATATGTTGCTATAATAGGAGGCAATGACAGCAAGTAAAGCATCTTTGTGAATGTGGAACATAATGAATCCTTCCCCTATATATCCTTGCATACAAGCCGAGTTGAAACTCAAAAAAAAGTTGTCAAACTAAGGGGCCGACGCGCATAACTATGAGACACTTCTTACCGTTATTAATAAAAGTAAAACATAACCATTGCCATTAATTCTCTTCTGCAACCATTTGCTGTAATTGGTGCATACAGAGTGTTACGATATGTAAGATTGGTTTCAATTTATTTTTTTGCGTTCTTGGTTCTTCCCTGATTCTGTGAACAGTAGCCAATCAAATATATTGATGTTGGAAACATATATTTTTATCTGTTTGTGAAGCCAAATATATTTGATAAGTATTCGCTAGTCTTGTTGCGTTACTATTGGAGGCATTTGGTTTTGACTTTGACTCTAGTTTCTCCAAACAACAAGTAAACTAAAGGCTTCTTCCATTTCAGCGCGGTGATCGTCTCTCAATACAAACAATGGAAAGTGCGTTGACGGCTCGAGATCGGGTCGGGGTTCAAGATTTTGTTTTGCTGGAAAACTACACGAGTGAGAATGCATTCATCGAGAATTTGAGAAAAAGATTTTCTGAGAAGTTGATCTATGTGAGTTTATTAATCCTTTTGGTTAGGCCATAATTTAATTTCGATTTTTTATATTTTAGTTCTATTACGAGTTCGGGGACTGTCTGTGCTAGCCAAGTGAATATACCCCTGCCCATAGGTTTCATTCCCTTGATGGAAAGTAGGCGAACAAAATTAGTTATATCCATATTGGTACATACACTTCTGCAGCGCCCTTTTTAATATATATGGCTTCAAACAGGGACCTGGGCTCTGATTTTTCATAGCGTACCCAATTATACGATATTGATATACATCGATGGTTTTCAACCTTTATTTGGCGGAGCGGAACTCTAGTGATACATGTCAGATGCATGGGGAACCCTTGTGCAATAGTTCAATTGTCTTAAATCTTACGACATCTGCATTCTGAATCCCTACTACGCTTAAAGCAGATTACATCGTTAGATTGTTGAAATAAGGAAATTTCAGCTATTGCTAACTAGCTACTTTCAGATTGTTATAATTTTCAGATTGTTATAATTTTTCAATCTTATTATTTTTTCAGACCTACATTGGCTCAGTACTGGTGTCAGTTAACCCTTATCGCCCATTGAACATCTACACTCCCTATCACCAGGAGAAATATCAAGGGGTTAACTTCTATGAAATGCCTCCCCATGTGTAAGTTGATATTTAATCTTATTAGCTATGTGGATGGGTTAATAAACATTCAAAATCAAATTCCAGTTGAATTAGTAGTTTTCAAGGGCTTTTGCTCACGGCAAGGTCACACCCACTCACTCAGATACAAAAGAGATGGATCTCATAGTGACTGCTGAAGTGCCATAAGCTTCTCAAATTTCATAGAATTACACTTTGATAATTGTGGATTGAAGCAGTTCAAGTTTATAGATCAAGAAGACATTTATGGTGTTTACAGATTATTCCTGTGTATGCTCAACCAGGGGAGTAGCCAGAGGGTGGGGGTTTGAGGGTCGTAACCCTTCTGTTTAAAACATGAAAAGAAGATAGCTGTTGGGTCTAACATGGCAACCGTCTCTTTGAAAATATCTGGCTACTCCCCTGTACTCAACATACTGGTAACTGAATGAGTTGCAGCCTTCAACACTTTCGTGATGTCAAAATATTATTTGATGTTTTAAATATATTTAGGGTAACCATCTAAAACGATTAACATTATTTTAGTCTTTGTATTGCCTTTATTGCCTCTTGTTTTGTTACCAGTCCATGTCGGGCATGCGATTAGTTAGCCCGGTATTTGTTTTTGGAAGCATGGCCATGGTTAAATGTAAAAGTTCTGTTCTAAATTTACTCAAACTCTCATCCACAGATACGCCATCTCTGACAATGCTTATCGCTCGATGCGAAACGAGTACCGTGACCAATGTATCCTTATTTCTGGAGAATCGGGTTCGGGCAAGACAGAAGCATCAAAGTACATCCTGCAGTATCTGAGCATCTGTAGTTCTAACAATGAGAAGGTTGAATATATCAAGAGTAGACTGCTGCAGTCTAACCCTGTTTTGGAGGTAAGATGTAGATTTTATGCTTAGATCAGTAAATGTTTGTTTAGTGCCTTGTTCAGAATTGATAACGAATTAAAAGTGAAATATCATCTCCAAGTTTTGATACTTGTCAGTAGAAATAGGGTTGTGTGTCTTCCAATGCTTCATATACAGGGTGTTAAAAAAGTAACGCAAAATTAACAGAAGTTGAAATGAAATGCTACTTGAAAAATTTAACGACTGACACCTTTTAACAGTATTGAATTTTGGTAAAATGCCATTTAAACGTTACACAACTGACGCTCTTTAACAGTTACTTTTTTAACGTTGCCATGACAAAAAATTTTACCTTAATTTTGTGAACTTTTTCAACACTCACCAAATCCAAGTTTCACCAAATTCTCGTAATGAATGAAACCATTTCTAAATATTCACTTTTGAATCAGTCGTGTGAATGAACACTTGTTTGTCTCTTTTGCGCCCCATAACTCTGACATATTCTTATAATTTAATGAAAACATTTGTTTACAATGTGGAGGTATAATTATATCTTGACTGAGCATATTCAGAATCAAATTATGATAAATTAATTTTTCAGGCCTTTGGGAACGCGAAGACTCACAGGAACGACAATTCCTCAAGGTTTGGGAAATACATGGACATTCAGTTCGACTACAGGGGCGCCCCGATTGGTGGACACATTTTGAATTATCTGCTCGAGAAATCCAGAGTGGTGAGTGCAGATATGACTATTTTTTTTTATAAATGTCTTGTATAATGAAGGCAAAAAATGGTGGGAGACCCTTTCCAAACCCCCATAGTACAATAGTTGGCAATATTGCCATTTTGTAGATTTGCCAGCCAATTGCCATCCGCTAGTTTATACTCAATGTAACTTGTAGGCGAATTCAACCAAATTTTAAAGGAGAATTTTTTTCGGTGCTCTTTCTCATTTTCATTGTCTAGTGTTTTTTTGGGCATTGTTAAAAGGTGGGTAGCAAAATCAGGAGATTGCTTGATGCAGTTATAAGGGTACATGTCCTTTATAATACAATGAACATAATAAAAAGCCAAAAACCGGCATTGACTCAACTCGCCAACCTAAGACTCAGTGAAATCTATCAATTTTTTACTTTTTTATTCCGCCCAGGTCCACCAAGCGCAAGGTGAGAGAAACTTCCATATTTTCTACCAACTGTTGGAAGGAGCCGACGATGAACTGATGTCCAGAATGAGACTGAAACGAAATCCTGACAACTATCACTATCTGGCTCAGGTAATGGGGTGGTTGTTTGTTTTTGTTCATTCGCCATTTTTTACAATATTTTAAATGTCTTTCAAGCTGACCAAGGAGCAGTAAAGCTGAAGTAGCTTATGTCGCAATTTTCAGACTATTTTGATTTTATGTCATTATGAACCAGGGGCTCTTGGTCTGAGTTTCAAATCTGTACATGTTTTAGTAGTTACCGTATTTGCTCGTTTTGTAGCCCGGGCCCATATTTTTTTCAACCAACTCACTAATCGGGCCCTTATTCAAACCGGCCCTTATTCAAGCACAAGCGCTTGTTATTTTCGATTGTTACAATAATTAATATATTGTTATTTCCAGTTCTCAAGTATGATATAAACGATAATAACGAAAATTTTGACTTTTTCTACGCACCGCAGGTACAAATCCGCAAAAGAAGAAAAGTTTTGCGACACCCTATCAATATTGAAACGACGCACTTGGGCGTCTCGTGCCCAGTTTGAGAACCATGGTGTTACATAATGCTATCTGTTATGTACTTGGACGCCTAAGGCGTGTGTGTTATCTACAGGCGCTTAAAATTCAACAGCGTTGTGACAAAAGCGCTTCTTATTTCCTATTGTTTCCTAACACTGAAAAATCAGCTTTTACATCAGGCGGGTATTCAAGCACCGGCCCTTATTTATTTTTATGTTCTGTTCTAATGGGCGGCTATTCAAACGGGCCCTTAATCAAGATCGGGCGGTAAAACGAGCATATACGGTATGTCTATTTTTAGGTTACAAAAGTGTTATTTTCTCAAAACCTAAGGTATGTCTATTTTTAGGTTACAAAAGTGTTATTTTCTCAAAACCTAAAAATGTGATATAATCTAATGGTCAACAGTACATGGATGCCTTTTATATAAATATAATACATAGAATGGGCAAATATAATACATGGAATGGAGATATGTTATTGTTTTTCACAAAGCTCTCTTTCTTATGACTCCCGTGTTGCTATTCACTCGGAACAAGGCTCTATATAAGGAACCACTATCAGTCAATATTTTTGGTAAGGGCTGGTATAAGCATCACACTAACTAATACAAAATCTACCAGAGCTATCATAGCTCAAAAATCATTAAATCTTTGTCAATTGTCCGTATAGTTCAAAATTGTATTAGTATTATCTATTTAATTAGCAAAAAATGAAATCAGAATATTAACTTTTATGTTTACTTCAATTCAGGGCAAATGTGCGAAGGTTTCCTCCATCAATGACAAAAACGATTTCCTCACAATCAAGAAAGCTCTGAAAGTCCTGAGTTTCTCTGATGAACAAGTCACTGTGAGTAAAATATCTTTTTTTTTCTATGTTTTTTCACCGCCCTGCGTGACTTTGACAGGTTTAATCTCGCGGGAGACATTGCTGGACTATCGCTCCTGCTATTGGTTTGTGTAGTTAATCGATTATGGCTTTCCCAACCATCCAAGTATCATTTTCTGGCACAGCCTAGACTGGTAAACGAGCAAACAGAATAGGCCTGTCATATGAGCCACCTTATGGTTTTCCTCTCTTGACCTAAATATGAAAATCATATCTTATAACAGGGTGTCATTGCGGAATGGTGGATCTCCCAAATATAGAGCATATCTGAAATAAATCATGATATAAATTTAAATTTAACTCATTCAAAAAACTTTTTCTATTTTGTGCAGGCTTTGTTCTACATTGTAGCGAGTGTCTTGCATCTTGGAAACATCAACTTCACAGACTCGGGTGGACGAGCTAATATCGCCAAGGAATCAATGGCCGATGTACAAACTGTTGCTGCTGTTAGTATTCGGCCTATTTTTGTACTTTTATTAGTCAGTAGCAGACGGTTCAACTTTTTAATTGATCGTTTGTAGCTTACTCTGCGGTGTGGCACATTGAGTTAAGCTGGATGTCAAAAAACAACAAGTTGAAACCTTCACCTATTATAGTCAAATTCATCAATAAAAAAATTGTCGTAAACTCAGATCTGCCAACCTGTGAACTGACTAACTAATCCCATACACGACATGGACTTGTAACCTGACGAGGGGTCAGGGTTCGCCAAATGATTATTTGTCCTAACACTTTCCTCTCTCCAGGGATAAATATGTACAGAGCGGTATCGAAAATGGAAATTTGGTGTATTGTTTGTTGTCTCACACAGACCACTAACTTTCAGCACAACAGCCGCATTTATTTAAAATACTCATTTTTCAGCTTTTGGACTGTGAAGCCGCTCAACTGGAAAAAGCGCTGACTCATCGAACCATTGAAGCAAATCGTGAGAAGATGTGTTCGCCTCTCAATGTAGATCAAGCCGTCTATGCTCGTGATGCTCTGGCTAAAGCCGTCTATGGGAGAATGTTTGACTGGCTCGTTCACACCATCAATGAATCTCTCTCTGTGCAGGTAAGTGCTTGTCAGTTTTGTGATATCGTATTTTCGGGCTATTGAATCAACCGACAAATAAAACGATGTCTATTTTAGCACTAAAAATGGGGTTTTATATAACACTTCAATAAAACAGAGCAGAATTGTAACACAAATCATGCTTGAGAAGACTTATATAGAAAAAGCCATTCCCAGAAAATACAAAATAAACATAGCCACCCAAGAAACGGGCCCCACCAAATCTAGCCTAAAAATTTGGTCTCAAGTGACTCAATAGCCAGAAAGTATAGTAATTGCTCAGGAAACGCTCGCAATGGCGGCACAAAGTTTAGTGATCTTATACAGAATTGAAGGAAACATGCGATAAATCAATGCTATGACCGGATCACTGAATTGCCAATTGCTGTCCAAACATAATTATGTTGTTTCAGTAGTATGGAAGTAGCAAACGATACTGGACTTGACCAGTACGAGTCCAGCAGCTCAAGTAGTGAATTTCTCAAAGTTCTTGGGAATAAATTTTTTTCTCTTAACAATATGCCGGGTGATGTGGGACGAAATATTTCAAAGAAAACAGGCAGTGAGTCATGCATAACCAAAGTTCTTGTGAAAACTTTTGTACTTTAGAACCAAGTGAGACGCAGTTTGATCGGCCTTCTTGACATCTATGGCTTTGAGATCTTTCAGAAGAATAGTTTCGAACAATTCTGCATCAATTACTGCAACGAGAAACTTCAGCAACTTTTCATTGAGTTGACTCTCAAACAGGAACAAGAGGAATACAGAGCTGAGGGGATTGCTGTGAGTTGATTTCTCTTTGTTGTTAAATATAAAAATAATATGATATGGGAATGAGAAAGTCAAATGATTCCCTCCCTTTGCTTATTCCTGTACTTTTCATTCCTTTTCACTGCTTTATTTGTTCGATCTTCAATGTGTCCTAAGATAGTTTAGTGTGTCGCACTCGCTTTAGTGCAGTTTAGGTAGTTTTTATTGTGTGCATAAATAAGTATAGTAACAATAAAGAACTAAAAATATTGGTAATACTCTGGCAGGTATGAAATTCATGCCGTGATAATATTCAAATAATTTTGATTCCCTCTAATCACTATAGGGGTGGTATAATGAGTTCACACTTCTTAGCAGTTGCTCAGACAGTGAGACTGCAGGAAGGTTTGGTGTGAAATATCATTTCTATTCCATCCTAACACTTTTGATTTCAGACTAGGGGGGAAGCCATTCAGTAATCAGTTGTATATACTAGTTAATCTGAAAGGATTTTCAGGAAGATACTTGGTCAAATTTGATTTATTATATCTTTTCTGTGTGTTCTGTTGAGCCTTAAGTATGAAAAGGAAATATTCAGGCTTTCACAAAGAAGTTTCAAGAAGGCTTTTGTTTTTATTTTATTACTTTTGATTCCTATAAAACCGAATACTTCACCTAGATTTTACTATCTTATTTTAATTAGAAAGTTTTTATTCTGTTAATCTTTTCAACGAACTCTGTGCAGTGGTGTATCTATGTAAATTGGCGCCCATGGCAATGTTCAAAAATGTGCCCCCTTGTTCGTTGACCGACAATTTTTAACAGCTATTATTGAATTGAGATGACGTTTTTAGTTTTTCAAGTTCAAATTTCATTTGGTTCCAATTTTAAATTAGTTTATTGAAACTTTTTATGATTAAAACTGCCCCCTCTTGTGCCCCAATCCATAGCATGAGCCATGGCTGCCATACCCAGATACGGCACTGCTCTATCGGTTTCGGTTTGTGGCCTTTTTTTTCAACATTATCCTCTCGTTTTCCAGTGGGAACCGGTTGAATATTTCAACAATAAAATCATCTGTGATTTAGTGGAGGAAAGACACAAAGGAATCATTGACATCATGGATGAGGAATGCCTGAGACCTGGTGATCCAACCGACCAAACTTTCCTGAAGAAATTGGAAGAAACTGTGGGAGAACATCCGCATTTTATAACGTAGGTTTGGGGGGAAATAACTGAATTCAGGCTGTATTGTAAAAAGTTTGTTATTCCTGATCAAAAATAGATTAGGCACACTCATAGGTCAGGGGGACCAACTACTTCTCAAAGATCAAAGATTGTTTTCAACGATTAGATTAATTTTTGTTTTAGGTATTAGTTTCGCCCCTAAATTGTGATTACGAGTTCATGAACAGGACTATTCAAGAAGTTTTATGGAATGGAATCCCAGCTTAGCATCATTACCATAGAGGGCCAGTCTACCCTTGATGAATTTTTTTTCGTCATCTTCTCTGTAAATATAAATGACAAAACAATAACAGTAAACTATTCAAGTGAACACTCTCTGCTCTAGAATGCAAAACCATAAAAATAAAATATAAAAATATAATTTCATATGCAATATTATAATGCTCATGCATAATTTCTCTTCCTCAGGCACGCCCTCGGAGATTCAAAGCTGAGAAAAACCATTCAATATGATGAATTCAGGATGATTCATTACGCAGGAGATGTTACTTATGGAGTTGAAGGTGATTGAATGTGTTTTAGTAGAGCAGTGTTTCCCGATCAACTTTCGGCCCAAACTTTCTCACCAGTTCACCCAATGTGTAATAAATCAGCTAGGCAAACTGTTGGTATCTCTCTTCGATATAATTTTATTTTTCTGCTATTAATTAATGTTTATTTTTTTTTATGAGAGATTTCAGTGTTAGCTCCGGTCGGCCAGCCACTATTTATAAACTTGGTGCTGTACCAGGAAGATATTGGCACTTTCCAACCTTGTAGATATAAGCATGTTCTTGTAAAGATTTAAAAAAATCGTCTGAATCTGATTCTTTCCAGGATTCCTTGACAAGAACAACGACCTGCTTTTCCGTGATTTGAAGGAAACAATGTCTGAGGCCTCAAACACCGTTATCAAGAATACTTTCCTGAAATCTGAACTTACAAAGTAAGTTGTTGTTTGAATTTGGTCATGCGTATCATTGACAGAATGAGCTACAGCCATTGTTAGAATAGAACAAGCCAAAGAACAAGCCAAAGCTAGTGTTTAGTCATGCTTGGTGTTGACAGCATAACTTTTATTTGTATCCATTCGTGCATTGCATTGGCAGAATATACAAAAGGTATTGTCAAGTAATACATTTCATTGGTAGCATAACCTACAGCTAGTGTTTAGTCATGCATCACATTGACAGCATAAACTTACACCTGCTTGCTCATACTATGCATTGGCAGCATAACAAATAGCTATTGCTCAATCATGCATTTCATTGACTCTAAAACTGTGCAAATCCAGATCGCTGTGTTTCAAAATAGTGTTTGCTCTCTGAATTTTGACTTTCACACTTTTTCCTCCCAGGTTGAAACGCCCCGAAACGGTTGGAACACAGTTCCGATCAAGTCTGAACAAATTGATGGAGATTTTGATGTCGAAGGAGCCTTCCTACGTCAGATGCATCAAACCCAACGATACAAAGCAACCAGGTTTGTGCGAGATGGGAAGTGATGGCCTAGGGCAGGGTGGTCCAAGGTTGTCGACTTCGCGGGCCACAAAATTATTTTTGCATTGTTCGCGGGCCACAATAGTGCCAAGAATAGATAAACAGTGCAATACAAAACAAACACTTTTATTGTGCAAACACATAGTTATCAGACATAGCCATCCCAGGCTAATAGAATTCGCATTCGATTTTTAGTTTTCTATGATGCCTATATCAGTATATTGTTAGCATATATTCCCGCCAAAAAGATAGAAAGCCAGATATTAATTTAGACTGCCAAGCACATCATTCAACTTTGCTAGTTGCCTCAGCTAGCCATAACACTAGTCAATTCAGTGACATTATTAATGTAACAATATGTCAAAAGATTTTTCTGATTAATTTTATTACGAAACAACACGAAATGCGATTTTTTGATTACCGTACTCTCCGAATGTGACGCGGGCCACAGATAATGGAGCGGCGGGCCTGGGTTTGGACCACCCTGGCCTAGGGATTAGGCAGTTGCTTGGCCTCTATATTTTTTAAAAGGATTTGTTCAAAGCAAGTGGGTACTCTCGTAGTATGTGAGTCAGGCCATAATTTTATTCCGATTTTTCTTATTTTCTGTTCTATTACGAGTTCGGGACTGTCTGTGTTAGCCAAATAAATATACCCCCTGCCCATAGGTTTTCATCCCTTTACACAATTTGATGCGAAACAACTTTCTCGCTTTGGCGATTACCAATCAGTGTGCAGCGTGCACATATTAAAAAACAACAGTTCACACTTCATCTTTTCACTGACAATTTTTTAACCTATATATTTATTCCAGATCGTTTTGAAGAAACTCTGGTTCGCCACCAGGTCAAATATCTTGGACTGATGGAAAACCTGAGAGTCAGACGAGCCGGCTTCGCTTATAGAAGAACTCATGATGTTTTCGTCAAGAGGTAAGCACTTGCTCTTCAAGAATATTGGGTATTTGAAAAGAAATTTGCTCAAAACAAGAGGGTGATCGTGTACAAGGGCTTAGCCCGGGGGGTGGTTTTGGGGGTCAAAACCAATGCTTTTTAGACTCCAAGACTCATGAAAACACACTATTTTCGGTGTTCCGCCGGACCCACTAGCTGTTTCGATCAAACTTGGCAAATAGAAATTCCAGAACCCCCCCATGTGAAAATTTCCGACTAAGCCTTTGTTGTGTCACACTCACACCTTTCATTTTTCATGCATAGGATATTTGTGTCAATCTAAGTAAGAGGCCGCTAAAGATCAGAATTATCCTGTATTTTCAATTTTCAGAGCCCAAATCTTAGTTCAATTGATTCGCACAACTCATGAGGAAATTTAGCCACTCTTAATTCTTATATATCTTAATGCCCTCCAGGTATAAATCTCTCTGCCCTGACACTTGGCCACACTACCGCGGGTCTGCGAAGGACGGCGTCCAAACTCTTTGCCAGTATTTGCAATACAAGGAAGATGAATACAGAGTCGGAAAAACTAAGATTTTTATCAGATTCCCAAAGACTTTGTTCGCAACGGAGGACGCCTTCCAGGTTTGACTGCTTGTGACATTTCACTTGGTAGAATTTGAGCTTCATTTGAGAGTTGGGCAAGGCTAAGGCTGTTTAGGCTTCGTCTGGTTTGGCGTTGACTGTGTGTTGGGGTTTAAAAGACAGATTTATAAATACTATTATATAGTAACCAGGCCAAATTGGTTATGAGGACTTGTTACTTGTGTGATTTGCTGAGTCCAACAATTAGAGTTTAAAGGTCAATTCTCGATTATCAGAAAAGATTCTCAATTTATTTAAATACGAAATAGGTTGGGACCAATCAGCTGGCAACCAAGTGGCCCTGCTCAAATGTGGCAATAAAATGCATCCTATTCTTTTTTTGAATCATATTCTTTACAGCTTTGTAACACTCACAACTAAATCAGTTCACAATTTCAATTATAATGACAAAAAATTACCAAAAAAAATAACCAAATGAATTTACTCTAAATGCTGACCCCACCCACCTTTTACCACCAATTTGATTATAGCAATCTCACGAATCACTGTACAACAGATATCATACAAGGATCCCTCGTATACTTCATATGAGTTTCAATAACTTTTCCAATAAATCTATATCATAATATAACTATATGGCTATAAAAGCAACATCTTCCGTATTCCTTTCACACTCCTTATGTTTTCTGGTAATTATGACAAAAATTATTAAAAAAGAACTGATTCAAAACGATTTTCTTGTCTCTCTGAATGTTGACCCTGCTATTAACGACCAATTTTATTATCACAGCTCCGCAAGCATGAGCTAGCAGCTTTGATGCAGGCAACATGGAGAGGGTTCCGACAGTGGAAGCTTTTTCATCGTATGCGAAACGCCGTAACAACGATCAGTTCTCAGTGGAAGAGAGTTCAGGCTCAACGACTAAAAGAGAAGAGAAAGAAAGCTGTAGAAGTTGTCAGAAAGTATGTATCGATATGTCTTTCCGCTTATTATATGTTCACCTTACGTGTTTGCAAACTGGTATTGTTCAATGAATTAAGTTGGCTAGAAGGCCTAGGACTTCTGGCTCGCGTGCCCAAATCGGCTAAATTTAACGACAAAATTCATCCGCTTGCCGACCAAAATTAAAAACAATGCTTTGTTACTTTTAAAGCAAAAATACACAATAATAAACCTTCTAAACATGTAAGCTACAGACAGATTCACTATTCGGGAAAATATCAGTCCGACAAATAGATTTGATTACTTTTCTTATTCTATATAATAGAGAGTTCTGCTACTGCATTGCCGTTGATAGAGATTTACATTGAAAAAAAGTTACGAACTACTGGTTTCATCTTTCAGGCTACTCCTGTTATGAGACTTGATAAAGTTATAACTGAGAACAGAAAATCACAAGCTTATGTAGATAAAAACCTGCAGTTGCAAAGTTTTTGAGACACGAAAAATTCTCGGGAATGGCTTCCCAATCACGCGATAGTTCGTTTTCTGCACTTCTCTCTTGTATTCCCTTCCATAATTGCTTATATTTCTTTTGAAATCAATTTATTTCAGTAAGTTAGCAAGTAACTCTAACCAACATGAGATGTACAGCTTCATAAATCAATCAGAAATGAAGAAAAATGTATTATTATTGAATGTATATATTACGTAACAATGAACCCCCAATGAATGCTGTGTCTCGTCACAATTCATGAAGAGCTAACTCAGTTGTTACGTCATAATATATTTCTTTGTAGCCATATGTCATGAAAAGACAAAGAGAGTTTAAAATTTTAAATGAATAACAGATTGTTAACAAACGATAATGAATAAACAAACACCGAGCTTCATCAGATAAATCAGAGCCTCGAAACTTTTTATTTAAAAGAGAATGATCTCGTTTCTGAGGCCTCGCTCGCGTGCCGAAAAAAAGGGTTCGCGTGCCAGGGGTTGCCCACCTCTGGCCTAGGACAACTTGTGCCATGGGAGTCATTCGGATAGGGCAGCAAAAAAAGCTAAAAGTTCAAATTGTAAAATGTTTCAATAAAATAATTTCACATTGAAAATAATAAAAACCTAACGTAAATAATAGCGTACAAATATCTCCATTCAACAACAATCATTAAAATGTGTGAGTCAATAAAGAAGGAGGTACATTTTTAAACATGGGTACCATTTTACACCGCTGCCTTCAAGTGTATAACTTTGTATATGAATAATTACTTATCTGGAGCCTTGTTCAAGGTATTTACGCCTCATTAATACATCAACCTCTCAATATTTCAGGTTCATCATCGGCTTCATCAACCGTGGCAAACCCCGCTGCCCAGAAAACGCAAATTTCTTGGATTACGTTCGCATTTCGTACTTGCATCGTTGCCGAGATAAATTACCAAAGAATGTTTTGGACAAATCATGGCCGACTCCACCTGCTGCTCTCACTGAGGTAACTGGTTTTATCTTTGTAAAATAAAACATTCTGCAAAAATGCAAAATCATCAGGTACCAGAACTTCACTCCACTGATTAACTGGTTTTATACCCAGTAAGTGAACTCATTTCACATAATAATAACGATATAAAATAATATACTTAATACTTCTTCTTATACTTAAAAAAATTCAATTTGACCCCACTGAGATGACCTCATAAGTGAATAAATTGGTGCAACGGGGGCAATCTCACTTATTGAATGCATTTTTGTTGGTGGATATCATCTCAATCCTTCTTGTTTGCTCTTCTATGTTTATGCACTCACTACGGGTATACCATAGTATATATATATATAGTGTATATACCATCAAAACTGTAAACAATTCAAAACTTGTCTGTGCGACCTTTGAACCACTGAGTGTCGCCGTTCTCATTCTTCCCACATTAACCATACAGTCAGTGCACACAGATCCACTTAAACAAAGTAAGAAAGGAAGGAACACTAATTAGCTGTTGAAAACTCTATCAACCACACAATAAACTTATAACACAAACATAGATAAAAAAAAAAGTTAGAAAATCTTACATTAATCAGACAAAATGGTACTCCCGTAGTGTGTGTACCAGGTTAGGTTTGGGCCATAATTTTATTTTCCTTATTTTAGTTCTATTACGTGTTCATGGACTGTCTGTGTTAGCCAAGTAAATATACCCCCTGCCCATAGGTTTTAGTCTCTTTACAATTCATTAAAACTTCATTAATCTCTTTCCTTCACAGACGGCTGAACTTCTTCAGCGTTTGAACATGCAGAACATGACACGACGCTACGTGAAACGTACAACACCTGAGAAGAAACGTGCGATGGAAGAGAAAGTTGTTGCGTCAGAATTGTTCAGAGATAAGAAGGAATCGTACGAAGATAGCTTGAAGAGACCATTCACTGATAAGAGATTAAGTGAGTGCGGCTGATAAGTAATATGTTATTAAACTGTTAACGAGTAGATAAGAGTCATCAGGCAAACCACGGGCGACCTCTCGTCCAGACACCATTCCAGGTATGGGATTAGTTAGCCAGTTATTTGTTCCAGATGCATGGACGTGATGGTGGAGGAAAACGTAACTAGCGATTATGTGGAACACCCTATGTTAGCCAGGATCCTGCAATTCTTTTGCACTTGGCTATCTTTTAAACCTGCGAGCAGAGCCCGAAGTGCCAGGACTCCTTATCTTTACCAGCATTGTATTATGGTGGGGTTTGTGCAAACGGATACATAATCAGCTACATTTTAAAAGATTTCTGATCCAATTTGATATGCCCTGAGTACTGTATGGACTATAGATTTATAATGCATGCATTACAAGCCTAATGTATGAATCAGGTGGTGCTTTATGCTTTATTACCTACACTCATAATCTATACCAGGGGTAGGCAACCCCTGGCACGCGAGCCCATTTATTCGGCACCCAAGCAAGGCCTCAGAAACTAGATCATTCTCATATAGATAAAAAATTTTCGAGAATTTGAATTATCTGATGAAACTCGGTGTTTGTTTATTCATTATATATCGTTTGTTAATGATCCGTTCTTTATTTAAATTCATTTTGTCCTTTCATGACTTATGGCTACAAAGAAGTTTATTATGACATAACAAATGAGTGGGCTCTCGAGAAATTTTGTCGAGAAGAGTGCAGCATTCATTTGGCTATACCATGGTCGTCCCACCCGTGACCCGTGGGACACATGTGGCCCGCCGAAGGTTTCCGAGTGGCTCGCGTGGTATGAAGGCTATAAATGAACTGATTACGTGAGGAATATAAGCGATTAGGGAAGGGAATACAAGAGAGAAGTGTAGAAAACGAACTATTGCGTGACTGGGATGTCATTCCCGACAGGGCATCTTAGTAAACACCTATGCATATGAACAAAATGGCACTGGCACTATACAGTAGTAAACACCTATGCATAAGAACAAAATGGCACTGACAGCCACATTGGTACCTATCCATTCTAACATTTGTTTTATACCTTCAGCTGAGCCAATGAAACCTAAGATGATGGCCATGATTGAGGGAGGCGAAAAAGTCGCTTATTCATGCCACGTCACGAAGTATGATCGCCACGGTTACCACGCTCGGGAACGAGTCCTCGCAATAACGTCGAAGTCAAGTTATCTCTTTGATTCTAAAGATGGAAAATTAAAACAGAAGATCGGACACGATATACTAACAGGTATTCTATTTATTTTCATGCCTTCACTCAAAGCAGGGGTATAAACAAGCAGATAGTAAAATCAGGGACGACCAAAACTGAATGTTTCACTATTCCGAAACGAAATACTTTTACATCCTGAGAAATGTTTTTGAATATAGAATTTCGAATTGGGGCAAGTTCATGCGGAAAATCACTATATCTTCATGTGGATCACATCGAAAACGTATCAAGATCATTGTTTTATCTGTGTTGTTTGTTATCAGTTGAGATATCTTACTTTTTGATCTACATGTTTGACGACTCAAAATTCTAATTATTTCTAAAATTAACTATACCGAATACAATGATATTAAGTGTATTGTAATATTCGATCCATTATGGGCATCCCCTGGTACTCCGCATTGTTAACTGTATCTGCTATATCTTAGGAGATGAGCTTTTTTGGTAAAACCGTAATCTTTTGAGCCCAGGGAGCTATTCTCCTCTCCAGTACTGGTCTTGAATCAAATCGAATGATATTTTGTTTTAATGGACCCTCAGTTTGAAAAGCCAGCCCTTGTATTAACAATTTCATCAGTTGAGCCTACGATAAGTTGTGATGAGCCCCTTTATATGTTTTCTATTGCCACAGGGTAAATGTGAAAACTCTATCCCATTGGTTCTCAAACTGGGGTCCCCGGTCGCTTAGGGGTACGCGAAGCGATTTTAGGGGGAACGCGAGACCTTTAATTTCGCACTTTGATTTGAAGTTAAATTTTGATGTCGAGCTTTTACAGTGTTTATCCAAAGCACGACACGCTCTACCGAACACATTATTACGCAACCAACGTTCTTGAACGTGGCAACTACCGTAAATCAGAGCATATTTTTTATGGAAGGCATGAGGCGTGTGCATCTGATTGTAAATTTTCTCGGGGCAATTTTACAATGCTCCCCCCCCCCCCTCCCTGCCATACAAAATAAATTTAGATATAACGATTCGTGTGTGAAACTCGGTTTTGCTGTGATGAGTGATTTTTTTTAGTGGATTGCAGGTCCCCAGAAAAATTGCAAGGGGACCGTCATGCATAATTTTTCAAAAAGTTTGAGGACCACTGCTCTATTCTAACATAACCTACATAATTCATCTTTTCAGGCATATCAATCAGCAACTTATCCGATGACCTATTTGTCCTTCACGCTCCAGTGGAGAACAAAGAGAAAGGTGACATGATCGTACGAAGTGAATATTCTATCGAGGCCGTTACGAAGATTGCGATTCTCTCCGGAAAGAAATCCGAAGTCAAGATTGTCACTAAAAAGTAAGAATTGCACTTCGGATATGTTGGTAGTGTGATGTCAAAATGACTTTACCAAAATCTATTGCATTCCCTAGCCCAGCAACTCCAAAATTTTCTTGCTCGCGCGGCGGCAAATTATCAGGAAAAAAGTCATGGCATACTTGCATGAAAAAATTAAATTCTGCTTTCCAATAAAACTCAATTTTGTGATCTGATCGTCAATGTCTACTTTATTATGCCTTTTGAAGTTGATAAACATGTGGGCCTAAGAAATAAAGGCAAATTTTTAACTCTTCTTTTTCATCTCCGCCTGATTTTTATTCGAAATGCTAAAAGATCACTCATGTTTGTTAAATAAACTCTGGTTAGCAGATAAATAAACTGCAGCTTTCGAAATTGCAGTAAGCAGTGTTTATCTCTATTGTTACTAAACAACATAAATCTGCTAATGCTCTCTAACGTCATTTCTTTTATTCCAGCCTTGCTCATGAGATGGCAGGAGGGAAGCAGGGACAGATAGAATTCATAGTTGGTCCTGAACCTTCAATCACGAAAGCAAAGAGCGGAAACTTGATTGTGGTGAGTAGCAACTAGGAAAGGCCAAAACTGTTCATTTCACTAACTTGGAACCAACTGAAAAAGGCCATTGAACATCACCATTGAAAGTCCAACTCCAATGAAAATGTGCCAAACTTACATATTTATCATGTTGGAGAGGAAAGCCTATAAAGCAATAGAACCCCATGGCGAACCATGGCCTCTCGTTCTCATCTCTGCATGGGATTCTAACTGCAAACTCACGCATGGTAATCATAAGTGTGGTGACGAATGTATTCCCAACGGGATGCGCCACGCCACAGGTTTTTATATATTTGTTTTTTCTAAATGTCTGACAACAAAGTTATAACGTCTTATTTTGTTTTCAGGTTTCTACTGGGAGATCAAGATGAGAAAATTAATGTAAAATATATTATAATGCAGTATATGACATCACCAAAGCTATGACATCATGCACAAGCCTGGAAAACTTGTATTTTCAATACAACACTAAACGAATCTTCGCCATTAATCCAATTTTCATTGATTTTGGATTACTCCATAATCGACGTATCAGGAAATACGATAATTGATAAGAGCTGATAGCAGAATCAAGAGAGCATTGATACCTTTAAATAAGGCACTGAATCTCACTTAGGTCTTTGGAATTTTAAATCTTGAATTGTTTATTTGCAATTATATTACTTTTTGAATTCAAGTAATTTCCTAATAGCAGCCTATTTCATGTTGAAGATGCTTGCAATAAATCAAAATAACTAGCAAACCCATTTACTTTTACAAAATTTGAAAATATGATTTCCAAACACAGTATATTTTTACTTTTATAGTTTTTGAAAATTGTCCGAACTGTTAGCTTTTAAAAACTAATTTTTAAAAATATTCCGTCCAACCTTTATATATGTTTTTCGTGAACCCACTAATTCACGTCTATATACATTGAAATGCCTCATAGAATGGTTTTGTTTATGATTTCCAGTTGCTTTAGTTTTAAAAAATGAATCACCAAAATTCGCATATATCTGGAATAACTGCTCAACTACTCCCACACCTGGCCTCAAAACAGGGCAAGAGGTAATGGTTTATTACATGAGCCAGGTCAATCTGCCCACGCCCTCCCCCTCCAGATAAATATTAATAATCCTATTTTGACCTAGAATTGATCTGAAAACATTAACTAGCCCTCCAGACTACCCTTTTTAGCCTACCCAAGTAGTGTTACCAGATTTTTTAATTCATTTATAATTTTATCAAATATTTTATATTCTGTAAATACTAAATAATGTTACTGATATGCTGTTAATTTTTGCTGTAGCACTGCAGGTGTTTTGCTTTTTTGTTTATCACAGCTTTGTACATTATATGAGGGGTCGGTTTGACATTATTGCTTTCTATGAAATAGCAAGTATATTTGTGAGCTTTCAATACAGCATAGACTAACTTCTCATGGCTGAAGACCAGTATAAATTGTGCATTGACTAGGGCTGGGCCAAGGACATAAATCTGAAAACATCACTCATTCAGTTTTGCTGATCAGTAAGAAATATTGCGCACCCACGTACCGCCCCAAATTCCAACCAGCTGCTGACTGCATTTTGAAAAATTCTAAAATCTGGCTTTGACGGATTCAAATTATTGTCCTTTGGCAAACAACAAGATGGGGACGATTCGGAGTTTCCGTTTGAACCTGCCCAGCCTTTGCATTGACTTACTGCGAATAAGCAACTGCTTGCTATGTGATATTCTTATCGCCACCCACTAAATCGATTTGTTTGATGAATCCCATTATGTATTCGTGATTTAAAGTTTCATCTTTTTTTTACTTTGCTAATTGCAATCAGAGACACAATCAAGTAGCAAGTCTGGTACAAATTAAGAAATTACATTACGTTGCTAATTTACAATCAATATAATTAATTACAGTTGCTATTATATTATGGGTGTCTTGTGTGCGATTGATTGGCAAAAGGGGGAGTCATTTAGAATAATGCTTGGACTGATGAAGAGTGCCGTGGTTTGCACACAGCAAATGAGTGAGTGTCCATAACTCTGCTGTATTGATTATGGAGTCAAAATAAATTTAATAAGCATGTATTAACTTTCAGTTATCCCTCAGCACATCAGTAACATATCAAAAGGCTGATAGACAATAAACAATCCCCAAAAGGTCGATTCCAAACATTTCAGAATACGTCAGGTCCCGTAATTTGACAATAATAAATTAAAATTGATGGGTGACGCTATTGAGACGGGTTGAATATTGGTGTCTCTCCCCCAAAGCGTATAATAGAACAATACGCCACACCGCCGAGCAAGTTGTTGAAGTTTTATTTACAGGATTCATTGGCATTAAGATGGACCAACGACCCAAAACGGCAAAGCTATACAATCAGCACTGATATACAGGGTCGTAAAGCCACTAAATTGGACAATTCAATACCATCGAGGCCGGAAATCTTATGTATTTATGTATATATTAGCCCAATTGACCTAGTATGTTAAATTTGTGGGAAGTTTAACCCTATCCGCCCTATCTCCCTCAACCTTCCTATCCTCGACCCACCGCCTTATCTCCCTCAACCTTTCTATCCTCGACCCACCTTCCTCAGCCTTGCTATCCTCGACCCACAGCCCTACCTCCCTCAGCTTTCCTATCCTCGACCCACTGCCCTACCTCCCTCAACCTTCCTATCCTCGACCCACCGCCTTATCTCCCTCAACCTTCCCATCCTCGACCCACCTTCCTCAGCCTTGCTATCCTCGACCCACAGCCCTACCTCCCTCAGCTTTCCTATCCTCGACCCACTGCCCTACCTCCCTCAGCCTTGCTATCCTCGACCCACTGCCCTATCTCCCTCAGCCTTCCTATCCTCGGCCCACTGCCCTATCTCCCTCAGCCTTCCTATCCTCGGCCCACTGCCCTATCTCCCTCAGCCTTCCTATCCTCGACCCACTGCCCTACCTCCCTCAGCCTTCCTATCCTCGACCCACTGCCCTATCTCCATCAGCCTTCCTATCCTCAACCCACTGCCCTATCTCCCTCTGCCTTGCTATCCTCGACCCGCTGCCCTATCTCCCTCAGCCTTGCTATCCTCGACCCACTGCCCTATCTCCCTCAGCCTTCCTATCCTCGGCCCACTGCCCTATCTCCCTCAGCCTTCCTATCCTCGACCCACTGCCCTACCTCCCTCAGCCTTCCTATCCTCGGCCCACTGCCCTATCTCCCTCAGCCTTCCTATCCTCGGCCCACTGCCCTATCTCCCTCAGCCTTCCTATCCTCGACCCACTGCCCTACCTCCCTCAGCCTTCCTATCCTCGACCCACTGCCCTATCTCCATCAGCCTTCCTATCCTCAACCCACTGCCCTATCTCCCTCTGCCTTGCTATCCTCGACCCGCTGCCCTATCTCCCTCAGCCTTGCTATCCTCGACCCACTGCCCTATCTCCCTCAGCCTTCCTATCCTCGGCCCACTGCCCTATCTCCCTCAGCCTTCCTATCCTCGGCCCACTGCCCTATCTCCCTCAGCCTTCCTATCCTCGACCCACTGCCCTACCTCCCTCAGCCTTGCTATCCTCAACCCACTGCCCTATCTCCCTCTGCCTTGCTATCCTCGACCCGCTGCCCTATCTCCCTCAGCCTTCCTATCCTCGGCCCACTGCCCTATCTCCCTCAGCCTTCCTATCCTCGACCCACTGCCCTACCTCCCTCAGCCTTCCTATCCTCGACCCACTGCCCTATCTATCTCAGCCTTCCTATCCTCAACCCACTGACCTGTCTCCCCATACTTCCTACTCTCGACCCAGACCTCAATTCACTACACTGGACCGAAACTCCCTTTTGCGCTACACGCGTCCAGGCTTTTTTTTTTGAGCAAATTTTCAGGTTTTGTGCGGTTCAACTATGCCAATGATATTATTGAAGCGTACCTCGAGGAAACATGCCAATAAGGTTGTCTGCATTTAACGTAAGCTTATTTCTGGAAAAGGATATTCGACCACCATTATTATTAGCTTAAAAATGTGCTACCTCTACCTTGATATTTTCCCAGAATCTGGTCTAACATTCGACTCCATCGTGTGTAACCGATGTGTGAAGTTCAGTGTGGAGATCGGGTCGTGAATAAAGCGCCGTTAGGTATTGGAGCCGAGAGAGCCCTCCCCGTCGCGAATTTGTACGGGCCTCTCCGCCAGCGTTGAAAGTATAGCAGAAAGCTTTGTATACTTTAGCTAGGAAAAGAATCTATAATTGGATTTATCATCTACCTGGATTTATAATCGGATTAACCACTCATCTGGATTATGAATTACTCTGCCGCAGCAGCCGCAACAGAACAACCGTCAAGTCAAAACACAAGACCACGGACTGTATTTCTGAGAACCAACAACAATTTTGACTTCACTGGATTGATGAACTTACTGTACAATAACTCGTCTACAAGTGGTTATTGTGATCAAATAAGGGCACTCTTCGTAAGTAGGAAGGGGAACTGGATTTTAACCTTTGCTGCCACCGACAACAATGATACCAACTTTCGTGAGGATTTCCTCAGAGACACTGACGGCCAAATCAAATCAAGGGATGTAGAGATAGATGTGACGCTTCCAAGTATAGCACTTATCAGAATATCTATTCGAGATATTCCCCCTAAGACGCCATACTCCAAAGCCGCTTTTAAAATTAACAGCATCGGTTTTGGAAAAATCGGAAATGCGGTTCGAAACTACTACAGGGGAACTCAAGTGTACAACGGTTACACATCCTTTCTTATGGAAAACTTTAACAAAGAAAACATGCCGGACTATATTAAAATCGATGGAATTATGTGTAAAACATATCTTCCACGAGAACTATACGTACCAACGTGCGGACGATGCCTACAAATGGGGCACACCTTTGCTTCAACAGCTAGTACCTAACTCAGAAAAATCAGGGGAGATGATTGCTCAGAACAAAACGTCAGAGAAAGACACCAACAATCAAAAATCTCATATTACCGCTAAAGTAATTAATTAAAGAAGCTGTAAACGCATCCACAGTTCCCGAAAATACAAAAATAGAAGGAAACAACGAAAGAATTATTCATGCAGAAAAAACAGACAAATTAGATGAAGGTAATCAAAACAAAACGAACGCAGACATTTATGAAATCTTATCCACACAACCCTCTGCTGACTCGTCAAAACAATCCAATGATTGGTCAGAATGTTCTGAAATTGACAACGTCGGTCCTATAAGAACCTCGCCGCCACGGATGAACAAACAGCAGTTACCACGATTAAAAACAACATCAACGATTGGTAACACCCCATTCCACGCACCAGCAAAAGGAGGGGCCTATGTCAAAGTTATGGTTCATCGTCCTCGCTCTTTGCCGCATCGCCCCATGAGATTCTTTCGGCCCCAGCAAATATGGAAACACCTCTGCCAAACCTGGACCTGGCCCTAGACGAATCGAACCCGGATAATACAGACCACAACAAAAGATATAGAGAAGACACAACCTCGTCTGAGTCGTCTCTCGCAAGCAGCAACCAAAAAAAGGGTGGGACAGGTAAAAAGAAAAAAGAAAAGTGAGTAAACCTTAGTTTTAGAACTTTAAAATCATTTTGTGTGACATTACCTTTTTGTTGTATTTAACTAGTTTTTTTACTCTACCCACCACAACCCGTAGGATAGTCAGCTAAAAAACATTCCAATATGGCCGACTTGAATATAATTTCCTTGAACGCCAATGGCCCCGAACACCATCTAGCGGAAATGACAGCCTTCATAGAGCACGAAAACCCGAGTTTCGTGTGCTTCCAAGAGGCTCACAGCCTAAATAAAGACAAGATTACGCATTGGTCAAATCAGCTAGGTTTCAATGCCTTTTTTAACACCTTGGATAAAGACGAAAAGCACCACGCCTCCTTTTGGCAAGGAACTCTGATAATGATCAAGCTAGAGTCAATGTCTACGCCACGGCACAAAACGGGCCCCGAAAAAACGAATTCTACGAAAACCTAGTATATATTTTAGCAAATTACTGTGATACAGAAAACCTAATAATAGCCGGTGACTTTAATATCATTCTGGAACCGATTGACGCACAAAATATCAAAAACTTTATATTACGACCACCCGAAAAAATTTTTCGCCGCTTTATACAAGCCAAACACATCCTGGATACTTTTAGGGACAAATACCACAATAAACAGATTTTTACGTACAAATTCGGAACTCAGGGACGGAGAATTGATCGGATCTACTCCTCTTTCGACCTATACAGTACAATCTCAATCATCACTCACACAGTGAATACAGTTTCGGACCACCTGCTCTGCCCTCAAATTAAGCTTAAAAAGAAAATCCGCTGGGGTAAAGGAACCTGGCGGAATAACATCACACTCTACGGGGATCAGACCTACATCGAAATAATAGAACATTCATACAATTTGGCCCTTCTCGAACTAGAAAATAATGACTTAATACTGGATTGGTGGGATAGTACAAAACAAAAAATCAAAAAAGTCACCGTCGCCTTCTCTAAAAATGTCGTAAAAAAATGAAAAGAACAGGATTACTCAGATACGTGAAATGTTGCATAAACTCATTAATAAAGGAAGAATGGAAAATGTGGTAAAAATCGAAAACCTTAAATCCCAACTACTAACGTTGCAGGGTGAGTGGAGAGGGCTGGACATACTAATGGCAAATATGAAGGAAATGGAGCAAAATAAAAAAACACATCCTCTTTCTATGCCAGAATTAAGAAACGCGCGAAAAATCACACAACAGGGATTTTAAAAACATCAAATAACGACCTAGTTTCCGACTAAGACGCTATTATGTCCTTAGTTGAAGGCTTCTATCGCGATCTGTGGGGTAAGGAACAAGAAATAAACAGTTACCACCAGCGATACTACTTATTCCTGATGGGCTCGTCCCAAACATCAGAACAAGAAAACTGCATTTTGGAGAAACCCGTTACGAGCGGAGAAATCTACAGCGCAATGAAATCACTTAGCAACAATAAATCACCTGGTTTCGATGGACTCAGTAAAGAATTTTACATAACCTTTTGGAGCACCATAAAAACTCAACTCACCCAAGTCATCAACAATATCTTCTCATTCGGCCAAATCTTGCGCATTAGCTAAAGTTAAACTTCTGTATAAAAAGAACGACGAGACGGACTTGAAAAACTGGCGGCCCATATCAACCCTAAATATGGACTATAAAATCATATCTAAAATCGTAGTAAAAAGATTGGAACCGGTCATATCGAGAATAGTAAGTGCGTCGCAGAAGTGTTCTTTAGCCCAAAGGAGTATACATGACGTCCATTACAACATCGATGCGATTGTAAGATACTGTCAACACAAAAACATCCCAGGGACATTGGTCCTGATAGATAACTTAAAAGCATTTGATGACGTCAGTCACACTTTTCTTTTTAATATCCTGAAACAAATTGGACTGGGAGACAAAATTCATAGTGTAATAAAAAATATGTACCAGAACATAGAATCTCAAATTGACGTCAACAGCAAGCTATCAAACTAAATCACCATAAAGCGTGGCATAAGGCAGGGATGCCCTCTAAGCATTCTGGTATACGCGATAAGCGAAGAGCCCCTGGCAGAATCCGTACAGGTGAATTCCAACATTCACGGTATAAAACTAGGTGTATGCGAACACAAGCTAGACCAATACGCCGATGATGTCACCTTTGCTATAAGCGACCAATCATCTATAAATGAGGTATTCAAAGAACTATACAACTTTCAACTGGCGTCAGGACAAAAGATAAACCAAGAATAAACAGAAATTCTATGTATAACAAAAACCTCCCATATTTCAATATTCAACTCTCCATCTAGGCAATATATTAAACAGAATGTTAAACTACTGGGTGTACATTTTGGACGAAAGCCAATAGACAAAATGTGGGATGAAATTGTGACCAAGCTGATTCGAACTCTAAACTACGTAAAAACTAGGCAATTAACATGATATGGAAAACTCACAGTAATCAATTCACTAATCATGAGCATCATAACCTTTCAAGCAAAAGTCAAACCAATATCCCTGGAAAAAATTAAAACCATTCAAGTTCATTTGGTACCCGGAAAAAATAGAGTCTATCGGAAGAAAAAAAACCATATCTATCTTGGAAACAAGGGGGAATTAATATGATTAACGTCAAAGCAAAAATTGAGGCCTGTCAGGTTAAAAAAATGAAGAGTTTTCTTAATAGAGGAGAGAAGGACCAGTTTTGGCACTACGAAGCACTCTATGCTTCAGGCTCCAAAATGAAGCTCGTAAATGAAAATCACTATAGCAATGTAATGCCACACACCGCATTTGTCCCCCCATATTGGAAATATATCTTCAACCTCTTTCAGACAATAGATATCTCGCGTGAAGACTGGGAAACTGTAAATCATAAGGACTTGTATTTAAAACTAAAAACGAACTCCCTTGACCAACCACAAAATGACATTAATTGGGAAGAGGTCAATTTAGCAGAAGCCATATTTGGCACAAACTTCACAAATGCGGAACGAGTATGTTCATATCGAATTGTGGAGACAAAATGAGGGGAATGAGCTTAAGATTTGAACCAACCGGAACACCAAAAATTTTGAACTGTAAATACTGTAATGGTATATCTGACAGCACTAAACATCTTTTTCTCATTTGCAGTGTCATAACAACCTATTTGGCAGAGATTACGGATGTCCTTAACAACATGCTCTGTAGTCCCATCCAAGTATCGAAAGACGAAATGTACTATAATAGTTATCATGGACCACATCTCATAGTAGTAACAAAAAGTCTCGTCATACTTAAAAACATCATAATAAAACAGAAGATTAAACTAGATATTGAAAATAGATATTTGGCCCCAGCTGACAAAAACATAGTAACAGCGTCAATAGTTAAAATTATGGAATTTCTGGTCACAATAGACAATAAATACAAAAATTTACAAACACTTGGACTACAAGAAAACTGGAAGGAGATTTTGAATGGGTACGTTACGACATAAAAGAGCCCCAACCTGTGTCTTGGTGAAATAATATCAAACCATTTTATAACTGTATATATTTGACGGCGCTCCCTCATCTCCCATAAATAGGAGCTTAAACTTTTGTAATACCATCTCCAATTTTCCACGGAAATGATGAATCGGAAGTTTCGCGGTGGATGTCATGCTGTGTGCGTGTTACACGTCTTCACACAGTATGTACGGAAGTCGGGACGGCGGAAGTTGGGCTATGCTATGCATGGCTTTTACGGAAGCCCTGAGTAGACGTTATGCTATCTGCCATGGCGGACACATAAGCTCGGGGTAGAAGTCTTTGCCTTGCAACACGTAGCGGATACGGAAGCCCCCAAGTGTGTATGACTGTCGCGCACCCCGCGACATGACTACGAAGCGTTGGTACCGATACGACTCGGATATGACGTGTCTTTCAGACATTGATCCGAGACTGGAAAAATTCTGATCCGTAAAAAAACCCGCCCCAAACCGTAACAAAAATATATATCAATATATATATAGAATACCTCGTTTGGGAAGCGATGTTCAATCCAAGGACTATTTTAAATATAATGTTTCTATCTTTGTGCGTACCGTTAAGACGCTCGAAATTAATTTTTCGAGTCTACCGTTTTCAGCAATTGTGTGCGTTTGTTCACACGAATTGCAGTCGTTTGGGTGCAACTGGGAATGTTTAGGTCACTGATATGCTAATTTTTTTTAGATGTGCGGAGTGTGACACAATTACACATTATTTTTGCATTATTGTTTCGTGTGACATTGCTAGAAGCTCACTCGCATGCTATGTCAAGTTTTTACTAAACTTTGTAATCTTAAATTTAGTCATATTTGTGTTTTTGGCAATGCATTAATATTTCTCGATATAGTTGCAACAAAATTTTTATGTAAAATTTTGTATTCCCCGTAATATTGCACCACATCACAACCGTGTCTACAAAAAATCTGTCAATTTTGCTATTTCTTATAAAGTGTTGCCCTGTTCTTACTCAGATCAGTGTTTGCATAATTGAATCGATTTATTTGAAGTTATAGCCCGATTCTGTATCGTGTATTTTTGTTTTATTGTGTTGTTTGACTGTTTTTGGTGGACATGCGCGTATTTTCACGTTTTTAACTTTGTCTTTGAGTTTGGCCCGTCCTCCAGGTCCTCTGTGTTTTGTGTTTGTTCGTTTGTTGTTGTTTTGTTTTATACCAGAGCGACCGAAATAAAATTGATTGATTGATTGTTAAAACAGGATAAAAGACCTGAATTTTTTATGGTCCAAAGAACCGTCTCACGGAATTTTATGAGATCAGCGAATTGGTTAGCATTACTCGTCAATGTAAATGGATTTTTGCATCTTATCTGCTAATTTTGACAATATGATGCTTATCTAACAATATTTTGAAGTGTTAATTGGAAATCAAATAAAAGTATTCGGTTTATGTGCTAAAAAAAATTGACTCTTTGTAACAGAATATGACTTTTGTGATGGAACCGGCTGACAAAAAATTTGAATCCCACCACTGGTCGTATCGCTTCCACCTGTCCGTACCAAAACAATTTTATTGCTGTTGCTATTTTATTGATGACTGTATTTTTTGTTTGACGAAATAATAAATCTCTCTCCACTTTCTCGTGTGTGTTATATTTTTTGAACCGCGGGGGAGGATTATTTTTAATCTGCATCAAGTTTGATACGGGTTTGCACGAGTGAGTGGTTATGACGTCATTTATTTCGCTGGCAAAGGTCCGACGTGTCGCTCAGTTGTGGTTCCTGCTCGGTTGTTGGCTAGTTTCAGAGTTTTTGGTACCGTAGGTTTTCCGATGGTTTAGAATTTAGATTCCTAGGACGTTTTAGAACATGTATGTATGTTTATTTACCTCCAAAATATAACAGTATCTGCATAATAATTAAACAGTAAAACAGAGACGGATACATGTTCAAGACCTGAAGACCTTACTGGCCTAAGACACAGATGTGCGACATGCACACCTACTAACAATTATAACATCAGTTTAGGACTACTGCTTTATTATAGGACAACAGACATGAAATAGGGTATAGAAATAAAACTCTAGTAAAATACACAAGACAAGGAGATACGACACAACGGCGATATGTACAGTATAGTCAGTTAGTTTATGGCTTGTCCATGTCCCAGTGTGAGAGGATGTATATTAGGTATGGGTCGCTAAAATGATATGGTTTTACAATGAATCTTACAAAACACGTCACAATTTGTTCCCCTTTTTCTCTCCCCCGGGATAAATATGTAAATCATATCCTATCCTTATTCCACAATCAAGTCTTCCAAGTCCATGCATCTGAGACACATCCTGACATCTGACACTCTCTCTGAGAGAGTAACCAACCCAAACAGTCAGAAGTTGTAATTTGCCATATGCAGATATGATTAAGGCATCTTATCGACTTTCCCCCGGGATAAATATGTAAATTCTATCATATATATATATATATATAGAGAGATATAGATAATAATTGATATAATTTACCTTTACAGAATCTATAGTAAATGCTGAGATTGGATAATACTTCAGTATAATATATAGCCTTAAACCTGGTATCTGTAAATATCGAAAACTCTTCAAATATAACTCGAATATACCTCACAATTCACGTTATTGAAAATACTTTACTGAAGCCGCCAATTCAAGATGGCGTACCAAACTTTTCAGCAGGAGTACATGCAGATTCCACCTGTGACGAGAGCTTATACGACAGCATGCGTTGTCACAACATTAGCAGTGGTGAGCACTCGAGGAATTTGTTGAGATTGCATTGCGAATAAACTCAGTTTTAGCACGAGGCTTATTTTTTTGCATTTGTTTTGGCATCACTGTAATTATTGTCTGTAATTGGGTATAGGTCACATAAGTTTTGGCCCATAGTGCAAAAACCTGGTCTAAACTGACCTATTTAATCAGTTTTTTTTCTGATTGACTTTCTTGATACAAATTTTTATTATTTCTCTCTTGGTTTAAGTTATATTTTTCAAATTGTAATTATTCAACATTTCCTGCTGTAGGACAACTAGTTATATCATCCGACATCTTCTGCTGCTTTTCTCACCCATTATGTTTACTGACACGATAGCTTGATAGTCTTTCTTGTTTTCCCTTCGGCAATTACGGTTAAAATATTGTATGGCATATTTTTTTTCAATTGCTTCCTTCCAATTAATAGTACAACGCTTCATGCACGATGAAAATAAAATTATATATTCTCGATGAAAATTCTTTTAATAGTCTTATCTAAATTATTTAAATGACACGCCATTCCAACCAATTTAAAACTTTCTATGCAAATGTACTGTACAGTATTTAGAGTGTCTGTTGTCCAATCAACTGAACTCACTTCGGTCAATTAGGACCCATCCCACACTGAAACGTAATGTCACATGAAAAAAAAATTTAACGTTAGTATTTATGGGGAGTGTGGTCACCCATGCATTTGTAGTTTTAAAAAAGCTATCGGTCATTGTAAATATTTATTTGTTTGTTACCTATTAATTTTTTTGAAAATACATTCCTTTCTTTTTTCAGCAACTTGAAGTGATCTCACCATTTCAAATCTATTTCAATCCTGATCTGATATTTCAACGTTACCAACTATGGCGTCTCATCACTAATTTTGTTTTCTTCGGAACTTTTGGATTTAATTTTTTATTTAATATGATATTTTTGTATCCTTTGTGAAGAGAGTTTTTTATTTTGTAAAGTTAAGTTTTTTTGATATTTTTTTTATATATGCTTGTTCACTTCTTTTGCTCTGAACAATGCTCTGAATAAGCAACGGCTGATATTCTACTGTATGTTAGAAGTTGCTAATTTCAATATTGCCATAATATTCTTGGTTTTGCATTGTCTATGCAATTTATTACACCAGGAGTGGGTACTGCGACTTGTCTCTGAGCAAAGTTATGTCAATTGCTGAAATACAAAGAACCCCCCAAACTATAGAATCATGGTGGCGCATTACCCGAAAATATGACTGACCTATGGTTACAAACAGCCTAATTGTGAGCTAGTCCATGTGCAGGTATAAGGACACTGCAATAACAATCTCTTCAGTTCTTCTTTCCAACATGGCCAGTAAATATTTATTAATGAATGTTGTACAACAAAACAACTTGGCATAAGAATCCACACAGATGAACCTTTTTCTTAACCAACAACATTCTAACTATCCAGATACAGGTATTGCAGGATGTTGGAAGAAGGATCGTTTCGTGGAAAGACCGGGGATTTTGTTTTCATGTTTATTCTGGGCGGATCTATTATGACAGTATCCTTTTAAAAATCTAGTTTGGTTTGGCGAACCGATCCCCGGGACCATGAGTGAAGGTTTCACTAACTACTATCCGCCATTGTCCGCCTTTAAAGTAAATTATCATGATTTGTTCAATTCTTTATCCGTGGTGCATTAATCCTTTTACTTTTAGTTGTTGGTGGGCTTTTTATTACTAAAAATGGAGCATAAAATAATAGGAGGAAGCTAAATGATTTTCATGTCTATTTGAGGAGGAGAGGTGAAAACGAATGAGATGGCTCTATCATATCCTTAACTGTTTATGTAACATCCAGATAATTGCATGTTTTGCAAGCCTCGTATTCCTTGGTCAAGCTTTCACAATAATGTTGGTTTATGTCTGGAGTCGGAGGAATCCTTATGTTAGGATGAGTTTCTTTGGGATCCTAACTTTCAGGGTGAGTCGCTTCATACAGATCTGCTCGAAGTAAGGCCCTCTGAACTGAACGTGCAAAGTTCTTGGTGCCCCTTGGTGATCTCGGGGTCATAAAACTACTTTGTACCTGATCTTACTTGCCTAATGTGATCTCGATCGCATATTAAGCTTGCGTCGGTTGTGATTCCACTTGCGCTTCATCTTATAATTACAATCTTATATAATCCAGTTATTAGATCTTTCAGTGATGGGTTAGGTTAATAAAATACTGAAATATATACTGAGTTAACGCAATGGAATCTTCCCAGAATCTTTTGACCTTGCCTTTTCCATTTATTACATCCTGGGTGATGGGCATGGGATTAGATGCGATGCCAACATAGTCAAGTTAGTTATATCGCTAAAGCGCAGGCCTCATTTGATACAAGAAAGGCTTTTGGGTGTAAATATTTGTAGCCCCTGGTATATTTTCTTTTGAATTGCAGTTCAATTAAATCATTCTTATTTGTAACAGGCTCCGTTTCTTCCTTGGGTTTTGATCGGCTTCTCACTGCTACTCGGGAATCCCATTATAGTTGATGCAATTGGTAAGTACTTCATAAACCAGTGGTTTTCAACTTTTTTCATGAAATTCTCCCCCAAATCAACTAAATTTCTCTGAAGAAAAATTCTAGCCCCCCTGCATGGAAAATACCGGTATAAACACCATATTGAGCAAGCATGGCTTCAAACTTGGCAGGTAGCTAAACTGACTGACCACTACTACCTCAGTTAGTTGCATATGCATATTGATGGATAAAACACAAACTTTAGTATTTGAACTCCTATTACTCTGATGTAGTGCAACCTTGTATTGGTCAACAACCTGGGTGGGAAAGGGATTTGAACCCAAATGCTCACTCATTAATAACTGTTACAATTTAAGATGAGTTCATAAAATAAAGGATACATTGACTGCATTACTATGTATAGTTAGTCTCAAAACAAACTTTTTTTTAAAATGCTGCAATCAGTTGTTTTGTTTTCCACATACTTGAACACTGCACATAACTATGTTTCCAGGAATTGCATGCGGTCACATTTACTATTTCCTTGAAGACGTTTTCCCACTTCAAGAACATGGATTCAAGATCCTTCACACACCAAAGATTTTGTAAGTATAACGTTACACAGAGCTAAAAGTTGGTATGATTTCATAAGAAATGAAACCATCTTCCAGGGGCTTAGACAGAAATTTACAATGTGTCTGACATTTCTATTTGACTAAAAGTGTTCCAAGCTACGACAAACTGCTATGTATCATACAGAAAGATGGTTTTATTTTTTTTACATTTCAAGGGGGGTTCGGCTCCCAAAACCACCCCTTGGCTATGCCACTGCCCTCTGCTACAAGGTTGGTGTATCCAGCTGAATCAGAGTTTTCAAACTGGGCCCGCAAACCTTCTAGGGGGCCAAGGAAGCAGTTCACTTCCGGCAATGAGTATAAGACTTCAACAGGACCATTTGCGATTATTAATTTAATTTGAGATAAATTGCCTGTGATTTATTTAATTCTTGAAATGCTGAACTGTAGTCGTGAAATGCATTTGATTTGTTATCTTACAAACAACTAATGGCAATCCATTTAACCCCATGTGGGAAGCCCATAAAAACCCACAGTGAGATCCAGTATAGAATCCCAATCCCAGACAAGAGTTAACTCGAGAACTTATGGAAGTATTACCTTGAATAAATGGCAATGTAGACTATAGCCAAGTTTATATGTTTGAAATGCAAAGTTGAAGAGACAGCATGTTCAGGGTTACTTCCTATATTCATGTCTCCCTTTCTTTCAGGAAATGGCTGTTTGATCCACCTGCAGATGCTGCCGCGTACGAGCCCCTCCCCGAACAAGATCGTCCTGGTGGGTTCGCCTGGGGCAATGTGGGTCTTGGAGGGGAGGAAGAAGAGCCCCAACAACGACAAGACCAGTAGTTGTTTAAAAAATATTTTCGATTTAAACAAAAGTAGCAATGGTGCTAAAACATTGCAAAGTCATAACTCAACTGAATATTAAATAGGAGTTCCATATTTTTCCCGGCACAAGTCGATAAGATGACTTATTCGCTCCATCACCATCTTGTGCAAGTCCCTACACATCCCTATTCCTAAATTGTGAATAATTGTATTTGAGTATCCAGAAAGTGGCGCTGATGATCAGTCAAACTCATTTTCTATAGGTTAAAGCAAAATATCTACGATCCACTAAATTTGGGAACATAGTCCCCGGAATAAAAATCTGAGTAGCATACACCTGCACAGAATTTTATCGCTGTACTGGCAGAGATGTTTATGTGCATGTGTTTGAACAATCATGCAGAGTTCATCCTCATTTTTTGCAGTTATACCTGGCTTTTTATGAAATCTTTATGAAAAATCGACTGATATGGACATTCTGAGTTCCTAGTATCAAAAATGTTTTTCTGGTATAAGCATCATTAGAACTTCACTCCTAGCTTAAATATGTTTAAACTTTTTTATTTATTTATTGTTTTAATTTTGCTCATCATTTGAGAAATAATACTCTAGCTATGGGTTTGTTATATTATCCAAACTGAGCTGCAACCTCACAATGTAGAAGTTTGGTGCATTGCATCACGATAATCCCCCTCAACCTGAGTGGCTTTTAATTTGGAGTGAATATACGGGACACCTCGTTAAAATAAATTGGAGTTTTTGAAAGTTCTTTTTATTTGTTTTAAATATTTTGCAATTGAATTAGACTTCATCATTATTGCAAAGTTTAATGGAAGGTTGTGAACCTTGGTGTTCCAGAAGGTCATTTTCTATTTATGAATGTTATTGAATATTTATGGATTTGTTCCAATATTTTGAATGAACCGACATAAATACTAAACTATTTTAAACGGACAATCTATTGCTGCTTTTCAGTTGGGAAGTGGCGATCGGGCCTATTATGTCCACTTACAGCAAACATTCATTCAGATATTATTTTTATACAGTTCTTATTACTTATCGATTTTATTCGGTAAGTATATTGATAGATATTTGTCTGTCTGTTAGATGCACGCGATATCTCACGAAAGCGAGATTGAATCTGCTCCAGATTTTGTATGTGCTTTCATCATATGTCGGACCAGAAGCCTATTGATTTTGGATGAATTATGTCGTATAATTAGCGAGTTATCAATTAATTAGTGATGGGACGCAAGGTGTCACTATGGAGTAAGAGGGTGTTTTGGGGGATCCCCTGACTTTCGCTCGATAAGTCTTCGGTCTCTGACCGATATTCTCGTTTGTTTCTTGCTGCTTAATAAAGGTGATATAATATAATTTTTGTGTATGTTTAGCATTTATCAGTGGAGAAGGGTGAAGCTCAACCAGTACCGTATTTTAGGGACATTGATGCGTGTTTCAAAATCTTTTTCTTCCAAAAATCTATTGTGCGCTTATAGTACGGTGCGCCTTGTGTACGGACAATAATCCAGCCAATTTATCGTCAGTGCAGCTCCTGGTCAGTAAAATCTGGTAATCATATGCCGTCCGAAAAAAAAGCTCCATTGTTTCCACGTTGATGCCATCATTCAAGGTTTATTGTTACTTACCGATCTTGATCGGTAAGTACGTTGATAGGTATTTGTTTGTCTGTCTGTTAGATTGACGCGATATCTCACGAAAACAAGGTTAAATCATCTCCAAATTTTGCATGTGCATTCATCATATCTCGGACCAGAAGCCTATTGATTTTGGATCAATTATGTCGTATATTTAGCGAGTTAATAATTAATTGGTGATGTGACACTCGGTGTCGCTACGGAGTAGAAATTATTTACATATTTATCCCGGGGAGGGGAAAGTTGATAAGACGGTTTAATCGTATGGCGAACCACGGCCTCTCGTTCGGTCACCGGTCCAGGTAGGGTATGGAATTGGTTAGCCAGTTATTTGTTTTCGTAACTTTTGATCGATAAGTCTTCGGTCTCCGTCCGGTATTCTCGTTTATTCATTGCTATGAATCAAAGCATTAACTTTGTATGTCACTTACACAATGGCTCGCACATGATAGAAATAGCTGAATGTGAAAGAGAGACGGATTCATTATCAATAATCAGTATTTTATTTTTCACCATTCTCAAAATAGGCACAGACATACAAATTGCAATAAATTAAATTATGAATAGGCCATATTTCAGGGTGAAAGAGACGCGTTAACAGACAATAATAACACTAGCAAGTAGATATGCACATTGTTAGTATTGTTTAAATTATTTTATATTTTTGATAAATATTATTATGTTTGTTTAATTTTGTGTGTACAATATTTCATGCACGACGAAATAAATATCTGAATCTGAATTAGATCGGGCATTATGTCTCGCATTCTCTGTCTCATATTTGTTTATCTGCATTACACCAATATCTAAATTTCATTTCTATGAGTGAATTAGTGGTAATTCTTGGTCCAAAGAAAGGAGCACTTGCGAGAAGGCGTGGTTAGGTCCACAAATATTGGGTCGGAATAAATTTGCATAACGATGGATGCTTCGAGGCTAGAATATAATTTCCTTGTTCAGCAAACAGCAAAGTTTCCCAGAAAAATTCACCAAAATAGAAAAACGACAGTTTTTGGTGACATGAATTATGGAACGGGGCTTTTGATGTTTTTATTGGCAAGGCGTTTGTTTTTTTAGTTGCTTCGAAGTTGAATTTGCATAGTCTGAAGCGTAGTATAGGTACGTAATGTACGGTACGGTACCGGTACCTGCTTTGTGATGGTAAGGTTCCGTCATCCAGTCATCGGGAATATCCAGGGATTTCACGTTCAGACGTTTAAATGCCGGTGGTGATGGTGATGCTTTATGGGACTTGGTATTGTCATGATAATAATTTATGAGTAGACTATAATTGCTGAGCGGACTAAAACTAGGCACATGACAATTAGGCACTATTTTATGTTATCCCATTATGTAGTTATGATCACTTTTTAATGTGTGGCGTACGGTATCGTGTTAAGCAATAGGATAGGATAGGATTTACATATTTATCCCGGGGGAGAGAAAAGCCGATAAGACGGCTTATCCGGCAGTGTGGCTCAACGGGCTAAGCGTTAGGAATACGGTCGCCACCGCACCTCTAATTACTCTGCGTGGGTTCGCAGGTTCAAAGCCCATGCAGGGATGGTTATGTGCGAGAGGATTGCTGGACTCCTCGCCGTCGTTGGGTGGTTCACATAACCGCTGGTCGGTTACGGCTTCCTCCACCACCAAGTCCATGCTTCCGAAAACAAAAAAACAATATAACTAATCTCATACCCGACTTAGAATGGTACCGGTAACCGGACGAGAGGCCGTGGTTTGCCATATGTATAAGCTGTCTTATTTACTTTCCTCTCCCCCGGGATAAATATGTAATTCTATCCTATCCTATATAGCAAACCACGGCCTCTCATCCGGTTACCATTCCAAGTCGGGTATGGAATTAGTTACCGTATATTGTTTGTTTTCGGAAGCATGGACTTGGTGGTGGAGGAAGTCGTAACCGACCAGCGGTTACGCTTAGCCCGTTGAGCCACACCGCCGCGCTTTCCCACCGCACCTCTGTTTCCTCTCCTCGGAATGAAAATGAAAATCCTATACTATCATAGAATTCTTTATTACAGTATTATTTTATGCAATATTTTCTCTTAGTTGTCTTGCAGTCTTGGAACATTAATCATCGTTTGAAGAAAATAATGCCAGAATGCCAACAGCAGAGAGCTGATTAAAATAGTCAAATTAAATGTTGAACATGCAAGATGCAATAACTAGGTTCAAGATAAATAATAGAAGGAGTACAAGAGTACTTGATCATGACATACTCTCATCAGCTTGGCTTTTCAAAAAAGATCAATATGGAATTTACCACCAATAAATGACCATGAAATATTTTTTGTCATGGAAACGAAAATATACTATATAAATTGATATTTGCTCGTCCAAGACTTTCCACATTTACCAAATTGCCTACCCAAGTGCCCATGACTTGCCCACCAGTACGAATTCATCATTCTAAAAATAAAAATAAAAGCACTAAACTCATGGCTGTATTTATCGGCAAATTAGTATGACAATATTTTCTTTACGTTCTTTCTATTAATGTTAATATTTCCATCTTATTTTTCAAAGTGCATGAATAAGTGGCCAGCCTATGTGGCAATCAAGCATATGTGACTTAGTTTATATCATATTGTGATGTTTTTACAATATTATTTGGGTTGGACCTGAATCATTATGGCAGTAAAAGTTTTTTAAACTCTTCAAACAGAAATTCCTCAATCTCAATTCTAGTCCAATAAATATTTTTGCATGGTTATTTGCAATAGGGCCCCTTTCTCAAGACACAACATTTGTCATTTGTTACAACTTTAAATTTCTTTGGACATTCTTAGACTTAAACATAAATTTATTAAGACGAATGTGATGGTCTTGGACCTTGAATGAAGAAAACATCGCCAGAATGTCCGGAGTGGTGAGTTTTTTTCTGTTGAATCGCATTTTATCGTAATGATGACTTTTTAGTATTGCATTTTTTGAGATTGCATCAAAAATGAGAGATGCCATATGTATCCTTATGAAGGAAGACTTCAAATCTTGAGTCTCCATCGCACCCTTTGACCAGACCGGATTCCATGGCAGGCACACGTCCGAGGGCATTAGCGCTCTGCAAAAATGCACGCGAGCCAGTTCGAGTAATTTTACGAGGATGTACTGAACAGTACCGGTACCTTATTAAGTCGCACAAACATCCTCAAATATAATGACGAATTATAGAAATAATGTTCTGGGGTCAAAGGTCAAACATCCATTTTTGCTCTGATTCAACTATTTTATGACCAATATGGGTAATTTATCACGAATGTATTGAACAGTACAGTATCTAAAGTAAAAGTCAGTTGCACGCAGGCATAGTTGTTTTGCACGCCAGGAATTCTGATTTACACGCGAGAATTTCTGATTACACGCCCGATTTCTCGTTCAGAAAGGCCATAAAATCCAGACTAACCCTTTGACGGGTCTAGCGTAGTTTTGTACCTAAAGTACTTCTATTGGGCGTAGCATAACAATTTGTGCATATGTCAATATTAACCCCCACCTGACCACACTATCCAAATATTACAGCACTATGATGTCACAGTAACATAGTATAGTACTTCGAACTATACAAACTGTCATCCAAAATGTTCAGATGGTCACCCAGAATGGAGCAAGATGTTCCTCTCATTTTCTCGCCTAAACGATCCCGATATGAGAGAGTTTGCTAGCAGTACTCTTCAGTAGTTTTTTATAATCGGTGCAGATGTCATTTTAAGCGATCATAACTATACTTTGGCAAGCTCTATGACGTGAATGTGACATGGTAGTGACGTTATTTTTGGATGGCGTAGTCTGTTGGGGGTTAGGATTGTAATGTGAAAAAATTGTAACTACACCAGACAAAGGGACATGGGATTTTTTTTATTCTAGAAAACTTGATAAGGCTTGGTGTGTTTCGATTTCCATGATTTTCAAAAGTTGAATAAGTCTGTTTTAATCTGCCAGTCGAATAAGAATTGCTCAAAATAGCGTCTTCTGTTTTTGCATCCTTCAGTATGTGATGAAATTTTATACTCACCAATTTGTATCTTGAAATTTACAATTTTTATTTTGTTATTTTCAGGCCCAAAAGCAGGACTCAGCTCCATCATATGAGAACCATGAGATTTTCGTGAGTAGATTTCTTTGCTTCAGGTTTGAAAACTGGATGATTTGCATATTACAAAAAGCCCATGACTACTTGCAAACAGCTTGATTACTTAAGAAACAGGCTTAACAGTGTGGCACATCGTGCTTAGCGTTGGGAATACGTCTGCAACCGTATCTCTGATTACCTATGTGGGTTCGCAGGTTCGAAACTGTGGGCAATAATTTTGTGGGAGAGAGCTGCTGCACTCCTTGCTGCTGTGGGGTGGTTCACGTAACTGCTGATCGGTTTCTTCCACTATCAAGTCCATGCATCTCAAACCGAATAACTGACTTCCTAATCCCAATTGGAAAACATTTGGGTACTACAAAATGAAGATGGATTTTAACCCGTTTGTTTGATATATTTCAGCATCTCAGTATCGGAATGACCTGTATCGGAGCATATGATTTCAAGTCGACCAACAAAGGGGATTTACCTTTCAAGAAGGGAGAAATTTTGAACATAACACAGGTGAGATTGGGAATTTATTTTGTTAATGGTAATCTTGATGACAAAATAATTTAGTTAACAAATATTTAGTCAAAGAAACTTGATATGTATAATTAGATTTTGCTTTATTTATTCATAGAGAAAGTTTGCTTAAGTTTTTTGTGCCAACTTGGCTAAGTGTTAGTGGTTGTTAAAGACAATGACTAGTGACTTTGTTGGTTTGCGGGTAAATATAGGGAGCCATCCTGTTGTTCTGGAGTAGTGATCAGCAAACTTTATGTTAGCCCTTATATGCACATTCACGCTAACATGTGGGCCTGATTAATTTCTAGAGCCCGAACAATATATCGGCCAACTGATATATCTGGCCGGTATTGCGCTTCTTTTTGTTGGAGCGGAACTCCAGTGTGACATTTCAGAGGCCCAAGGAACCCATGTTCGGTTCTAGTTTCATTACCTTTTACTATCTGAATTGTAAACTATAAATATATAATAGCAAACCTGATACTGGCAAAACAAAATGATCTCTATTGAAGTTAAATAAGCATGGCAAAATAATTGGGTATTTTGTTCTAACAATATGCATAAACTTGTGGAACCCTTAGACTGCAGCGGAACCTTGGTTGAAAACTACTGATTTGGAGCATTCAAGGCTACTGTCAAAGTAGAATCCAATAGCATTTAAATAACACTTGCTGATTTTCTGTGATTTTTTTTACTGTCTTGAACAAGTTCGTGGACTAGCCAAATGACTCTCGTAGTATTTGTACCTGAAATTATGGCCTATCCCTAACCTGGTACACATACCACGTTTTGGTGTCTGCCATCTTGGTTCACATACTTCGGGAGTACCTGCGTGATTTTCTGTCTTGAACGGGCTTGAACTCACATTGCTTCAATCCCGCTGATTACAAATCTTACATTTCCCCCTGGCTTGCAATGTTAATAACCACTTAATTGATCACTGTATTTTGTTCTCAGTTAACTCGGGATCCGAACTGGTACAAAGCAAAGAATGCAGCCGGGCAGCAGGGAATGATTCCTTCCAATTATGTCGTTAAACATCAATCTAATGATAAAGCCTTGAAAGAAATGTAAGTGTAACCCTACCATGTTTATTGTATTCTACCATAAGGCACACTTTGAATCTATTCTTCTCAAAAATAGATTGATCGCCATAAAAGCCGGTGCGCCTAATGTATAGATCAGATTGCATACACTCCAAATCAGTACGAGTACCAGTTGCGTCTGATAGCTCGATACGACTTATGTATGAATAAATACCCAGTCTATGCAATTTATTGACAGTGCGCCTTATGGTCCATGAAATGCGATACATCTAGCCTACTACATAGGACTTAATTTGATGGTTTGGCATTGGGACTATGTTGGAATCGCAGGTCAAATATCAAGGTCCAAATTGAGTGCGCACCACCTCACCCAGAATGTTATAATGAGGAGAGATTACAGTTAATGAGAGTAGCTCCTCACTCATCATCGGCTGCATACTATGCTTTGTTTGTGCCGCAGGTTATCTGTATTCGAAAATCATCATTGAAACAAGGGGTCCAGTTGTTGGGTCCAGTCACTGATGGCCAACACTGAATGATCAATCAATTTCTATACAGTGATTTTTCACACCTTTGCTCAAATACAAGCAGCCCTGATTGCTAGCGTTATGTAAGGAACATCTATTATTGGAAAAGCCGGGAGATTTCGGATTCGTCGTTGCTTTACAAATTTATTGTGATGTGACTTTTGCCCAAGATATGTGGCTCGCGATGCCAACACAGTTGATTCTAAAGTTTTAACCACTTGGCCGTCACGCTCACTTTTTGTATGAAAAGCTAGTCTGAATTGTTTGCCACCAAATGTTAAGCTTTCTCTTTCCAGTTGAAGTAGTCGATATTCACTTATTCAATTTTCTTCCAGAGCCTCCAACCAGAAATCCAGAGCACCTCCACCACCTTCTCAGAATGTAAGTTTCATTTACTAATATTTCTAATTTTATTATCCTGAATTTTCACCCTTGTTGTCTTGTTATTGTATATAATTTTCTTTAAATTAAAACAGTTTTGTCAATGTAGATAAACAAATGAATAAACACATAAAAAAGAGAATCTCTGGGTGAAGAGAGGGTGATTAAGGACGGGGGCACATTCATCGTTGAACAATCTAATGAATCTTCAGCGCTTTGTCTTCTTGACCAATATTGTTGGCACTGGAGACACAAGAGTAACCCCAGCGTATTGACTTTGTTACTGTTTCCTTGGTTTTCCAACCTTGGATTCTGTTAGAACCAAAATTTACCATGTAATACTTATTTTTGTTCTTCATTATATTATTCATTTAATATTTCAGGCCCATAAAGAAGTGAAACTACATGCAATGCCGTGAGTCATTTATATTTAGTCTCGACTATTCGAGCATTTTTTTTATACATTGTTTGTTATTGATAAACCATAAAAGCAAGTTTTTCCAAAAATTTTTTTTGATAAATGTGATGAGATGTGCAAGCCTAGAAGTTGAAAAAGACTTGGGTCTCGGGTTTAAATCCCATATCCACCATCTCACCCAGGTTGTGATGAATTGGGAGGCAATGGTTTTCAAACTATAGTAGCTCCTCAAATTGCAGTGACTGCTTGTTCAGGGCCTTGTTAGGAGCGAAAGGTGTGGAATGACGTCATGAAAAAATTTGTCATAATTTTTAGGGATGCGACAAGATTCGACTTGCGCTCGATTCATGGCCGAATGTCGTAATTTGATACTCGGATTCGGCCCATGCCTTTGATGATTTTACCCGAGTCCGGGACATCATACTAATTTAAACCAGCCGTTAAGCAAAAGATTGCACCGCAAGCAATAGTGTTTATGTGCAACGTTTTGAATTACATAGTCTTATCTTACAAAATGTTTAATTTACGGCCAATATACGCGAACAACAGCATCACTTTAGGTATTTATTTCGGAGCTATGTAAAAGTATTGGACTCAGGACTTGAACACGAGTCCAGCGCAAAATTATCGGGATTCGGCCGAACCTTTTTGGATTCGTCGCATCCCTAATAATTTTGGATTTCTCAACCTCCTTGTGTCTAGCAAAATGATTTGTGCATTCGGCAAAGTGAAAGTGTACATTGGGGACAATCAAGTCAAACTGTAGCAGACATTGAGTAAACATTGCCTTGTTGACATTGTCACTGGTTCTCAGTAATCAATGACGTCAGTTTCTTCATGATTTATCCTCTGAAGGTTGGAGGTGGTTTTTAACCATTTTTGAAGCCTGATTTGTTTTACTTTTGCATTTGATTTTGAGCTATGTATTCAGCCCTTCTCTTTATATAGGCTTTGTAAGCATTTTTTCAACTTTATTATTCTAAGTGACAAACCTGTAGTTGAAAATGTTCCTTTAGAGTCAACCTTTTCGAAGCCAAGGGCTACTTTCTGAGTACAGATTGAGCTGAGGGCTACCAGTTCAACGCACAGTTCTAAAAAGTCAATTTGCTCAATAACACTTACATTTTCTAACTGAGTGTTTTTCAAATTGATTTTAAATTGACCCCCATAAAATCCTAGGAAACCGCACTGTACCTGCTTTTTTTTACAAACGCCCTGCATATGCCTAAGACTAAATGAACTTAACAGTTGTACTATCAAATGTTACATTTACAAACTCATTTAACAAATTATGAATAACTTTTTTTCAACTAGGAGCAAACCAAAATCAAACAATCTGATGTAAGGGTCTCCACCAATGCGTTGTACTCAGGCGTGTAACCTGACACTGTAACTCTGAGCGAGTCTTGCAGATTTTCATCAGTGAGGCGTGTTCCGCGTTTGTTTTTGGTGAAGTTCATGTCAAAAAATGTTGATTCATAAAGATGGGTTGAACCAAACACTGGTCTCGTAAAATCTTGTTTGATTTAAAGCGCAATCTTTTTTCTGCACGTACTGCGCTGGTCAGTGGATAGTTAGCGTGGTAGATTGTGTGAGAAGATGTGAAATATCTCCCCACTTTGCCGTCGCTACAATCGCCTCGCAAATGAGACATTCGCAGGCTGTTTTAACGATGGTAAAAATAAATCCACCTTTCATTCATCGTGAAAATGTTAGGTTTTCTTTGGAATAAATAATCATATTATTGTTGTTCCACAGACCAACGGACAAAAAAAAAAACGCGTGCTAGTAGAAAGTGACATCTGTGTGATGTCATAATTGGAATAATATTAAATGGCCCATCACATCGCTGAGGTCAAATACAAATCAAATTGATCATTACAATAATTAATAAAGTGATGTAGCTCACTCATGAGCGCCGTTATTAGGCTTATTTCGGAACAGACCTGCAGGCGACTCATGTGGTCTTCACGGACGACTTGGTGCCCGCGGGCAACGGGTTAGTGACCCCTGCTTTAGAGAATTCATTTGTTTCGAATTGGGTTTCATTTCGAGCCTTGCAATGTATGTGTAAGTTATTGATAGCAAATTACATAGGCTGTCATCATTACTTATTGACATCGTTAATAATTATTCAATTGAATTAATTTTTATGTGTTTTTTATTGAACCTGACCCAATTTAGTATATACATACTCGAAAATTTTATTTTGGAATATCCTGGGATATTCATGACTTTATTGCCATATTGCACCAACTATTATGCACCCATATAAACAAATTCACACTCCAGAAATCCAACCAATGCTTTCACATTTTGGTATTCCAGAGTTGAATATTTAGAAAAGCATGACTCTTTCATATCGACCTGGCGCTATTTGATAATCAAAATTGTAACCTTTAGGTGTTCTATCTCATTGGTAGCTCCAAATTATGAATGAATTTAAAATTGGTTTGATGTTCCATATTTTCAAATACTGTATTCAGAATAGCGAATTGTTTGTGTCATTCTTGAGTTAGCAGCTCATTTGTTATTTTAATTATAGTCTGCGTGACCATATTGATTCTATTTAAACCTAGTTCCTTAATAAGGAATATCAAGTGACTCAGTGCGGCTATAACTAGTGAGTCATACAGGTTTTTGTTAATATTAGAACGACAGTTGCTTGATATCAAGGAGGCAAAATAGCAAACTCAATCAACATGCGTTACCGGTATATCTATCCTATCATAGTTGAGATTGAATCTAAACCGAGTTAAGCCAACTGTAAACCAATTATTATGAGTCCCTGTTAAGTGATAATCTCCCTCCTCCGCACAACAAAACCACCCACCAGGCCGAGTCATGGTTATTTGTTTTTGCTATTCATATGTCATCTATGACTGTTCCTAGGCTTATTAATGTTGAATAGCAGAATGCCGGACTGGATTTGCCAAACCGAATTATGATATTTCTGAGCTGGGGGTCAGTTCAAAAAAACTCTGATATTAGCATTTTGGATGTTTGTTAATATATATTGTTTGCTGCCACATGTGTTTGTTTTACTATGAATGAGCCTTGTAGCTGCAGGTATTAGCCTTCTATTCATTGCCATGGGGAAGTATAGACATTTGAAACAGTGGCTTAACTGAATCATTTGCATCTTACCAGTTCTGCATGCTTTACTATATCGAGCTTGATATTCACTTTCCATTGTAGATGGTTCCATGGTAAAATATCCCGAATGCAAGCAGAAGAACTGCTGAAACCTCGGCGTGATGGTTTGTTCTTGCTGCGGGAATCCACCAACTACCAGGGCGACTATACATTGTGTGTCTGTTTCGAAAGCCAGGTCGAACATTACAGAATTATTTTCAAAGATAATAAAGTAACCATAGATGAAGAAGAATACTTTGAGAATCTGACGCATCTTGTTGAGGTTAGTAGTATCATGTGCAATGGGATAGTGCCAATTCTGATTCATTCCTTTCTGCCTATTTTTTTCTCGCTGCTCACAATAACTATTTTCTGTTTCTTGTATAACTTCAAAGGATTGCTGAGGCTACCACTAACTCACACTGACTTTAGTACAGTTCAAACAGTTTGTGCACTTAGGTATATTTTGTGTCTATAAATATATAATTCAATACTACTGAACAATATTAGCAAAGTCACACCGAATACGAAATAATATTTTTGTATTTCCTCTCCAGTCGGGAAATACTGATGCTTGGAGCAAATTTGCAACTCGTCTATCTGCATTCTTTATAACTTTGCTTTGTTAAATCTTGAGTTAGTTTTCCTATTTTGTTTCTAGCATTATGAAGGTGACGCAGACGGACTTGTATGTGAGCTGAGGGAGCCTTTGAAGAAGCAAGGAGGTTTGGATTTCTCTGTGGACACAGAAGATTTCAGGAAATGTGAGAATTTGGAACTTTGTGAATTTTGTTTCATTGTTTGCCAGGGATTTCCAAACAAACAAAATATTTGAATTGATTTATAATAAATCAAAGTTTAAATTCTGGATTTTAGGAGTTAATTTGATATAAATTCTTGATGTACAATTTTTTCTTAAAGCCACAAAAAAAATATACTTTGTTATGCCTAAGCTTGCTTTGTGCGAATCGCACTTTTCTCTCAGCTTTTCATTTGGCAGATTTAATAATTTTATGTTCTATAAGAAGTGATTGTTCAAGTTTGAAATCACATGATTGCTTTTCTAGAGCCTTATAGCAAATCTTCCTAAAACTTTTCAGCTGGATGGGAAATTCCATCTTGTGAGCTTCACCTTGGGAGTGTCCTCGGGAAGGGAGAGTTTGGTGACGTTTACGAGGGAACTTACAAAGGTCAAAAGGTCGCTGTCAAATCTGTGAAAGACAAATCAAAAGCGGCTCAAGCTTTCTTAGCTGAAGCATCTGTAATGACGTAAGTACGGGGAGGCTATGTCTGCATTTTCTGGTGCACCTCGCACAAAAACAACCCTGATCATTTGGAACGTATCCTAAAGAAAACATAACTTTTGTACAAATCGTCTAGATCAGGGTTTCCCGAACTAGGGTCCGTGGACCTCTGGGGATCCGTGATGACTGAACACGGGGTCTGCAACGATATGAAACGTGTCTGAAGCCTATACATTTTACCGTTGTTATCGTTACTGTTACTGTTACTGCAAGGAAGGGGCATGAAACGAAATTCGGTTAATTGTGTGACACTGTAGTTATAAACACAATTAAATTATGTCCATATGTTCAATCAGTACCAACAGTTCGGATATCGGGTAGCAAATAGATCAGAGTATTTTAACTTCAATATGTATTGAATCAGACTTTCATGAGTTTTATTTTGTCAACGGAAACATTACCCTTTCTCGTTGGTTAGGCACAGAAATTGATACGGAAAAGTAGGGCTACTCAACTGGCCGAACTTTAGCGGAATCCGGACCTTTTAAGCATTTGATTCGGACCGCGCCTAATTCTTTATTTTGGATCATTAGTCCTACTTGTGAAGTTTTATTTTATAAAATGACTTTTATTGTTTTGAATATATATGAAAAGAACTATAACGCCATAATAAACAATCTTGATTAGCTAATAACCATATGCTGGTCGAGGAAGTGTGCGTTTAAGAATGCAGAAATATAATTTCTGAAAACTCTGGACCCAAATAATTTTGAAGTTTTGTATGCGGTTGGTTCTTCAGTAACAATAGTTGAATAGCCCCGTGATATAGGATGGGGGTCCGTCAAAAATAAAATTCACAAACAGGGATCCGCGGCCCAAAAAGTTTGGGAAACTCTGGTCTAGATTACTGAAACTTGAGTTCAATCGAACACAAACAGAAGTTTAAGTGTTTTCCCCCTTCTCTCAGTAGAAATAACGAGATATATTGGTTTTGTTTTCTGTATGTGTGATATTTGTTAAGTCAAACAAGTTAGAAATATTAGTTACTTATGGACTGAAACAATGGAGCAAAGCATTTTGGTACCTTGTGCTCTGTAACTTTTATTTTTCCAGCAAACTAAACCACAAGAACCTGGTCCGACTGCTCGGTGTCGTAATTCCAAAGAGAATGTCAAACGATCCGATCTACGTTGTTCTAGAATTCATGACGAAGGGAGCGTTGCTGGAATATCTGAGGTCAAGAGGTCGTGCTCTCCTATCTCAAGCGGATTTGATTGGTTTTGCTCGGTGGGTTCGAAATTTATTTTGAGTCGGCGGTTCCCAAGCTTTTTTGTATATATTCCTCCATCTGCCTAGTTTGGACTCTTCCCTCACTTTGTGTTAAATTCTCTTGTTTGTCAATTTTTAATGAATCCAGGTTCTTGCACTCATGTTCATGTCCATAAATATGTTTTCAATAAGACCTAAACTATATTGTAGCTTCATGTGAATAAGTTTTGTATTTCCCAGCGATGTAGCATGCGGGATGGCGTATTTAGAAGAAAAGAAACTCGTTCATCGCGATCTGGCAGCTCGAAACATTCTTGTATCAGAAGATGGAAGCGCAAAGGTGTCGGATTTTGGGCTCGCCAGAGATGAGCAGGCGAATTTACAAGGAGGAAAGTTTCCTGTGAAATGGACTGCACCTGAGGCCCTCAAGCAATCAGTGAGTAGAAATTACAGCCAGAGTTAGGATTTTATTTGTAACTTGGAGAAAAGAAGGATATGATTTACATATTTATCCCAGAGAGAGGAAAGTTGATAAGGCGGTCAACTCATAAGGCGTACCAACGCTTCTCGTTCCGTTACCAGTCCATGGTAGATATGGGGCTAGTTGGCCAGGTATTCGTTTCAGATGCATGGACTTTATGGTGGAGGAAGCATGAGCTGCGGTGGCGAAGAATCCAGCAATCTTTTCGCACATAATTATCTCTGCATGGGATGCAAACATGTACAGGGTAATTAGAGGTACGGTGCCAAGCATATTCCTAATGGCTAGCATGATGCACCACACTGCTGATCCCGAGGTAGCAGGCAGGACGCAGTGGTACTCAAATTTTCATGATTCCTTTGCAAAGACCTGCTGGTGGCTCTGCTTTTTCGTATAAAGACCTTGTTTTGTTTCTTAGAGAAATTTCCATTTAATTTCTCATGTTCCTTATTAAAAAGTCAAGAATTGAAAAACAAATGCGTTACAATTAAAGAATTAAATAAATCAGTCAGTCTACTTCAAATTAATGGAGGCTCAGCAAATGGTACCTAGTTGAAGGACTTTTCTTGTGTTCACCAAAGAATCTCTCTGTGGGCCGCTAGGGGGCTGGCAGCCTAGTTTAGGAAACCCGGTAGATGCCGAACAAAAAATTGGGACAAATTTTGAGTGGAAAAATGAGATGGATGGTTTCTTGTTTGACTGATCAGATTTATACATTCATGCTTTGTTTCAGAAATTTTCAAATAAATCAGACGTGTGGAGCTACGGTGTCATGCTGTGGGAGATCTGGTCGTTTGGGAGAGTTCCGTATCCCAGAGTGGTGAGTATTATGAACGTATACAAATCCTGCAGTGAAAGACTGATTCGTTGCAATAGAAATAAAAAGAAAGATTTGAAATAATCCATGAATTTTTTCAGTTCATTCAATTTTCATCTCTTCGCTGGCAAGCACTCCACTCAATTCAAGCAGTTAATTTGAAAATAAATAGATTTCTTAGGATTATCACTTGGATTGAACACATTGATTTATTTTCTATTCAGGACATTGGGCCTTTTCAGGAGTACCATTTGCCCCACTCTATCCGAACCGTATTGCTTTATTTACTTATTCAATTTCTAATTTCAGCCTCTCAAGGATGTTTTGAGCAAAGTCATGGATGGATATCGCATGGACAAGCCGGACCGGTGTCCGGAGGAAATTTATTGTCTCATGAAGAAATGTTGGGACATCAACCCCGACACCAGAATTTCATTTGTGGAAGTCATAGCTGAATTAGACAAAATCAAGAAAGGCCCTTTAACCCAGTCATGACCGATGGTGACCTGAAAATTTGGCCCAATGTGACCTCATAAAGTCATGAGCCGCTCTAGATTTTATGAAATTCCATTTGAGATTATGAACTTTAGTTACCCATGTTTTTGCCTCGCATTATAAGATCATGTACCTGTTACAATGAACTATAGTAACCTAACACCCAGAAACTGTCTTCAAGTGAACCCTGATTTAGGGTCAAATTAGGTCACAGGTTTGGAACAGCGTAACCCATGACTGTCAGGTCCGCTTATCTCCCAGGGAAAGAGCATATATATTCTTAATAATGGTCACCTACCCATTTCCTACTCCTTAATTGCTTCTTCTCATTAATTTTAATCACCAGTGAGTAGCTAGCCAAACTTTTCTTCTGCCCAGGGCGAGTTTCTCATAGTGACTGATGTCCCTTATGCATAACTTCAAATACAATTCTGGGGATGAGAAAATTATAGATATTGTTATACACAAGAATGAATAAAAGTCGAATAACACATAGAGAAAAGCATGTGTAATACCTCGAACTCTACGTTCGGATCTGCTGCTACATCTTGCTGTTCCTATGGCCCCTACCTGACTGGGCATTTGGGAATGCCATGAACTTTATTGAACCCATCATTGACCTATAGTAACCCCACATTATTGACCAAATCATATGAATCTATATTATTAACATTTCTTGTCATAATGTCTATTAATCATTTTTTTCTGTAATTTTATCATAATTATTATTTTTTGTGGGGGTGCACATCAATCCGAAAGCATTCACTTCAAGATGTGAAAACTATATGAATGAGCATTTTTCATTACCAGTTTTTTCAAACTGAAAGTTGTTAGCCTTCTTAGATGTGGTTAGCACTATGGCTTTTTAATACTAGTTTTTCCGAAGCAAGGAGCTCAGCCTCCAACTAAAAGTGGAAAGAATATTTACAGAAATTTTAAATGCGGCCGCTGAACGGCTGAATGCTATATAGTTCTCTTATTTTCATTTGAACATAATTCTTTGTTCTTGAGGTGCAATTGTTAGAAAAATTTTGATGTTTTAAACATGGCTGAAGCCTACGTTTAAGATTTATCTAGTAATAATGTAATTGTTCCATATAATGAAATAACTTTGTGTGATTATGCCATTTTATCATGTTTTATTAACAATTGATTTTGTTTTGTGTGTTTGTTGTGGGCAGCTTTGATTTTGCTAGGAGAATCGAATTTTCCCAAAATCCTAATTAGGACTGATTACTTGAAATATATATTGATCCTAATTAGGACTGATTACTCAAAATTTTTATTACGGCTTCCTCCACCATCAAGCCCATGTATCTGTAACAAATAACTGAATAACTAATCCCATACTCGACATGGACTATTTACTGTATAAGGATTTCCTCTCCCTCTGGTTAATATGTAAATGCTATCCTGTATTAATATGTATCAATATTTTATTTGTTAGAGTAGCGTGTACCCTAACTAACTACCTTTATCATTGCAAGAATAGATATGGCTGAATGTTTTAGAAAGTCTCAACTCCAGTTGTTCTCATTGACCTCCTTACAAAGAGTCTAAACACTCCATGGCCCCCGTTTTCTTTCAAATTACCTAGTTTTGCTTCGATAGCTTTCCCATTGAACTGTGTTTACTAATAATATGTTTTTGTTGAAAGACTTGTCAAAGCATTGCTTGAAAATTAATCTTTCATAGTGGCAACCTGTAGATTTGTTTCTCAGAACCAAATTTTTTCATGAAAGAGATTTTTTTATAAAATCTTTCACTTCCCAAATCGTCTGTTGGAGTAAACGGAATAGTCGCGATAATTCTCACACATCAGTGACTGACTTACCTGAGACTAGTTCACAGTGGAAAACGCCTCATGAAAAGACTCTGTACTACTTATGTTTGAATAATTCTGGCAACTCACAGTTCTTTCATGAAGAACCACTTCTAGGGAGTCAAAGGCCCTTTATGGGGAACTTACCCTAGAATATTCTGTTCTGTTTTAACTCTTGTGTATCCTGTCTCATGCCGCAATCAATTATCTGATCACACTGCAAGCAATAACACTTCTATGCCGTTGTTGTTTTTTGTCATTTATATATTTAGCCAAACATGCGTTTTAAAGCATTATAGCAGGGCTCCTCAACCTGACCAGGGTAAAAACGAGAATCAATATCTGTTACACGAATAAGCTATCGCTTTCATTTTAAAGCAAAATGACTTGTATAGATTTCAATATTGTTGCGATTGTAATGCCTCGTGAGTCTCAACACAGAGATGACCGTCTGTTTTTTTTGTAAAACTTTGCTTTTGTTTTGTTTCGCCTCTAACTTACTAAACTAATCAATCCCTAACAATTCAACAATGGTATTAATTCTGCCATGGCCCTCCTCGCCAAACACAAACTTCGGGAGGGTTGAGATTATCGTTGGATTTACAGAAGGGGTGGATAAAGGTTGAGAACCCCAGAGTTGTTGTCCTTTGACCACATTCCTTTTCATATGCAATGCTGTGGCAATCTGGAATTCCAGCCCGAAACAATTTCTAAGAAAAAATATTTTTGATTGCTAAACTTTTTATTGGAATAATCTGGCGAATATCGCTCCAAACATTGATGTTTAAAAGCATTTATTTCTTCGATATTTTTAAATTTAAACTTTTGCACTTTTGTCCCAATACCCTCTATATCAGTTTGATTCGGGTTGAATTTGACACACGTTTAGATGCAATTTTCGATTGGATAATTCACAATCAGACAACAACCTGCAAGTGATGTGACCGAGGGCTATTATGCCTCCCATATTAAGTATATATTTGCTGGGCCAAGCTTCCTATTTATATGCCCAAATATTTTATGTGTGATGTTGCTGGCACAATATCTTAATTATTATTCAGCGACCGTAAATAAATGTTCATCATATATGATCTGCCGGACTGAAAGTGAGTACGTGAGGTGGGAGGAGTCTGGGAAATAACATAAGAGGTGGAAATAATCAGGAAAGTGCGAACATGGGGAGAAAGAAGTCTGTAGGTGAATACACTAGGTGGTAGGAATCTGGGAAAATAATATGGGAAGAGTCTGGAAAATCAATAAGGGAGGCGGGAATTCAAGAATTCTTAATTTCTCTTACTCGGGATATATATGTAAATCCTATCTCAATAAATGACGAAGGTGAAGATTCAGTCCATGGGTGTGCAAAAAGTTTTGCCGGAAGGCTATATTATAACCAATTTCAGGCATCTCGCTGGGCATAACGAAATACCGTAAGTTAGTAATTAAGGCAGTGACAAGAGCAAAGAACATTATGTACTTTAACCATGTGAGCGCCTTTTTTAACACAAATTGTCAGATTATGATTTTATGCTTGATGCAAAAATTCTGAGTCACAAGGGCCACATAAAATTGTTTCAAATCGCGAAAATATTTGTCACGGAACCACAAAATCTACTCACGTGACTTTTCGGGTTGGGTGCCTCTTCTCGGTAAAGTAGTTGCCAGATTGATATTGGGGGGTTTAGCGCTATGAAATTATTTAAAGCTAAGTCTGTAAGTTTACAGTTATTCAGTTATTTATGCATTTTGCTGAATACAGACTACCGGTATGAGTTATCAGTCTGTAATTACAGAATTAGGTGGATCAGCCTTATTCATTATCTGCCAAATTAACAAATAGCTCGCTTTTTTACCTCTGTGTTTTTCAGCTCAATCTAGTCTTAAAAGCTACAGAACTGAGAGAAACAATGGCTTACCAGTATAACCAGCCTGGAGGTTATCAGCAGCAGCAAGGGTACCAGCAGCAGAACTATCACCCCCAGCAAGGTTACCAAGCACCTGGTGGTTATGGCCAACCTCCCCCTCACCAACAAATCCCTGGAGTTGATTTATGGGGAATTTTCACTCGTGTAGATCGAGATAGGAGCGGTCAGATCTCGACAAGAGAGCTTCAAGAAGCTTTGTCTAACGGAACTTGGCAGCCATTCAACCCCGAGACAGTTCGGTTAATGATTGGAATGTTCGACACTGACCACAGCGGTTCAATTAATTTTCAAGAGTTTGCAGGATTGTGGAAATACGTCACAGATTGGCAGAATACGTTTAAAAGTTACGATCGAGATAATTCTGGATCGATTGATAAAAGGGAATTACAAACTGCATTGACTTCGTTTGGATACAGGTAAGTCGAGATTGAGTGTTTCATTGCAAATTACTGGTTTGGCCGGGAACAGAGGGTAGGGTGGTGGGGTCTGGTATAGTTTACCCGAAATCGAGCAAGCTATTTTTCTTGTTGCAACGATCACGATAGGAGAGAGATTGTCGGCTTTAGCAAGTTCTTATCGGCGGCGCAGATGCCATTTCGGGCGATCGTAATTATACTTTGGCAATCCCTATGACGTGATGGTGACGTCGTAGTGACGTAATTTTTGTTTGGCATAGTCAGGTGAGGGTTAGGAATAACATATGCTAAAATCGTTATGCTACGCCCACTGGAAGTACTTGTGGTACTAAACTATACTAGACCCGGGTGGTGCAGCCAGTCTGCGAACCCCTATAAAAAATAAACTAATATTTCTAATCAGTTAACTCGTCTAAATATAAACAAAGCACCGCATCGTTTAACTTATGATTTTGACTTCCAGTCTCCATGACAGCTGTTTGAAAATAATAATAAAGAAATACATCTGGTTTTGTATGGCATTTGTTATTGCTTGGTATGGCAAATATCTGTGGTGATTATGTAGGTTAAATACAAGATTATTATTTTCAAACAAATCCTAAGGCGACAGAATCATAACTCGAATTGTCTCACGGTAGGATGACGAACCTGTGAACCACTGATAAGAGCAGATGGTTATTAGATGTAATGCAGTAAATATTTGGGCCCAGGACTATTGAGTCGGAATCAGACTTTGATTGAATTGAAGTCAAGCCGGGGTTGTTTTTTTATAAATTCCCTTGAGACAAATGAGACAAAAGTTTTGGCATCCAAATTTTAGGCTTCTAATTCTGATTTTCATTTCAGATTGTCGGATAGATTCTACGACCTGTTGGTCAGAAAGTTTGATCGTCAGGGCCGAGGAACGATTGCATTCGATGATTTCATCCAGTGCTGCGTCGTTCTGCAAACTTTAACAAAGTCCTTCAGTGCTAAAGATACCAGCAGAAACGGGATGATTCAAGTATCGTACGAAGAATTTCTCTCCATGGTGTTCAGTGTTAGGTCATGAACTCAAAACTTTTAATTGATATGTAACCACCTATTATTGTATTAGTTTACCGAATGTCCAATTTCTGGGAATCATAGTTCTTCTTATTTCGAGAAAATATTATTTTCATTTCTGTGATGAATAATTATATTGAGGACATTGATTCAATACTGCAGGTTTATTCAACAAGACAATCAGACAGGTGTTTCACGCCGTATTATTCGCCTTTTCCATGTGGTGAAACCTGGCGACCCTTATTTTGAATACCTTGTTTGTTGGGGTTAGAAATAAATTGAACAGAATTCAAACTTTCATAAAATTTCACTCCGATTTGTCATGGTTCTCAAACTTTCATGCCCTTCTGAAGTCTTCAACACTTTTCCAACTCTCACAAAAATAACAAGTTTGGTTTTTAATAACATGTTTTCATTGACCATGTTACCCATGTATAATAATAAAAAAAACAAGAACTGCATCACAGGCAATTTACTTTAAATGAATGTATTGCTAATGATATCTGATTAGCGGTTCTACTCTCTGGGCCCCTAGGGTCGATGGCCTAGTTTGAGAAACCATGCCATGGACTGTATTTATCTGAAAAAGAACATTAATGAAAGTTGGTTTTTAACATTTCCATTCAATTCATTATGCAGTGGAATTGTTAGATTTTTAGAGAAACATTTTGATGTGAATGTTTATTCATCCAAGTCTAAATTATTGTAAATTTATTCGGTACAATGTTATGTATTTATATTCACTTCATAGTGAGTTCTTGTAGCCTTGCTTTGAACAAACATCAAAGACCATGTGTCAGAAATGAATAACTGGTTGTAATAATAATGTTCACGTACACAACATGGACTGGGAATGGGACGAGAGGCCCCAGTTATCAATATGTCTTATAGGCTTTTCTCTCCCCTCGATTTGAAATCTTATACTGATCGTATTCTAAATATTCATAGAAGAGATTATTGCGCTCTTCTAAAATAGTGATCTGATTTTTTTATTGAATTATACATACATTTGCTTTGATGTGATGAAATACCCAGTTTTTGTGACATAACTCGTTAATAATTGGTATTTAAATTAAATTTAGAGCTCTGTATTGCGTGCAGCATTAAATACCTGGCACTGACCAAGAGAAATATGATCAAAGAAGTTTGCTATCCGACTTTGATAAAATGTTATGTTGAGTCATAATACATATTTGTATCCTGCTTTATGATGTAATATTATATATTTGAATCTTGGGAAGGAAATTGTAATCTGGGAATTGAATTAATATTTGCATTCTTACATATCTTGTTGTGTATTGTTGATCACTTGATTTCTATTCATTCAATTATTGTGATGAGCCCAGCTAGCGCAGTTTTCTTGAGTAGAAAGCAGTGCTGATGCTTTATTCTTGTTACCAATGTTCCTGATCCAGATTTTTCATATTGCATTTGAGATACTTGTGCAAATTGTGCCTGCAGTAAATGCTCATTGCTAATGAATGTTTCCTCGTTTCCTAACCCAAGAAAAATCTCCCTACACTCAATTGTGGCAGAATTGTCTGTTCTTGTTTTCGTGAACTGGACATCTGACTTTTGTTTTATAAATATCCATTTTATATTAGAATATTTGAGCTTTCATAATGAAGTGAGCAGAGAATTCTATGCTCAGAGAAATATACATCTCTCACAGGGAACACGTTATTTTTTTCTCAAAGGCATGTACCGGTATGTTATAAATAGGGCTGGCAATTTCAAAAATGTGTGATGATCACAAGTATCCAAAACTATATTCGTTTACTGAATGCCTGCAATTTGGAAAGTTTTTATTTATGTAATTACTGTATCTTTGTTAAATTTGCTAGTTTGGCCATAAGTGAAATTCATGTCATGTTATGCTCATTCTAGCATTTCTGGTCATGTCGAATAAACATTTTATCTGTACTCATTATATCTTTGCGTAGAATTCAGTTTTTTAGAGTGCCTAGATTTGGTAGAGCTGGTATCACAATTTATACTGAAAATATTAATAATAAGAAACTTATTTTTTTCATAATTCATTGAATTAATGTATAATATGATTAACTTAGACTAAATGGAAAGTAGTGAGAGTGAAGATTTGAATCTGCCAATTGATTTTTGGAGATTATTACATAAACAAAAGGATTACTCAAGCGGAAATAATGCAGAGGTGGAAATCAGTAATAAATTGAAAGGATTATCTGATCAGCAAGGGTGTGGGAATTACTCATCTGTAAATATTGCAGAGTTGGAAATAAAACAAAATTCTAAGGATTATGTTGAATATTGTTCAAATGCTACGAGAGTTTTCACACGAAAGAGGAGGCCTAAGAAAGGTCCAATAGTCTATTCCGACTCTGATAGTGATGATGATACAAAACATATTGAACAATCTCGTAAACTGTCTAAATATGAAAACGCAAAAATACATGGCTCTTCAATGACAATGAGCTTTTTAAAAAATGGCGATTCTGAACCCACTGCTTCAATATATCAAAATGCAGTGAAGCCAGATACCGTTGCTAAGGGCAACAAGATGTCTGGTGGAGGCAACAGAAGAAAACGAAAACAGGATAAACTTGCAATGAATTTGGATGGTAATCTTACAGAAAAACAGTTTGACGATGAAATAAAGATTTGTAAACAAAGTGACAATGAAGACACCTCAAATATAACTCGATGTGATGTGAAGACATCAGAGAACACAAATTTTCTGGCCGAGAAACGCTCACTGAAGCACAGCAGAACATCCAAAGTCCCAAATGAAAAACTTGTTAAATCGAGATTGTCAAATGAGAAAGATTCCTCTGATGAAGAACTCGATGCCTCAGAGATGGAGAAAAGGTTTAACATGGATCGGAATAAGTCTAAAATATCTCGGTCTCGATTCGGCTCCCTGAGGAGGAAAAACTATAAATTTGCGCCGATAATATTTTCAGATGAAAACGAGGAAATTGTTATTGAAGGTAAAAGGTCAGTGAAGGTCGCGGAAAACCAAAACCTTGATATTTGTGGAAAAAATGTGAATCTGACTTGTATAGAGAAACCTGGGTCCATTATTAAACCAGTTAATAGTAACGTAACTACTATAGAGTCTGGTGAACAGCCAGGACCCAACATCGATGACTCATTTTCTGTGTCAAATAATGTTAAAAAGTTGGTCTCTGATAATGCAAAGCATTCCCCAGGGAAGAAATTACTCAGAAATGGAACAGATGGTCATAATTCGTCAAATCAGATAATCAATGGCACATATACTCGAGATAACTATTCGGCTAATAATAGAAGTAACCAGCTCACTAATACTGATACTATCGTGTCACCATCGAGTCCATGCAGCAATTCTAAAACTGGTCGGGCCCTTTCTCAAATGAGTGATTTATTTTTCAATGATGATGATTGTAAAATTAAACCAGCCCCTGGCAAACAAAAATCAGGCAACACTGATTCTAAATCTCATGCTCGTATTGCACAATCTTTGTCTAATATTACGCAATCTAATACAACTATTGCACAATCATCTGGGGGTCATGAAGTCACCTTATTTGATGATGATTTATGGAGTTCGCCAAGAAAATAATCAGGGCAGAATCAAGAAATGTAAGCTTTCATGTCACACTTACATGGTCCCTGGCCCACCTCTGTTCTAACAGCCAAACCTGAGAAAGCACGCAATGCAGCCACAGCTTTGAAATTCAAAAGATTGCCCCCAGTCCATATTGATGGAGGACAAAAAAGTCTATTTCTGGTAAATTCGACCCTGAAGCTTACAGCGGGAATATTTATTGTATCATATATTTTAATACTTTTTTGCTTTTTATGTAAACCCACTGTGATATTATCATTTACGGTTGAATTGTTTCAAATCAATTAACTTTTCTATGTTTCCCAACCATTATGACCTCATTTTAAATTGAATTTTCACAAATTTGCAATGTTTCAAATTAAAAATTCCATTATTTTTCAAATAGTATTTTTCAGAAAATTTTTGTTGCTAGGCTAAAATAAGTCTCAAATCAGCAAAATGCCGGCCGTTTCCCGTGGCGATGGAATGAGGGGCTTGTCAGTCTTTATTGCTGATATTAGAAACTGTAAGTTTTTGATTTTACTATAAATTGATTTAAAATTGTTTGCTCTGAGGCTTTCTTACCTTAGAGCAGGGGTCACCAACCTTTATGGAGCAGCGGGCTACTTTTTTGGTACCGACTAAGCTAAAATCACTCTACTGAAAAGCCAATTTGATATTAATGGTATTCAGCGAAGGAGACACTGATAATGTTTATTATTCATGAAACTATCAATAGTAGGTGTCCTATCATAGTTTTTTTTTTTTACCAACACATTTAACAAATCATGAATATCAACCGAGACCAAATCTGGTGTATTCCTCCTCAGTACGTGGGAAATCTGGTATTGCATGATCTCCACCCTTGTGTTGTACTCTGGTTTGCAACTTGACACCGAAACTCTGAGTGAGTCTTGCAGATGTTCATCGGTGAGGTGTGTTTAATGTTCGTTCTTGATGAAGTTCATATGATAAAAGACTGATTCACAAAGATGGGTTGAACCAAACACCACAGCACTTTCTGTGTCAACTAGAGCCGTAAAGTGTGACAGGCCCTAATTGGCTTTGAGGTGGAGGTCATTTAGCAGTGTTACAATTTTAAGCTGAACGTTGCTCAACAATGCTTGACATGTCCAAGTTCCATTAAAACAGGTTAGAAATGAACGACACGCATGGCTCCAGCTGATCTATTGTGTGTGATGTCATAATTGGAATGACTTGTGACATTACCGATGTCACATATAGAAAAGGTTGACCGTTACAATAATTATTAATTATTATATTGTCATTTCCATTTCTCATATAGGGTTTGAACAAGAATAGCAAGAATAAAATTAATAGATGTAGCTTACTGATAAGCGCCGTTATTTGAGTTATTTCAAAACAGACCTGCGGATGACTCATTATGGTCTCTGCGGGCGACTTGGTGCCCGTGGTCAACGGGTTGGTGACCCCTGCCTTAGAGTGAGTTCATGTGGCGTGTTTTGGATAACATTGAGTTGACCAAACTATTCTTGTTTCCAGGTAAAAGCAAGGAAGCAGAGAGTAAAAGAATAAACAAAGAATTAGCAAATATAAGGTCAAAGTTCAAAGGTGAGAGTTGAAATATTTTAATGGAAAACACAAGAATTCCAATTTATGCTTCATTATCTCGCTGTTTTTGTGTTAGCTATTCTTTTCTGTAGCAGTGAAACATGGCTAGTCTGCCCTCTTTACTATTTCCTGTACAAGATGGCTATGATTTCACAGCAGGTTCTGTTCGTAGTAATGCTTGGTTTTTATTTGTTCCAACTGTGCTTCCTAGCTTGTCCTACTATATAGTTTAAGATGGCATTGCTATGATGCCATAGCAAGTTATTAAAGAACTAGGTATGCTCTCATTTTTAATTTGCGGTTTTGGGATTCCATAGAGTTTGCTTTTTTGACTAATGATAGCCTACATTCAAAGTAATATTCTATAATGACTCATCAAATACCGATACCTCATTATTAATATGGAAAACAAATCGAATAAACTTTGAATAATTTGTTAATTTATGAATTGCTAAAAACAAATTGTTTGGCTCTATGTCATTGAGTTACCGACTTGTACTCTTGAACAAATAGGAAGCACTTTGTGCCGGTGATTGCTATGTTTGTTTATTATAATTGGTTGTTTCCTGAGTTGAGACTTATAGTAGGTCCCAGTACCAGGCATGATGTTTCCTTTCAATCTGGTTTGGTATTTTAGTGGAAGGGCTTTTTGATTCATATCAAGCTGACATGTTTCAGTACCCAAGAAATGCTTTATCAAAGCTATAATGTTACACATGAAAATTTGTGGTCAAGCTGACCTGATGAACCCTGCTGAGTTTATTTGGGAAAAGGATCAATGTGAAACAATATAACAGCAGAGGCAATTATCAGCAACTATTTTCGATTTTCAGAACACTTTTTATGAACAAAATTAAGTCTATTTTTAAAAATCCCCAAAATCTAAAAAAATATTATTTAATACCAACCTATTGAAATATTGGAACATCAGCTATGCAGGCGTCTTACTATTGGTTCGAATTCAAAATTGATCAAAATATTGAAGATCAATATCCAGGCTGTTGCTTGATGGATCAATACTGAAGTCAATAAATATCAAACAGGGTCGCAAAATGTTCAACTGAAATCAAAAATATTTTGTTTATAAATGCAATAAAGTTTCACTACATTTGAAACTCTGAACAGAATTTGTATGAATATGTTTTTATGTGAAATCGGCCCAAAACATGTTATTAAGATTTGGTTGAGCAGCTGAAATCAATCATGCTCAGACAATTTGTATTTCATTCACATTGTGCCTTTTGCTAAATCATGACACTTGTCTAATTGTGGCAGCTAAGGAGACACTCAATGTCAATATAGGCATCCACTCTGTCATATTTTGTCTGCTCGGATGTATCGAAAAACAATTGTTCCTATGTTTGTTTTATTCCTCCCTTGGCCTGTTCAGACCTGCACTTTATTCACCCTATTCCATGTGTAAAGGCTTCAATAATCTCAAATGAGTCCAATGTTGTACGCAATTCGCACTCCTGCCCAGTCCACATCAGAGTTTCCTAAACTTTTTGGGCCGCGGACCCCTATTTGAGAATCTTAGTTTTGACGAACCCCCATCCATGGTAATGTTTCATTTACAACACAACAACGCAAACGAAATTAATGCACAATTTATCAATTCTCGGAACAAATTATGACAAGCATACTCGTAGAATCGACTCTACGACAAGTCTCAACCTGTATTTTATCATCATATTGATAAGAGGTGAAAATGCTGCCTCACGCATGTAGGTCGTTACAAAAGGCAATAAAATTTTAATTGCCTTTTCTGATAGCAGTGGATATTCGTCCGCAACGCTCAACTAAAAATATGCAATTGGTCTTTGATTAAAATCAATCATGATATATCGATCAGAACTTTTTTCATATCGTTGCGGACCCACTGTGCAGTTGTCATGGACCCCCAAGAGGGCCCCAGTTTGGGAAACCCTGGTTTGAATGGTTTATAGCCAGGGATTCCATCCATCTGGAACACAAAAAAAAGGACGACTGGAAAAATTTCTGCATTGTGTGCAGAAATAGCTGGCTTTCCTATGGCCTCCAGGTTAAAGTCACAATTACAGACGTCACTGTGTGCAAAGCGCTTACCCTTCAAGCTTCGTTTAACTTTAAACTCTTTCTCGGACTCGAAAAATGTTTTTACGTTTGCTCATATTTAAATTTAAGCTAAAATAACCACCACCACGACAAAACTCAAGGATCGCCACACTAGTAATGCTTCATGCCCTATCTGTGCCTTGCCTCTTTGTGTTCCAAATAAGATTGTGTTGCTTTTTCGATGCCGCAATAAAGCCTTGGCGATAAGATCAACAACAACAAAGCTTTTAATATGAAGTCCAAATAAGACCAAATAAGGACCCGCAAGCCAAAAATGCGGACGCAAGCTAAAAATAAGCCAAAAATAAGGACAAACCTTAGAAAAAAGGACGGTATGGATCCCTGTTTATAGCGGATGCATTAATGAGTATTACTCAAGAACTAAACAATATTAGTGAAACTGCAACCATTTGCAAAGCAATATTCCCGCTCAAAAGCATCACAGAAAGGCGGTGGTAAAGCTTCTCTTCTGATTTACTCTCGGCGTTATGTATGGTCGGTTCATTAGAGCTTGGAATGATAGCGATCTTAAAAGATAAATATTCATTGCAGGAGACAAGACATTGGATGGATACAGCAAGAAGAAATATGTCTGCAAACTCTTGTTCATATTCCTGCTGGGTCATGACATTGACTTTGGACATATGGAAGCCGTCAACCTTCTCAGTTCAAACAAGTACACTGAGAAGCAGATTGTGAGTTTTGGCTTCAAAGCAGGCACTTTAGCATAAGAAACTATAAATCTGTGTGATAACTTGCTTTAATTGCTAAACATGACTGCACCACCGCTATGTCATTGTCACATTGCTCTCCATCCAGCCATTGTGAGTGCTCAATGAATGACATCTGGTAGACCATTTTCATGTCTACAGCTCCCATTGCTAAGCCCGTATTTTACCAGGATAATAAGTGTTTTTTTTTCCAGGGTTACCTGTTCATCTCTGTTCTGGTCAGTTCGAGCTCAGACTTGATCAAGTTGATCATCCAGAACATCAAGGTAAGAGGGTTTAAGACTTGTTGAACTGCAGGTCCTTTCTCCATGTGTAGTTGTTTCCCTGCTTGAATAAGATAGCACCATTAGATTGAGACAATCTCTTTCCATGAAAGTCGATTTCGTTATTTCAAACAATATAACTTTATATATGAAGATCGTGATGATACGTGCTATTCCATGGTAAGGCTGTCGCTTGGCCTGGCGTGCCACAAACCATGATCGCATATGATAAAGTGACCCCACTTACTGAATTTTTATTTTAGACTTTGCTGGGAATTCCCATTTTAAAGGTTGACCCTAAAAATGGAATCCAAATCTTTTGGGGATTGTTTTAGAGAGAACAAAACTGTTGTGCAGATTTTGAATGTGCACAATCATACACAAATACTTTTTTCATAGAATTGATCAAAAAAGTTATGTTTTTTTTGAGGTCTCTGTTGTACTCCCTAGTTCAGCTCCCTACCTAGCTCTTATTTAACCCCTTTGCTATCTTTCAGAATAAAGTCGTTAGTATTTTTCATTTTATTTATCCCTTTGACAACTTTCACGATAATCTTCTTTAGCCCTTCCATTACCTTTCAGAACGATATTTCATCACCAAACCCAATCCATGTTAACCTTGCTCTCCACTGCATCGCCAACATCGGATCCCAAGATATGGCCGAAGCCTTTGCTCCTGAAATCCCGAAACTGCTCGTCTCACCGTAAGTTATTGTTTATACATTGCTCATTCATTTCTTGTGCTTTGAACAAGGCCATGTACCATATAGCCGCTGATTAAAATAAAACAAACTGAGTTGAGATATACTGAGAACTGACTTCATAATATTTCAGTTGTCAGGCATAACTTTGTTCAGAAATAGTCATTTTTAATCAGGTGACCTTGCTTTGAGCAAAACCATTCCAACCACGACTAGTGGACCCTTTGGCCCAGGAGAAGCTCTGTAAAACCCTAGGGCAAGGGCGTAAGTTTAAGAAACCCTGACCCAGCATTTTGTGTGAACCTTACATCTGTACAAACGGCCTTTATTTCCTGTTTATTCGAGCTCCAGTATTGTGTAATGAATTGTTCTTAATCATTTGACTTCGTAAAATCAATAGCAAAAGGAGCAAATCTACAAGAAAAACAATAATTAAATTCGCCTTATTCGGAGCATATAGAAATATGTTGTATAAAAAGTTGTATTTTTTTGTTACACAGTGAGTCTTCATATTCTTAATATATCCATCTGTTTATTCCAGCGACACCATCAATATTGTAAAGCAATCAGCAGCTTTATGTCTACTTCGTTTGCTTCGTACTGCACCAAACTGCCTTCCCCCTGGCGAATGGTCATCCAGGGTTATTCATCTACTCAACGACCAGCACATGGTGGGTTAAAAAATTGAGGCTTGAGTTATTATATTTGCCCCACGAGATGAAAACATTTATGAACAAAAAAGTTTTTGCAATAAATATGTGGATGATAATTGAAAGCGGGTTTCTAATAGTCATTGCAGTCAAAGAATTGAACAAACACTGCCACTGCCAAATCAGTGAAGTGATAGTGAAGGCTTGTGTGGTGCTGAGAGAATTGATTCGTGGCCATCTTGTTTAATTAAACAATTTACAATAGAATAATCAAATTCACGCCGACTACAGTTGGGAGCTCACAGAGCCATAAAATAACGGCATACAACCGCTTCTCATAATCTGTGCTAACGAACTTCTACTTTTCAGGGAGTTGTTACGGCAGCCAGCAGTTTGATCCATGCATTGGCTCAACAGAATCCTGATGACTATAGAGGCTGCGTATCATTGGCCGTGTCTCGCTTCAGCAGGATTGTTACGTCAACTTATACTGACTTGCAGGTATGTGAGCTCTTGTCTTTTACTGTCATGCACTGAACCATGAATGTGTCCCCATGTTAGATTCCAGGGGAGGGATTTGGAAGATGGTTGTGGGGATTTACTGCTGCTTGGTTACAGCTTTCTTTACAATCAAGTCCATGCATTTGAGATGAATTACTGGCTAGCTATTCCCAAATAATGAGAGGCCGTAGTTCTTCATATGATTACAAATATCCTTATATTTAGTTATTTTGCCACATAGTTAAATCGCCTTGTTGATTTTTTCTCTGGAATGAACATGTAAATCTTATCCTATATCTATGATCAATGTTTTATCTATAAGCTCAAGTATGTAGATATACTATCATTGAGATTTATATCAACTGAGGTCATAGTTCATAGAACTTCCTTCTATACTTCCTGTCTTTCTATCCCAGGACTACACCTATTACTTCGTTCCTGCTCCATGGCTGAGTGTGAAATTGCTGAGATTGTTGCAGTGCTATCCTGTACCACGTAAGTTTCAATCTTTCTACTAAAAAAATATGTAGTTTCCTTTCTTTGTATCTCATGTATACTGGATATAGCAAAGTCTTTGTACTGTATACTGGATAGATTCGGCCACGAATCCGAGCATGAGTCTGAATCTTGTCGCATCCCTAATATCTCCTCGGTGGCCATGCCACGTCGTTTAAACCAGTGATTTCAAACTTTATTCATCTCAACCCACTTGGCACAGCCTAGTTTTTTCGCATCCCTCAGGAACTAAAATAGAAAGAATATTGAAAAAAAAATGAGACAATATCTCTAATGAGACCAATGTGCTTGTACATTCTCTAACAAATCTTGGCATTATTTCTGTGAAGGTGAGTCCCAGCACTGGCTCCAAAACTTTCAAGTTTGATTGATATTTTGTTTTAAAATGAGTTCATTTTGAAAAAAAAAAAAAAAATTGCGCTTCCATTCACTCAGTTTGAAGAGATCTGGTTCAAACAATCTCTCATAATCACTGTTTCACGTATTTTTCTCAGAGGAGCCAGCGATTCGAGGGAGATTGGTTGAATGTCTTGAAACCATCCTAAATAAATGCCAAGAACCTCCCAAGTGCAAGAAGGTTCAACATTCGAACGCTAAGAACGCAGTTTTGTTTGAGGCAATCAACCTAATCATACATATGGACAGGTAAGTGACTTCTGCAGTTTGTGAGAGATTGAAAAATTGGACTGGGAGCCAGGGATGTACAATTCAAAATTTTAGGAATCTTTTAGAATAGTTTTTTTTTGAAAATGACATGACCTTATTAATGGCATTCTGGTTCATTTTACAACAGTTGAATGGGTTACTCAACTGGCGGACCGCGGTCCGAATCCGGACCTTTCGAGTATTGGATTTGGACTGCACCTAATTATTTATTTTGGATCATTAGCCCCAATTTTTGAATTTCCTATTATAAAATGACTATTATAAAAGACCGGACCCAAATAAATTTTGAAGTTTTGTTTGCGGACCTTTAGTAAAAATAGTTGAGTAGCCCTGCGCTAGGCCAGGGGCTCCCAAACCAGGTCTTGCCACCCCAAATTGGGTCGGAGTGATAAGTAGGTAGCAGGTCATGGGGTTGGTGGGGTCGCTGAGGTATAGTGGAGGATGGATGTACAAAACATCTAAGATTTAACAAACCCTGTCAAATTTAGCAGTTTATACCATGGCCCGCTGTAAAGCTGGCCCATCTAGGCATCGCTCTAGAAAATGTAGGTGCTTATTATGACATCAATGTTTGGTTTTAGCTTATTTTACTTAATACCACCACATGTCCAAACTCAAGAGTTCAGTGAAAGAAGCATTAAAGTTTCATGAAGAATTTATATATTGACCTGGACACTTGAATGTTGTCTTTGGTTCGGGGTCGTCCTGAAAAAAGCTTGAGAACCCCTTTGCTAGTCCAAACAACTGAGCTTTTGTTGTTATCTACAGTGAACCGAATCTGCTTGTTCGGGCGTGCAATCAATTGGGGTCATTTTTGCAACATCGTGAAACAAATCTCCGCTATCTAGCACTAGAGAGCATGTGTTTGCTAGCTGGTTCTGAATTCTCAGCGGAAGCCGTCAAGAAACACAGAGAGACAGTGATCAATGCTTTGAAGGTTTGTTTTCATTTTAAAATTTGGTATTGAGTTTATGTTTCAGTGCCACAATTAATGAATGCTCACACTTACAAAAAACTTGATGAAATCAAATTTCAAATAACCTCTTGTATGTTTTTTTTGATTTCAAGATTTTGTAAGTTTGCATAAAATATAATAAACTGAAATAAACTGTATTTATCTATCATTACATTCATATATAACTAGTTACATGTAAGACATCAAGCATCATCCCAAGAGCCATGCTGGCTGTATGATTGTTTTAACAGCTAAGGATAAATATAAAATCCTATCCTATGCCACTCACTGGTCCCCTTCCGTAATTTATCAAATTCGACAACCAGCTTTTTTATTTTTAGACGGAGCGAGATGTCAGTGTCCGACAGAGAGCGGTCGATCTTCTTTACGCGATGTGTGATAAAACCAATGCTGAGGAAATTGTTGCTGAAATGTTGGCTTATCTGGAACTTGCTGATTACGCAATCAGAGAAGAAATGGTCAGTAATGATTATTTAGAACAGGATTCTTTGAGAGTTTATGGACGGGGCCTTTGGCCACAAGAGTTTGGAGATTAGGGGATCGTGCATTCCACTACACCCAGTTGAAAAGTATCAGATTATAGCACATGAATTGAATTCTGATGCACACGTGACTCACTCTTTGGTATTGTTAACAATTCATCTACATTTATTTGTATGCCATATTATCCTCCACTCTGAATAGACAAGATAGCTGTAGACAAGATACTACTGATTTGGAAAAATATAAGAAGTTTGTCTAACATTGAATTGCAAATTTCGTTCTTTGACTTTTCTTATATGTTTAGGCCCTTGTTGCTATACCAATATTTCAAGTTCATTTGCCGTTAACCTTTTAACCTCCTCCAGGTTCTCAAGGTCGCAATCCTGGCTGAGAAATATGCATCAGACTATACGTGGTACGTGGATACAATTTTGCAGCTCATCAAGGTGGCCGGGGATTATGTGTCGGAAGAAGTTTGGCATCGAGTCATTCAGATTGTAATCAATAGAGATGATGCACAGGGGTACGCTGCTAAGACTGTGTTTGAGGTAAGTGGAAGGGTTGGGGTTCGAAACTGAGCCAGATCCCTTTATTTTCAATATCTTCCTTTACGTACTTTTCAATCGCCAGTGAGTACTTTTCCATTAGCCACAGATGTCCATCAGCCACTTGTGGCCCAAGATATTCAACCTGCAACGCCAACATTGTTGAATGTAGCGGTTTAGTCACTGAGCTGTCTTGTCCGACAAGATCTCACATCTTTTGTTTTTACAGAACCTGCAAGCACCGGCATGTCACGAGAACATGGTCAAAGTAGGCGGATACATTCTCGGAGAATTCGGGAATCTCATCGCTGGCGATCCTCGCTCATCTCCTCTCGTCCAGTTCAAACTCCTTCATTCCAAATTCCATCTCTGCTCGCCGTCCACCCGCGCTCTCATATTGTCCTCCTACATCAAGTTTATCAATCTGTTCCCAGAAATAAAGAAAACTATTCAGGTTAGTTTACTGTGATTTACCTATGGATTGTTATGTTGTTGATGTTGTCAGTATTATTTATTCTTGTTGTTTGCCGCTAGAAGGTTATTACTTTTATCTATTTAAAAAATATCAGTACTCAGTAGCCTCTATGGAATTCGTAAGTTTTTGTGTGTTGACGTTATCAACATAAAAAATTAGCACCCTCTGCCATGGTACCTATCGGAACTGGAAAAGATTTGGTACACTATCGTTTTAGCCTTTGTCTCCCTATATTTGAGCATTGCTATAGGGCTGAAGGGATACTGATTTCAATTTTCAATATGGGATTTTTTTTTTACGAAGCTTCGAACAGGATAACACCAGTGTATATGCAGCTAACATTATGTAATAAGCCACTAGTCCGGCATTATCCACCCAGTTTATTACTCACTGTGTGAGGTTGTGGGCACAGCATTTGAAGCTGAGACTTTTAATAATTCAATTTTTTCTATTAGGATGTTCTTCGTAATGACAATCAACTTCGCAACGCTGATGTAGAACTCCAGCAGAGGGCGCTGGAGTATCTGCAATTGAGTTCGATTGCTTCACAAGACGTCCTTGCAACAGTTCTTGAAGAAATGCCGCCGTTCCCTGAAAGAGAATCATCAATCCTGGCAAAATTGAAGAAAAAGAAACCTGCTTCTGCTAATGTGAGTGTTTTGGCGCTCCAGAAGTATGTGCACCAAGATTACACACAACCTGAATATAGTATGTGGGTTATCAGGTTGTGTGACATCTTGGTGCACATACTTGTGGAGCGCCAGTTTTTTTTATAAATTGTTCAAAGCACTCGGAAAGATAAGAAGGCCGTTTTTATTGGGTTTCCATCAGTTATTTTGTTGCAACATGCTCAATGATAAAAAAATAGCATACCGAAGTAAAATAATAAATGCATTTTGGTAAAATAAACAAATCACATGCATTAAATTAAGATAGTTATTATGAATGGTACCTAGCGAAGGCTCTTGCTCTTGAAACACCAGAGACTACTAGGGTTGCCAGGATCTTTTCGTAACAACTCTCTCATTTCCCTGATCTCTTTATATTTCAGGTTCTTGAGAAAGAAGACCGCAAGAAAGATTCGGCGACTCCAACAAATGAAAACCACACGGATAAAACACCTTCACCTACTCCCGCAGTGGTTGCCAAGGTATTATGGTGAATATAGGCAAGACTAGAGGCTTTCTTATACGACACTTGTTCACGCATTTCACCTCCCTAGTTTAAGGCCCTTTGCATTTCCTTCTGACACCTAAGGATAAGTAAAAAGCTACTGCTTTTGGAAGAACTGAGGCTCTGTTCATATAATATATTACACAATAGGTTAGATGTGTAATTTGCAATGCCAACTCAGTCGAGCCTCACTTTCCAACTGCAAACCACCAGGCTCTTATCTACTCAGCAGATATCTGGATTTTTAGTGTTGCATTGGAAATGTCTTTGGAAATGTGAGAGTTTAACACAAAATGACGAACTTTGAAGCAAGAAAGTCAATAATATTTTTTACTAATTTTTTACAAAACAGCTTTTTCAAGTGCAAACTATCGATGATCTGCTAACCATGTTTTTCCTAAGATTGAGCTATCTTATGAGCCTTCTTCTTCCCTGATAAATAAAAAAACCTTATTCTGTATTTTTCACTTCCATATTGGTAACAACTCTTAAGTGTTAAATCACAATACCAGATTCCACGATATATGTGTGTAGCCAGCATGTAATTATTCTGTGTGTGCGCTGTAGCAGATACTGCCAGAATATTGAACCATTTTTTTTTATTTCAGCCTGCTGAATCAGTTGACTTGCTTGGCCTCGTCAGTCCAGCACCAGCCCAGACGCAGCAGTCCAGCAGTTCATTCCTAGTGGATGTGTTCGGTGGAAGCCCAGAGAACAACCTTCAGCCACCTGTGCTAGAATCGAATATACCAAAGTGAGTTGCAGAGAACTGCTATTTTGGTTCAGCATTGCCTACTCATTTTATTAGGTACTCACGTAGTGTTTGTACCAGGTTAGGGTTAGGCCATAATTTTTAATTTTTTTTTTAATTTTTTTCCATCGATTATTTTTATGAAAAAAAAAACTATTAAATGAATTATGGTCAAAGAATTAATCAAATTACAATTAACATCGTCATGTCACTTAGTGGAGGCCTTGTCAAAGAACACTGGGTGCTACCTTTACCTTTGCCCATATTTAGTTTTGACCAAGCAACTGAAGTGGTCAGCCCTACGTCAGAGGAAGTCCAGCAGATTACCAAGTAAGATATTGCTATGCGGTGATAGATAGCTGCATTGTAGCGGAGGCTTTGCGCTTTATTTTTAAAGTAATTTACACAGAATTGTTTGAATGTCATCTCATACAAATAATTTCACACAAGTGATATTTCTATTTCGACAGAATTGTTTGATTCCATTCCACACAGATATAATACAACAGATTTGTTTGATATTTATTTCACACAGATATATTTCGACAGAATTGTTTATTTCCATTTCACACAGATATAATACAACAGAATTGTTTGATATTCATTCCACACAAATATATTTATACAGAATTGTTTGATTTTCATTCCACACAGATATATTTCGACAGAATTGTTTGATTTTCATTCCACACAAATATAATCATTTGGAAATGTTTGATATTCATTCCACACAGATATATTTCGACAGAATTGTTTGATTTCCATTCCACACAGATATATTTCGACAGAATTGTTTGAATTTCATCCCAAATAGGTAATTTTATAAAATAGTTTAATGCGTTTATAATTGAGGGAAATGGCTGCATCTCAATAACTTTGTAAAATACCATCTTAAATAATTTGGGGAGTTTAGTTGGGGCCAGAATCTTATTAATAAAGACACCCTATTCAGAGTCACGGTTTTCGCATACTATGGCCAATTATTGAAACTAACTATCCCAGCTCACTAAATCTCTTTTTCTTCAAATGTCAATTCTATTATCTTATTTGGTTGCCTATTTTTCCGCCAGTTTCGAGGCAAAAAGGATATATGTTAATAAAAAAAATTATATTTGTAAATATAACGAGAACAACTTCCATCACATGCTCATCTCTTCAACTCTATCACTTATTCTTAGCTTTGGAAACTCAATGGTCGTCGACCCTGGGTGAAGGTGGCTTGGTGCAGGGTTAGCTTTCAAGTGTCTGATTTTTTTAATGCAAGAATATTCACGTATTTTTCTCTGAACAAGACTCCACATCCGAGTTCTCAAACTCAATTTACCTATGGGCTGCTGGGGGCAGAGTCTAGATTGGTCTGGGCCGCATCAGGTTTTCCACAATAAAAGCGTATCAAAAATTCTCAAATTTTTTTATTTATTTTTTTTAACACAAAACAAGCTTATTCTGGAAAACATGAATGAACAAATTAAGATTGAATAAAAGAATAACGGAAAATATTAAGAATTACTTTATTAAGAGTCAAATGTCGGTATTAAGAGTTCTTCAGCAGGCCTGCACAACATACGGCCCGCGGATGGATACTTCTGTGCGGCTCGCGGGTGATTTGGAAACACGCCACTTCTCGGGTCTAACAATCAAAGCTTCATTGTTATGCAAGCGCGCCGCTACTCCGATAATATTCGAAATCTTGAGATTTATGTTTTGCACTAGTTTCAATAAATATCGAACTATGTGTGAAATTGGTGCGACCCTTAAAGCAATATCGGTATACAATCTCATACCCATTAGTGCATATTAGCAACATATTAATGACCCCACTATTTTTTTACTAGCAGTTTTCGAAACTGAAGTTTCCTTTTCAAATTTAGAACTTAAAAAACAATTCCTTCATTTATGAATGGTGCAGAAATTCTCGCACAAAAGATATTGCTATTTACTGTAAAATTTCATAAAATTGGAGCAGATTTTGTACAAAAATGTAATTTAACAGTCGAAAAAGTACAACAGAGGAAGATCTATTGCTACTAAACAGATTGTTTGTCCAGCCTACAATGGAAATATCCAAAAATGTTCGATATGACTAGATAAATTGTCATACATATATTTGGGACGATTTTACAGAACTGAACCTGAGTAAAATATTTTCCTGCAGTCAGTTTATACTGCAACACGCAATACCTGATTCTAATAAAAAAGAAATATTGAAAATGAAGGGTGGGTTTTCATAGTAGATGAACCATTAAATACATATTTGTCATCTCATATGCAAAAATACTGTATCTAGTTTTTCCTCAGAAGAATAAGATTCTTCATATTTTTAAGCTCCCTAGTAATGAAAGTGTTTCATTAAATTTAACTGTTTCACAATATTATTTTGATTTGTAGTTCATCTTGTGAAATATGTATGTGGCAAAGTTTGCGGCCCGCCGGACCTTCAGATTTATGCTTGCGGCCCTCGTGGTAATTTGAGTGGTGCAGGCCTGTTCTTCAGTATTACTGAAGTAATAATTTTCACTCATGGGAACACTGATTTTAACTTATTTCAAGCGGTTCCGCGATCGAATATAAGGCCTACAGGTACGGTACTAGTACTTGGGCGGGTTCATAGCTAGTTAGTCCGTTTTTCAATCGATTTCATTCAATTTTGGTTATAATAAGGGGATTCAAAAGATTTGGATGCTATTTAGCTAGCCAGCAGCCTCCGTGAGGTTGAGGGCAATGGGGTTTGAAATTTAGAGTTTAGAATTTATGAAAACTTGACTGTTGCCAAATACACCTATATAAAACAGAAACGGTGGCAGATATGGTGGCTTAGCTGAATGAGTTGATAACATTGGTTTGCAAATTCATTTTTGAAGTTGCAATTCTCATGTAAAAGTGAAAAAGAACTCATGGGAGGATTGCAAGCTACCTTGACATGCTAGAAGCTATATATTGACTTAAAAATATCTGTTGGTAATACTTATGTGCAAGAAGACTGCTGTACTCCTGCCTGCCTGCATGTACATTCGGTTACGACTTTTTCAAGTCCATGCGTTTGAAACAAATAACTTGCAAACTATTTCTTTATCCGACATAAAAAGGTAACTGGACGAGAGTCCATGGTTCACCAAGTATTTGTAATGTATCATCGCCTTTTCTATCCCATGCCCTTATATCAGTACTTTTATCTTTTCAGTGTTATCAGTGGGAACTTTCCAGCAGAAGGTCAGGCTACTGCTTTCTCGGAAGCTTTGCAGTTTGTCGACCCTTTTCCAGCCTCTGGCCAAGCTGCTGATATTTTCAGCCCTGCTGAAGCTGGCCCTATAGCTGACTTTGGCTTCAATCCAGACCTTGGAGTGTCTTTTCCAATAGCTAGCCTTGCGGAATCCAACTCAGCTTTGGGTAACCTAGGTTCTGCTGCCGAAACTCTTTTCAGTTCCACTTTATCTGATCAGCCTTATCCACTTGGAGACCCCACTGCTGATTTCAGCAAGCCTGCTGATGATATTGGAAGCCCAGGCTGCTTACTTGCTGATTTTTCTGCTGCAACTGAGCAGCCTGAATTATTCATTTCTGGAGCTTCTGCTGTTTCTTCTATTAGTCTGTCTGGTTTGGATGAATTAGCCTCTGATTTCAGCCAGCCTGCTGCTGATTTCATCCAGCCTGCTAAATTCGGCAAGGCTGATCTTGTTGAAAAGTAAGAAGTAGATGTAGTTTTGTCCATTCATGAAGTTTCAAATGAATCTTCATCTTGGTGACATGAAATTCATTTATGTTTGATTAGAAAATATTCCACAGTATTTATAGTCATTGGGGAAGTTATTGTTCTGTCATTTGTCTTTGTCTGTTATTGTGTTTCGTTTCTGTCTATCTGGCACAGCGTTGGGTGCATTGTGTGAAGTGTTAGGAATACATTTGCAATCGAACCTCTGATTACGTGGCTTGAGTTTGAGGCTGTAGTATACCGCCTGATTAATCTATCAGTTCTCACAAGATAAATATGAAAATCATAAATCCTTGAGTTGTGACCTTAAAGCTCTTTCTGCTTCTTCATTAAATGTTTGTAAAAACTCGGGGCGATTTAAATATGAGTTGAAAAAGTCACATACAGACTGAGATAATGTCATGAAGTCATCAATTCATCACAAATTCCTGTATAACAATCTATATTATTAGTCTACATCTTTGTACATGCTCCTTTCCTTTAGTTAAATCATTTTTCACTTTTCTGTGCTGTAGTGAAGGATCTGGCAAGGTTCCTGCTGAAACTGTTGTTGAAAGGTGAACGTTTGTGAAAGATAATTCTGTGTTGTGGTTTGGGAGAGAATCTTTTAATTCTGAGTATTCTAAATTACTTGATTTACAATTAAATTATCAAGTTCAGCTTTATTAGCGCTTTAATTTCAAGTATTTCAAATTGTATGATTTGCAGTTAAAATATGAGGTTCTAATTTAACTTTGTTGTGGAAACCTAACTGAAATATGATTTTGTCGTGAGAATCTTTCCCAAAAATGTAATTTTTTTATGTCAGTAATTTATCAAAATTTCCTTAAGTGCATAATTTGTACTCAACTGGTATTAATGTGACATTGTGAGTTCATAAACAAATTTTTTTTTTCTCGAGGGGAAACTTACATCTGCCATTTTTGTTATATCCGTTTTCCAAAATGGCTCCATAATTTGAGTGATCCGATCATATTCTGTAATTAATGCCTTAAGATAATGATCGTATTTCTATAACTGTAATATCCATGAGCCTGGTATTCTATAATTTGTGTGGTGGCCTGGATTCTTACTACAGCAGGGTGGCAATGCTTCAGTAATTACTACGCTTGCCTATAATTTCAGATGAATGTCTCAATTTGAGATGATTAGATCTTCTAACAGTTGATAACAGCAGAGGAACTTCTGTGACGTCATAGATAGCTTCAACCATAGCGTAGTTCTAATCTATCGCAATATTGAATGAAGTATTTAGATTTGAATATTGTTATTAAACCAAATTCCTACTTAAGCCATGAATTATGACAGGGAACACTGATTCTGTGCAATATTTGGTCAAAATTTAAATGGTCAGTATAAACCATAATAACAAACTCTTCTCAGTGTTCCTATAGTCTGCTCTTGTTCTAACTAAAAAAAAACATCGAACGCAGAATAATTATTTTTGAATTACTCTTGACCTATTGTCGAATGTGCTCAGGGCATTGTAGCAAGTGCTTCAGATGTGGCCCATTGTATTATAGAGATAAAACAACTTTTGTGCAAGGTGTCCTAGATAACGGGAATTATTGGATACAACCATACACAAAGTTTCTTCATTTTCGTGATAATAACTCACCCACTCAATAACTCACTCACTGGTTTTCTTTAGGATTAGGGCCATGGACTGAGAAATAGGTTTATGGGTTTGGTTTTTTGGGCCGCACTGTATCTGCCCCGGTTTCCAGCTGGATATTTTCCCAAGAATCTAAAGTTCTATGTTTTCCAGATTCACTTGCAAACATAACGGAGTTTTGTTTGAGAATGATTTCATTCAGATCGGAGTCAAATCTGAGTATAGAGAACATCTTGGTGAGTTGATTCGTTTGAAAGCCACTCTTAAAAGTAACATTAATTGGAGTGTGAGGAAATAACAGTTCTAGATTGAAGCCTGGCGTTTTGGGCAAAGCTGTCAGAAACTCCCTAACACTCACTCAGAAATAAAAGAGACTCATCATTGAGCAAGACCATATGCATTTACTCTAAGGAGATTTGTCTCTGAGCACGAGCACTTACACTCACTCTGAAGTGAAGGAGGCTTATCTCCGAGCAGTAGGCTACATAATATTTACGCACTCAGAAATGAAGAAGATTCGTTTTCATAATTCGATCTAACATTTATGTTCGCAGGTCGTCTTGGTTTATTCTTCGGAAACAAAACACCGTCCCAGCTGATGAATTTCCAAGCTGCTATTTCATTGCCGCCTGAATCACAGGGAAAGGTTAGATGTGTGTGTGTATGTGTTTTAGGTGAGGAGTATGTTGAATTACAGGGGAGGCTGGATGATAGGTGTGTTAGGAGTGCTAGTTTGTGTGTCTGTTGGGCGAGAATAATTTGAATCTCATGAAAAAAGTTGGATTATGCTTGTATGTGCTGGGATGGATCTATGTGAGCGTGTGTTTTGGAAAACAAATTTGTATGTTAACGACATGAGTAGTTTGTGTGTGTGTGTGTTTGAAGATGGGTAGTTTTTATGTAGAGTAATTACCGAACACTATTTCACAGATGAACATTGTTGTCGGCAAAGACGCCCCGAACGTAGTTGATGGAGGAGCCCAGGTCCAACAGATGCTGAATATCGAATGCCTGGATGACTTCACTGAATGCCCCATCATTACTATCAAGTGAGTATCATTCTGCAGTTGTGGAATCGGGTGGCTTTTAACATGGATGTTTGTCAGTAGAATTTCACTTTTAAGCAGTATGTTCATTGCTTGTTGCTTTTTATAAGTTATTTTCATGCCTTTCACTCTAAACAGGATTACTTTGATTTGACATTAATTACATAGTTTGTTACATCCTGGGTAAGGTGGTGGGCATGAGATTTAGACCCAAGGACTACACTTAAGCATATAGCAACACTATTGGCTAATTTGCCTGCAATTTGCCTTTTGTTGAGGGAGTGATGGCCACCTAAACCATTGGAATTTTTTAGTTTTGTGACAGGTTTAGAGGTTTCTATTTGGCAATTGAATACGTTTCCTTGTATTCCAGCTACAACTATTCTGGCAACCAACAAACCATCTCTCTGAAGCTTCCGATTTTGCTCAACAAATTCTTCCAACCAGTGGAAATGGATTCGCAAATGTTTTTCTCAAGATGGAAAGCGCTCGGGAAGTGAGTGGCAGATTTCATGCACGATTGCTCTTTATTAGGATAATTATTCTGCAAATACCTGTTCAAATACCTGTGACCCTTCTGAACTAAAACAAAAATATATTGAAATTTTTCTATAGAGAAAATATTGTCAGGACCTCCAGTTTAAAGAGCCCTGAACTATGTAATGACTTTATATCTTTCAGACCTGAGCAAGAATGCCAGAAGATATTCCAGTCAAAGAATTCGATGGACACAGAAGCATCAAAGGCAAAGCTACTCGGTGAGAGAGTGATTAGGATCAATCTCTGGTAGACAGAGGCCAGTGACCCTGGAAAAAACTACTTCTTGTTTAAGAAACAAATTTTTGGATGACTTTGCAATTGGGCGCTTGCAAACTGCTTCTTCAAAATTGCCGTTTGGTTTACGTCTGTTACAGCAACTGTTATTAAAATTAACGCCAGCTAGATATAGTCTATCATCTCTCAGTATTGTTTCTGCAAACACAAATGGGTTATCTGATTTATACTTACTGCGAAAACAAAAAATAACGATCAAAATAAGCATCTGGTATAAATATGAAAATCCTATCTAGGGGGCCATGTTTCCTCCATTAACCTATTTGTCTCTGTTCCAGGATTTGGCATGTCAGTCCTAGGTGGGATCGATCCTAACCCTGATAATTTTGTGAGCGCTGGAATCCTGAAGCTGAAATCTTCACAGATCGGTTGTTTGTTGAGACTCGAACCAAATAAACAAGCCCAGGTTAGTAAGATAATTTAGGTGCAAGGTTGTCGGCTTTGGGGCCCACGCTATTAATTTTGTATTGTTCGCGGGCCACAATAGTGCCAAGAATAGGTAAACAATACAAACCAAACATTTTATTGTGCAAACACATTGATCATTATTTGTCGTTTATCAAGCTAAAACATGCAAAAACCATGAAAAACTCACTAAAACATGCGAAAATCTTACTTTATCTACATTCAGTGTAAGTTTTTAAACTCGTCATAGCATTGGCCATAACATTAATATACCCTCCTGGAGTATGCGCACCAAGATGGCGCACAACCTGAACTCTGGTTGTGTACCAGGTTAGGGTTCAGGTTTTGCGACATCTTGGTGCTCATACTTCAGGAGTACCCATTAATATTTATTTATCAGGCATAGCCAATGTAGGCTAATAAAATCCCCATTCCAGTTTTTGCATACGAAGCCTATTTTGTTAACATTATATTCCTGACCATAAGGATAGAAACCCAGTGTCTAATTCAGACTAGCCAAGTACATTATACACCAGTGACCACCCTGATCTAGGTGGATGACTCCGTGGTATTCAATTTTCTCACGTAGGGTGTGATGAATTCTAGTGTTTTTAAGGAAATTTGCTCAGAGAAGGTCTCTATGCTGCTCAAGGCCCTCTCTTGTTCTTATAATTTTTTATATTTCCTATCCATTCTTTTCTTAAAATCTTCACATTTACCACTCACAGATGTACAGGATGACTTTGCGATCCAGCAATGAGAATGCCGCCAAGACGTTGATTGCTTTGTTGGTGGATCAATTCTGATCCCATTGATGAAGTCATGTGATTTATGATTTCATAAACAATCAAGAAATCGACAATTGTTTTATTTATGAGATCATAAATATGTTTTATTGTTCTAATCATACATCATAATAATGTATCGACCAAATTATTGTTTTCTGCCATTGGACCAATGCTATTGTGGTGCACTAAATCGTATATCCTATCTTTTTGATTTCCCAAGAGTTTTGATAATACAGCGCTTAATTACTTTGAAGTATTTAATGATCAGCTTCTTCTGGCAATATGTTGAAGATAAATCTGTTGATAGCTCTCTAACCAACCAACCTACACCTATGTTACATTAAAGCCAAACCAGGGCTTTTCAAACTTTCTGTCCCAATGGTGCCGTGACAAATTACCTTCACTGTTTGCAACATAGAACAACCGATGTAAATGTGTCAAAAGCAAGACTTGCTTTTATTTTGAAGAACAGGAGACTGCTTGTGTGGAGAGTCCTCAAAAGGAGGCCTTGGATCATGGGCGCCTCTGGTCCAAACCGTTAATTCCACTGCAACCACCCATTCACATTTCAAGCAAATTTTATGATTTGTGATTTCTACCCTTTTCTCATAAATATGTTTTGCTGTAAAACATTAAAACAAAATTTGTAAAACAAACCAAATACAAAGTATTATTTAACACCCTGAAACAACTAATGGGTAGAATACGTCCAACATTGATAACTGTTCTGAGATGAAAAATTCTAATTATCTCTGAAAATAATAGGCAAAACAGCATTATTTGTGCCCTAGTTTCAAGTTTTTTGAGCAGTTAATCACATACGGATTTTCTTGGAATTATATTTCAACTGATTGTTGTAACGTACAAGGGTAGAGATGATTGTCCCAGACTTTGTAATTTTTCCATTCCAAAAGGTTGAGCTTTCAATTCTTGTGCTTTTGTTTTGGCCTCTTTCAGAACTTCCAAAGTTTGTTATATAGAATGTTTTAACCATGGATGTGATCTATATGTTCTACCTGTTTGTTTTGAGCATATATAGAGCAGGAAGATGTAATTTCTGATGTTGCTTTCAAATATTTACTTGTTTGGGCATGATATCGCAAAGACACATGTATATATATATATATATATAAGCTAGTTTTTCAACCATAATCTTGTCCAGATGAAATATTAATAAAAATTCTGAACGTCAGCATTTGTATTGAACAACAATTCTGCTCTGTATATCCTGAATACTCCTGGTGGAAATCATGCGCTTTGTATATTGTGCAAGCGAATCATTTTATTGAGCCATTGTGAAATGTATTTTAACGTAAAATGCTTGTCTGTTAGAACATAGTTCGTGGAAGGTCAACTCTGCTCTCAAGTTTATGATTTTCATTCTATAAAAATATTTAGATCATTATATAGTAATAAATTTAGAATATTGTACTTGTTAATTTGTTGATTTCAACGTCAGATCATCGTTTTAAATTTTTCCAATGTTGAAAGTTTGCGAATGGATTTCACAGTTAGAATTTCAGCTGCCCTCTATTCACCTGGTATAACCAATCCCAGCGAGTATTCCCAGTCTTTATCTGATCGTAGTTAGACATTCTAGTCCAGGGTCGTCCAACATTTTTGGTCGAAGGGCCACATGAAATTCACTAATAATTGCGCGGGCTACTTAACATGGTAGTTATTTTCAAGTTTTGCTACACTGACTACAGGTTAATGGAAAAACATACAAAACCCTCACACCGAACTTTCAATACAACTAAAAAACAAGAAAAAACGAAGATACAGTGTAAATTTAAGGTTTTTTTCTACACTCGGTGAGGTTTGGCGCTGCTTTTCGCAAACAAGTTTGTCAATATTTGGTGCGATGTAGCATTGCGAGGCGAATTTTCCAAATTAGACCTCACGGGGGATTTGACATGGTTCATCTGTAAAAAACCTTCATCACAAAGAAGTGCTGCCAAATAATGAGGTCATGAAAACTGCGATTCTGTGAATCCAATAAATGTTTTCTTTAGAGACGTATTTTCTGTAATGGCACGTCTTTAAACCTCGCATTTAAATCAGATTGTTAGCTGTACGTTCTTCAGGTGCCAGAGAAATCCACAGTTGCCAAATCATCATTATTTTGCTTCATTGCCAAAACATCAAGACCAACTGTGTAAGCGACTATGACACCTTTATTTATCGATATATCCCAGTTTGTTTTGATTCAAAATGGCACTCGTGGCTCGTTTGAAAGGGCTATAGCAGAGCGCATTTCAAGAAAATAAACACTAATTCACTCAAAAAATAGAAGTTTCATTCAATTTTTTTTCATTTAATTCCGAAAATACAGCGCGGGTCACTCGAAACAGCTCCGCGGGCCATGGGTTGGACGACTCTGTTCTAGTCCCTGAGCCTACTTCACATACTTTGTTTCGAGCTCTCACATATCCGAAAACAACCAAATTTTACTGAAATTAATTCACCAGTCCCTGTATTAACGGTTTTGCTGTTCAGTTCTCAGTATTTTTTGTATTCATTAACCATTAATTCGAAGTACTGCATTCCGAACAATTGGCCTACCAATAAACTTTTCTCTCCCTCTGAATAAAGTCAGTATTTTGGTTTTCACATGCGGAAAGTACACGTTGTACAAACGGTATTGAGAACTTGAGTAGGTAGATAACGATTTATTTACGAATATTTCATTTTAAAAATCATAAAACCTGAGAAAATTAAGAATCTGAATTTAAAGCCGTTTTAATTCGTATGGTGTCTTGAGTGAAGGGATATCAGCTATAAATCAAAAACCAGGTTTTTTCTTTTCAGAGATATGTCGGTTCGTGTTTATTTCCTAAGTCCTAACATTGCTTCGTTAAGTGCCTTTTTATATTAATAATAAGATTTGCCTGGAAAAAATTTCGTTGCATGTTCTTCTTATAGTAATAACGTATGAAGGAGCAAATATGACCATAAACAATTTGACTAACGCGGCCGTCGTAATGACATGAGCAAAATACGACGGGCATGAACTGGTACGTTTTTAACTTCTTCATTAGGTTATGCCCTTCCTCCAGTTTCTCAAACATTTGGTGTTACGGAGCGGTTGAAGAAGTTGATTATTATTCACGGAGCCCACAATAAATTTTAAAAATAAAACAAACAAGACAACACATTGTTACTTGACGATTAATGTTTATGGGTAAGTTTAAATTACTTTACCCAATTCAAAAGCTATAAACCTTTTTTAGATACGATAAATAAAAGCCATAAATGAATCTAAATTTCACAAATAAATTTCATATATATATATATATATATTGAGATGTGCTGTCTTGTCCATTAGGCAAAATAGGCACGTGCTTAGGGAGCAAAGAAAAATGGGGCACCACAAATAATTTAAATATACAGACCGCAATGAATGCATTTATATTATAATGAAAGATTGATTTGACCATAGCCTTCACATTGATTAGTTGAAATTTCATCTGAATAAGGGGAAATATGACGCGTGACCATAGAATGGTGCATAGCACGCGCTATTTACTACATTTCATCTTTAGTGCCTGGGGTAGCATGTTTTACATGTCGCGGGACTCTTTGGAGTCTTTATACAAAATTTACGGTGTTTTTTTAATTTTTTTAGTGTGTATGATATCGTTTCAGTCTATAAAAGGGCATAACGTATCGCCAATTTTGATCTGAGATGTTTTATAAATTCAGAAAAGTAAACCAGAGATACGACGGCTAGTTAGCACAAGAGACGGAAAGATTAAATTAGTATTCCTCCACTGACAGTCAGATATTTGGTTTGCACATTCACTAATTTGAATTATCTTAGCATTTATCCTAAAAACTAAAATGAAAAACAGTTTTAAAACGGGATATTCACACATTCAACAGTTGAAGCAGCGCACACAATAGTCCCAGATGAACGTTTTCAATTGAGGTATGAATACACATGCCTCGAATAAATGTAATATTTTGAGAGCTCCCGGAAAATGTGCACCAAGATGGCGCACTATCTTAACATAGTATGTGTACCAGATTAGGGTTCAGGTTGTGCGCCATCATTTTTGTAGGCGATTATCCTCGTCATAGGCTGTCAAGTGTGACGTCGTTAATTAAGTAAGATTTTAATCCGCTCGATCCTCAACAGTGGCGGTAGCTTAGGGGAAGCGTTGGGACATGGTCAAACATTAAGACCGGGATTCGAACCCCACATGGTGGACTGATTTATAGGGGTTGATCATCAGACAAGGCAGACGGTCGAGGGGGAAGGGACAGGCCTGAGCAGCAGCCAAGGAGAGCATAAGCGAAAGGAAATAAATAGGAGCCAGCATTGGAGTGAGCGAAAATCGATCAGCGGGGTGGCCAAGCGATCAGGGTGGAGTAAAAATGGAGACAAGAGAGAGTGAAGTCATCGAGGCTCAGAATAAGACGAGCGGTTGAGGTGTAAAGAAAGGACCAGGCGAGAGCAGCAGCCAAGGAAAGCAGAGATGAAAAGCAAATCAACACGGAGAAGTGAGAGTGAAATCATCTACGCTGAAGATAACGAGCAGAAGATAACAAAGAAAATTCAAGCGAGAGCAGAGATGAAGGAATATTATTATTTTATTACATTTTATCGTAACAGTAATCTCAACTCAAAGGCGAGTAACAATGAACTTTATTCATTAAAATAAATATGACAAGACATTATGAATGTTTGCATCGACCACGGATTGAATATTTTATGCAACAGAAAATACGTTTATAGCAACTAACTCCCAAATGTACCCACTTTCATGTTAAAAATATGAAAACAAAGTTAATTTTTCCCAAAATTCGAACAAAGACTTTCGTAGGAATCAAATTACGCCAGTTTTATGACCCACAACATGTTCCATCCATTCATTATCAAATTAAAATTTATATTCTCAAGACCTTTGGCACTGATTGAAATAATTATATCTAAGTTCCCATCCGTACGATGTACATAATTACCCTTGTTGAGATAATAGGAATTTCTGTTTATAACGTGAATCACGAGCTCGCGTTTACAGCATTTAATTGGATTTATGATCGACGTATAAATACGACTCCGATATCTTTCGATGGTGGAAGACGATGTAAACCATTCAAAGCTAGTAGGGATAAATGTTATAAGATTTATATTCTGTGTGTTGTGGAAATTTACAAATAAAAACATATAGAGATTTTTAACGCATCTTCATTCACGTGGGCGTTGAAGCTGAAGGGTGAACGGGTGACTTGCAAGTCAGAGACAATCTACAAATTAGCAATATACGGTAACATCCCATTCATCTACCAACCATATATGCTATAAATGGTGACAAAACCGACTTGAATTAACCTTCTGAAACGGACCAGATCAACGGGCAACAATCAGGACAGGCAACAATTTGACGGAATCAACCAAAAAGCTGACCAAGCGAAAGCTTTCAACAATTGCCGAGAAACCGTCTCTACAAAACGTGCGAAAATCAAATTCGACCAACTTACGAACGTCGGGGAGATTCAAATTGCCTGGAACAACGATTGAAGTAGCAAATTGTTGACAAGCCGAAATAATCAAAAACATTATGAAAAGACAATAAACTCAATTGAAAACAGTTGCACTATGGTAACAGACTCTGGAAACGTTAAAATTATGAATATGGACTGTATTGAACATCGATCGAAATGAACTCTTTTAGAACATGGTATATGTTCGAGATGAAAAACCTAATCAAAAAACGAACTGTTGAAAACAATGAACTATATGGACTGTTTTACGGTAAATCACGCGCTCTATTCCGAATATTAGAGAGAGGAATTTTCGCGCATACCTAATGGATATACAGATCAGGAGCATGTTATACTACCATTTGTTTCATGATTTGCAGGTTTTTCTCCTCATTGAGACAGACATTTTTCATTCTTCCACTATTACTAAGGTAAAGTACTTCTTTTTCTTCTTATATATATATACATGGCGTTTCATTCGGCTTTCAATTTTTATAAATTAATTAATGGTAAAACTTTGAATATTATAATTTCAAATACCTTTAAAGAGATTTATATTATTGAATATTTGTGGTTAGCATTCCTTTTCGATTAAATAGATTTCGTTATTATTAAAATGCTCTCTAAAAGTAGATTCGAGCGAGTCATACTTTTAATTATTTACAAAGCCGTCATATAGAACGGTAAAATAATAAGCTCGTTTAACAAAAATTGTATCCAAAAGCGTTATTTTTTCAAAAAAGCCCTGAGATGGCATAAACTTAAAAATGCGTTTTTTCTTCCCGACATGGGACAAGCATATATTGACCAACTAGGTCTACAAAATCGTAACAATGCGATAAAGCGAGTATAAGTATTTTAACTTAGCGAAATACATTAAATTGAAAATATGTTTTAACCGTCCAAACCAAAATTTTTCAAATAAAAATACGCCATCCTTCTGTAATTCTACTTTACAATCTTTACTCTTGCTATAACCTCCTGTTTATTTCAATGTCGTGTCTCATTGTAGATCATATACATGTAAATATTTTTTTGACCTATATATATCATTAATTTTAGCATTGTGTATTGTATTTTTCTATATATTTTCAATTTATTAGAGGGTGCCAAATCTTTAAACTTCCAGTTAGTAAGATGGGGAGATAATATAGCAACTAACCCCCAAATGTACCCCATTTCATGTTAAAAATATGAAAACAAAGTTAATTTTTCCCAAAATTCGAACAAAGACTTTCGTAGGAATCAAATTACGCCAGTTTTATGACCCACAACATGTTCCATCCATTCATTATCAAATTAAAATTTATATTCTCAAGACCTTTGGCACTGATTGAAATAATTATATCTAAGTTCCCATCCGTACGATGTACATAATTACCCTTGTTGAGATAATAGGAATTTCTGTTTATAACGTGAATCACGAGCTCGCGTTTACAGCATTTAATTGGATTTATGATCGACGTATAAATACGACTCCGATATCTTTCGATGGTGGAAGACGATGTAAACCATTCAAAGCTAGTAGGGATAAATGTTATAAGATTTATATTCTGTGTATCGTGGAAATCTGAGAATAAAATCAAACAAACATTTACCAATCATACATGCTATACGTTATCTGCTCAAAAAGTCTTTTTTCAACGATCAGTGGCCTGATCGCGAAGAATGTTGCGCGGTAATTTTCTATTCCAAATTTTAAACCGCCTCTCTATTTAAAAATCCTGGCTGCGCTGCTGCTTATAGATAATGTCATATATATAATTGAATTGCCGCAATGTTGCCATATTTCGACGCCACAGTTGTCAAATTTCATTAATGTTGTTATTGCTTCTTTGGACAGTTATAAAATTGGCTCGGCGTTGTGCTAAGCGTTTGGAATAAGCTCGCCCCCGCATCTCTGATTACCCTTCGTGGGATCGCAGGTTTGAATCCCATGCGGGGGTGATCATGTGCGAGAGGATTGCTGGACTTCTCGCCGCCATAGGGTGATTTACGTAACCGCTGGTCGGTTACTGCTTCCTCTACCATCAAGTCCATGCTTCCGAAAACAAATAATTGGCTAACTGATCCCATACCCGAGCTGGACTAGTAGCCGGACGAGAGGCTGTGGTTCGCCATATGATTGAGCCGTCTGATCGACTTTCCCCTCCCCCGGGATAAATATGTAAATCCTATCCTAGTCGATCAGTAATCGATTAGTATGTGGAGCCCCTAGGTTTTTTTCCCCGGAGCCGTGGGGCACTTTGAGAACATATGGCTAATCGCACTTTTTTCAATACCGGATTCAATAATTCGTGCTCGAGGCACCACATGATCCGCTTGTTCTGTGTTTACCTACATTGTCTGGTGTTTGGCTTTATCCTTGCTTCCGCGAATATTACGGATATTTCTGGACATTTTTCGGGGAAGATTTAGAATAGGATTTACATATTTATCCCGCGGAAGTTGGAATATTCTATTGGGATATATCTTGAAAATATCGGAAATATGTTGCAGTCGCTTACCAGCGATGAAAAGGTATGTCATTGTGTTATGTTTTAGGCGTTGCTGGGTACCGGTAATGAGTTGTTTTGAGGTGACCTCGAACAGTTTCGTGCTATAGCCTGATAGCTGTACCGGTATAAGTCTATTTCGACTCTATAATCAGCATAACAGGCAATAAAATGATTGATAATAAAATAAATGAAAACAAAACAGGAGAGCAAACAAAACTTGAGATAAGGTTCCAATACATTGAAGTAATTCTCTGGGGTCTGGTATAGTTTAGTACCACATGCACTTCTACTTGGCCTGGCTCAGCAATTTTTGCATATATCAACCTAACCCCCACCTGACTACGTCACCTAAAAATTACCTCATTTTGAAGTCATAGGGGCGTACTGGCGTAATAAGGCCCAGCAAAGTATGCGGATGGCCGTCCAAAACGCGCAGATGATCACCCGAAATCGAGCAAGCTATTTCTCTCGTATCTTGTCACAACGATCACGATAGGAGAGAGATCGTCGGCGTTAGCGAGTTTGTTATCGGCGGCGCAGATGCGATTGACGATGATGATGGCGGCGGTAGGATTTCCGGTGCGGCACTTTTAAGTTGTTTAATATCAAAATGTCTCATTTTGTTTTCTCTTAGCGTAATTTTAGATCCAAATATCATCAATCATAGCCGATTTTGTGTTAGCCTTTATTGTTTTGGTAGCGTTCGTACACTCTCATTTGTATAACTTGTATATTGTTAAATTGCAATTCCAACATTTTACTCTGTGAATTTAAGATTCACTTTAATTACTTACTTACGTACTTTAATTACTGTTATTGGCGCATCGAGAGGGCCAGCCCAAATCTCCGCTTCTTTTTCAACATTTTCAGGAGACCTGAAAAGTTGCTAATAATGCATGCTGTTTTCGCAGGGCTAATGCTATTCAAGCCGCCGATTGTTTTGGTCACCCTGCTGTGGTTATTTAGGCCGATAACATTGATATAACGTCGGTAAATTATCTAAAAAAACGTTATCATGCGATCATCGGCATAGAGACGCTAAATTTAATCAAAAGCGTGAATCTGCAACTAAAAATTTCCTACTGAAAATAAGGGAGTGAATATTAAGACTCTAAAATTGTGTTATAAAATATTGACAACATGAAGGGAATACACCATAATTTTTGCTTTAGGATTTCGTGCCAGATGTAAAAACGCTACTTTAGGCATTGTAAACCCTCAAAATTGGGCCATTATATATCATATTTACTGAAGTTAAAACAATTATTTGTGCCAACGATGTACCTGCTTACATATTCTTAAATTACCCTCGGGGTTGATATACAAGCTAATCAGTGTGAAGTATGTTTAATCAAATTATTTTGTACTAAATTAAAATGTAATTTTTGGGATTTTATTGTAGATCTTCGGATTTTTCTAACGCCAATAACGAATTCGCAAGATCGTAGGTAAAGATTCAAAACTAAAAGTAATTGGATAAACTCCCCACGTATACCAATGTCCGCTGATTTGCTTTGCTATTTTACAGTACATTCCTTACATTTCACCCTCTAAGGCCGCAGGTTGTGCACCCCTGATCTAATCGAACAAAATATCATTGATATTTTCAAATCTACGTCAACTCGTCGACGCCCGAATGCCTGGTGTTAAATCTGTAACGGCGACGCAACATGACGTCGTCTTCTAAGTGAGCAACGTCAAGGTGACGTCAAGTTCAACGTGTGCATCAGATGCTATTATTTTGATGAAAAAAAATTATTGGAATTTAAATTTTTTTGAGTCTCCTGTGACACAGTTCGCTCGAAAATGGCTTGTCAATTTTTTGCTAAAATTTGATTTTTTTAATCGAAAAATAAATTGAAAAGCGCCATTGAATATGATGGCAGATTCAGATACATCTTACCATAGAAACTGCCAGAAGCACTGTATGACGCAATTTAGTCGAGATATAAATTTGAATTGAAAATTTCATCCGAAGTTACCCGGTTTTACTTTACCTAACATATCTCTAGTGGGCGTAGCCATTTTTTTGTGTCAATCCTAACCCCCACCTGACTACGCCTTTCTAAAAATTATGTCACTATGGCGTCACAATCATAGCGTTTGTACTGATTGTACACACAATAATGTACCTAGTTGCCCTATAAATACTATCCAGCATGCATGTGGCTGATTCTATTATTAAATTAAAATGACGCTTGTATAAAAAAATTACCTTTTACAGAAATACTGATTTAACAGCGGCCGTTCAAATCGCAACGGAACTCTTATAGAACAAACTATGACTGCCTTTAATTTTTCTATTTAAACCATTTTTCCCCTTTCAAATAGGTGAAAGAGTTTGAAATCGTCAAATCGAACGATGTCATTTTTCTTATTAAATGGCCATATTTGATGCCCTTAACTTAAGATCCACAGAAACCTGTTCATGCATATCTTTAACTAATTTTGATCCAATCAAACAAAATATAGTAACTTCATCACAATTTTCAAATCTATGCCAGCTCGTCGATGCCCTAATGTCTGGTCTCAAACCTGGATAAATGAATATTCTGGTATGCTTTTCTTGTAGTCTGATTACTCATGAGCCTGAATTGTACTTGTACAATACTAAAGTTAACCAGACCCTCACCATTGGTTTAACCAGACCCTCACTATTGGTTTAACCAGACCCTAACCATTGGTTTAACCAGACCCTAACTATTGGTATAACCAGACTCTAGCCATGAGTTTAACCAGACCCTAACCATTGGTTTAACCAGACCTTAACCATTGGTTAAACCAGAGGTTCCCAAACCAGGGGTAGCGAACCAAAATTGGGTCGGGGTGATAAGTAGGCAGGGTTGCAAACAGGTCATGGGGTCGCTGAGGTATAGTAGAGGATGGATGTACACAACATCTAAGATTTGACAATTAGCAGTTTGTATCATGGTTTACTGTAAAACAGGTCCATAGGCAACGCTCTATGCTTATGCTATAGAAAATGTAGGTGCTTATTGTGACATCATTGTTTGGTTTTAGCTTATTTTACTTAATACCACCACGAGACCAAACTCAAAAATCCAGTGAAAGAAGCTTGAGAAGTTTCATTAAAAATATCTATATCGACCTGGGGTCGCACTGGACACTTGGAAGTTGTCTTTGGGGTCGTCCTGAAAAAACCTTGCGAACCCCTGGGTTAGACCATGCAATGAGAGTGGAATAATCATGTGCGGTAACATTGTTGGCCACTTCACTGTTGGCTTAATTGAAAATTGAGTAGGATTGATTTTACCTGAAGGTGTTTGTCAAAAATTTCATTCTGTGCAAGACAAGGCTTTTATTGAAAAAATGAAAATTTGGGGTTTATTTTCATATCACACTTTGGCATTATTTAATAAGCAGTTATGGCTTTTACGTGATAATATCTAATCCATGTTTGACGAGGTCTAGAAATTGTACATATACCCTGTATTGCCATCCCTAACCCTAGAATAAATATGAAAATGTTTAGTGTGTTTCAACTGCAAACTATTTCTTTCAGTTTTCACGGTATCTGGCTACTGACAACAACTCTTTTGAAGAAGAATTCCGTTTGTATCTTCGCGATGAAATTGTGAAAATTATTCGAACTGATGGAAGTTGGTCTGTTGGTTCAATTCTGCATCAGGACGTTGCAAAAGGGTTGCTCAACAATATCATATGGTAAGATATACTTTGAGTAACTACAGCCAAAAAAGATCAAATTAATTTTTCTCATAATGATCTCGCATAATAACGATATCATGAATTTACTGACAAAATATCACACTTAAATTTATTTATCTCAGGTGGTTGTTCAACGATGATCCCGAGCAGACGTTGCTGCATCTTGAAGAATTGAACAATCCTCAACACATCTGTGGAAGAGTTTTCAAACCAGGGGAACCAACATATTCTTGCAGGTGATTCTATTGTAGGCTACCACTTCTAACATTTAACATAAGGTGGTGTCAAAAATGATTTTATCCCACTGAGCACTTACACGATTAACGGGGTGCTGGGACTCCCAATTAGGAAACCCTACAGGTGATATGCAAATATAACCAGTTTTTTTGCCGTGCTTGGCAGTCAATAATTCGAAATTCTCCATTCAGGGATTGTGCAATGGATCCAACCTGCGTTTTCTGCCAGCAATGTTTCCGACTGAGTGAACATCAGAAGCATAGATATAAGGTAGGTTGGCCAATGGCAATGTTCTATTGGGCTGCAATATGTTTCCGAGCTCTTCATTCCAAGGAGGGGTTTCCAAATTCAAGGAGGTGGTAAATATATTGTTATTAGTAACCTCTGATTTTCCACGTTATGTGAATGTGAAACCCACCTTCATTGCATCCTGATTACACACATTTTAATGGAATATCTACCACATTCGAATCAATATTTCTCATTCGGTTTTTGCATGTGAAGCACCCACAGCATTTACCAACTGTTTTTTGTGGATAGCAACTACTTTTTGTGATATTATCAACATTCTTACAATATAGGCAGAAATGGATGAAGGTGGTGGGATGTGTGACTGCGGAGATCCAGAGGCTTTTCTGAGACACACTCGGTGTTCTACTCATGAGGAGTCGTATCAGAAATCAAAACTTGCGGCTGAGGTTAATAATGAGGGCACAATGATTCGACAAGTTGCATTGCCACACTTTCTTCTTTATTGTTCTCAACACAAAACTGAAACATTTGCTGAAATAACCCATTTTTTTTTATTAATTGATAGTTGGCATTTCTATCAATGTTTCGGATTTAAATCTTCCTATTTTCTTTCTCATGTCATACTATAATATTTGATTCGAGGCATTTGAGTGTAGCAAATTGTTACAGGTAAATTCTAAGACTGTGTGTGTAGTTATTGCAAATTTGTGAGCCATTATGCCCACACAGAACTGTTATTAGTAGGACGCCTCTGCATCTCCGTGAGTCACATCACCACCTGATAGAGAAGCACTTTGAAAGTTTATTTTATTTTGAGCATTGCATTTATGCCTGATATCTCATTTTGAGCTTTGTTTCATTGTTCAGATGCATACGTCTATAGGTGGTGGATGTTGTGACTGCGGAGATGTGGAGGCATGGCATCAGTACCATGCCTGCAAAAGACATGCTACTGATCAAGATACCATGGATACCAGTCAGGTGAATAGGGCACAGCGGAGCTCATTCAGTTAAAATTGTAACTTTTGTTTACAATTGAAGGTTGAGAAAGCGATATCCCTTCTAACATCTCTCTTACCACAAGGATGCTTGAATGAGACCTTAATAATATCAGAATATAAAGCATGTCTAACCCCAAGGTTGCACAGGAAAAAGATAAGTGTTATCACATTGCCTCCGGTGAACAACTCCTAACTGATATTTTCATGCTTTACTCACCTTAATAACAAAAAGTCGATATCACCTATAAACCCATCAACTGTCTAATTCCATTTGCCAAAATCATTGAGTAATCACACACTTTAATTAACATAGGATGCGGTTTCCCGACTGCCAGAGAAAGTGCGAGAGAGAGCTCCAAAGTTTTTCGAGGTTATTCTCAGCTACATTGTTGAGTTTCTAACAAACGAAAAAACTTCGATATCTGATTTGGATGAATCTCTGCAACCAAGGTTGGTTTTTTTTACAGCTTTAAGGCCTTGCATGTCAGTGTAGCAAGTGACATGATTGCCATAGCTTATGGACTATTTAATCTCAGGGGTTCCCAAGCTTTTCTCAGGACGACCCCAAAGACAACTTTCAAGTGTCCAGTGCGACTCCAGGTCAATATATAATTTTTTCACAAAACTAGTGGTATAAGGTAAAATAAGCTAAATAATTTGAACTCTTTATTTTCATTAAAAATTAAAAATAGCGAAATTACAAAAAAAAATGTTTGAAAATTGAAAATTTCTTTTATTGGGAACGGTCACTGTTTGATTTGAATCAATTTCCTGTATCTGGGGATGTATGGTGTCATAATTTTCCAAGGTAATGTTTATTTTACAGCTCGGATATTCACTTTTAATTAATGAACCTTTACCATACCTCAGTGACCTCACCGACCCCATGACCTGTTTGCGACCCCACCTACTTCTCACTTCGACCCAATTTGGGGTCCCGACCCCTGATTTATTCTAGAAGTTATTGAAGAGTTACACATGTACATTTACTCAATGAATATTAAAAAAATTCCCCAATTTGTGTGGATATGCATTGCAACTTGTGTCAACGCTGCTTTGAGCTATAATGTCAAGGCATTCAGGGATGGCCATTTCCGAATACTAAACTATTCCGAATACATTCTAAAATAATGTTTTCGAATCTGGAATTGCGAAAAACATTCTAAAATCGAAAATAACACATTTTTGTTTTAGTTTCTTGAAACCCAGTAAATTAGGAAATAAGCTTCAATAGAAATATCAGAATAAAGCCACAAACCAACAGTATATGTACACAAAGTAATTGATAGTTTATAGCTATCAATAAAAAATAATAGCAACTTGTGACACAGTCAGTTTATTAAAATTATTCACTTTGTACGAATGACCATATAAAAAAATAGCCAAGGCGTTGTCTGACGCTTTCTATCATTGGTACCATTATATTACGATAATAGTCAAGTCTATTGACAAAAATACAACTTGTATTCAGATAATTGTGTATATTTTCTGTGAGCAATCAAATTTATTGGCAATACAGACAACTGACACAAGCAACAACAATCGAAAATCCATTATGCCTGCAAAAATTCTAATATTTGGGCTTAGAGTATTCAACTACCTACCAGTATATTTGTATATTAATTTTTGTGAACCATATTGTTATTATGTGTAACATATTGTTGTGTTTGAAATTAGAAATAAATTAATAGAAAATAGATGACCACCACTGCTGCGCGGCGCTTCGAAATCGGAAATTCCCATTGCCGCCTGTAACACCCACCGCCATTCCGCGCTCGTTAAAAGAGCCGTCTTTTCAGCCTATAATGATCATCCTGTTACATAAAATATTCAATCCATGTCAACTACGAGATTCTAAAATATCTTTATACATTAATTCAATGTGTCCAATGTAACTCGCGGTTGCTTCTTCTTACGTCAAAAAAAACATTATTATTCGGTCCACAGCGATCTGTTACCTAAAAGTACGAGATAAACCGCCTGATGTATTTATTTTTAATACGTATTTTTGCAATCTTGCCAACTTGGTATCGCCGTTAGAAAAATCTCAAATAATGATATAAAATCCTGTCAAGTGTAGTGTATAATTCATTTCATACAGTGAATATACATAGAAAGTTTAGCAGTAAATTGAAAATTACATATTCATCGCCGCAATTATGCCACCTGTTAAAAGAGTCGACTTTTACAACAAATGATATAACAACGAATATATATTTTTCTGTTGTTGCATGTTTAAAATGTCTTGCTTTATTAAGTTAATTGTTTTCAATTTAACCAGCGGTTGCGTCGTCAAAATAAAATCCTCACGACTCTAATATACCATGACAATCCGCGGACATAAAAATAAAAATGTGTGGTGAACTGCCCGATCATATATTGTTTTGATCCGTATTTTGCAAATTCGGCAAATTCAAGATGTGTAACACTGCCTCCGCTCAATCGAAATGCCGCCACTCCGATTATTTTTAAGATAAAACCGTTCGAAAAATCCATAAATCTGCCGTAAAATCTCAGACTAAAATTTATTTCAGCACAATAAAAATTGATTGAATAATATTAATAATATTATATACATTTCACAATCCGGTAAAAGTCGCGTTCACACCTTGTAATAAAATTTTCGACGGCAATTTAATTAAAGTAATGGTTAATCAGGCAAATCTCCCCACTCCCCCCCCCCCCCCCCCCAATTAGTGACGATATGTTTCTAAACGCGGACCATACATAATTTGGAAAATTTGCAATTTTCACCGCCTAGAAAAGCATTTTTTAAACTGCCGCGGGCTTCAATAAAACATATTTTGTTTACGGTTTTATTTTCAGTATTTTAAATTGCCGCTTTTCAAACCGAAAATGCGTTTTCTTTAGAAACTCTTTTTCTTTAGAAATAAATAATTGTCATCGTTATCGAGGAAAAAATTTGTGGAATACTTGCGTTTTAGAGAAAATAACACAAGTGTAAAGGCGTTTACGGCCTAAATAATACGTCCGCTGATAAAGCAATCGCGCGCAAGTTTCTATCGAGAATGTTTTCATTCAACGGAAACGTCTTGAGAGCGGCGTCGAAAATGTGTGACGTCACACGAAAATCCGATATTCTTATAAACGCTGATTCCGATATTCGAATGACGAGATATTCGAATACATTCGAATACTTTATTCGAATTGGCCATCCCTGGCGCCTATATCGTAGCAGGGTGACAGAATCAAAATTTTTTTATTTCAGTGAAAAATCTGATTGTTTTGTAACAATGCTCTACAATGACGAACTTCACACCTTCGATTTTGTGATTGACATCTTGAAGAGAGCGCTGAAGTGTGACGAAGCCATTGGATCAGATTTCGCAACTATTGTGGACAGAGAGGTGGGCGTGTTCGTATTTAGGGGAGTGTCTTCTGAACTTAGTTGGGCCTTATATTAGAGCAGGGTCGTCCAACCTTTTTGGCCGAATGTCCATATGTAATTTACTAATAAGTGCGCGGGCCACTAAACATTGTAGGGGGCCCCCGAAGTATGCGAACCAAGATGGCGGACATCGTAATGTAATATGTGTACTAGGTTTGGGTTAGGCCATAATTTTAGGTATAAATACTACGGGAGGCTCTTGGCTAGTCTTCGAACTGATAATAGGACTAAAATAAGGAAAATTGGAAAAAAATTATCGCCTAACCCTAACCTGTTACCCATGTTACGTTCCGATGTCCGCCATCTTGGTTCGCATACTTCGGGAGCACCCATTGTAGTTATGTTTCAGTTTTGATACAATGACTACGGGTTATTGAAAAAAGCAATACCCTCACGCTAAAACTGTTGTTTCCCAACCATTGATGGGGTGCCATCAGTGATTATTCCCAAAAGTTTCGCAAAAAACAAGTCAAGACGCTTGATAATTTTCATCACAGCTCCCAACATGTCAATGCCCATAGTCGTGGGACAATGGCTGTGAGCTCTTCGGTAATTTTAAAATCATCATTAACTCCATGCATGAAGAGCAGTAGACTTAATGCCAGTATTTTTGTCAAGCGCCAAGGAATACGATGGAAACTTTCCCGCATTTGCTATTGAAGCTTCGGCTATAAAATTCCCAAGCTCTTCAATACGACGACAAGAATCGTCTGTCTTGACAGGCTTATATTTGCAAACGCCTCTTTTATTTCCGGACATCAATACTTAATTTTTTTTATTCCATTCTGATAAATACAGCGCGGGCCACTAGAAATGTTTGCGCGGGCCACGGGTTGGACGACTTTGTATTAGAGCATAAATCTTTGCTCGGCAATATGTGGCATAAATGGATTTCAAAAGTATTTCATAGTTGTCTGCACCAAAAAAAAAAAAATTTGTCACTTCAGATGTTTTGATTAAACCAACCATGATTGCAACAGGCAATTACGTATCGAGTTTGCTTTTGTGCCTTTATTGTTTTTCGCTTTGGGTCCAAATGAAACTTGTTTGTATTTGTCAGCGTCTAAAACTCTAGCGTAAGGTGACTAAAACATCTATTCGGAATATGCCGTGATGTTTTGTCTGGGGCCCCACAAGTCCTTGTAGCCGCACAGCTGCGCATAACTTTTTATTTCCACTACTATAGGGCACAGAATAGTTATCATTAACAAGTCACACAGGGCCATCCAAGCCCGCAAAATATTGGCTGAACACTAAAAGTGTTAGCATAGGTGTCTCATTGGCTTATTATATATGTAAATAAGCTACCATTTGTGGTGAGAATTATTGTATTGTTATTTTTCAGGGTCGTTCTGCAGTGTGCATTGATGATGTAAACGCATGTGAAGAAGTCAAGAAAATTGTTGGGGTAAGTGTGGCATTATGTTGGTGCCTCAATATTGTTCTGGATGCCTCAATGATTAATGGCATGACATCATGCCATAGGGGCCGAGAGGCACAATGCCACGGTATCAATAAGTCAATGACATGGCATTAACACAGCAATTCATGGATCTCTAAATATTTATCCTGGGGAACAGATGAAAAGGCTCAACCATACTATGCCTTGTTCTTCTATTCATGCGGTAGGTGAGCTAGCCATTTTTTTGGGTATTGCAGCAGAGAGGAAATCTGATAAGTCGGCTTAATCATGTGGCGAACCACCATTGTTCATCGATAACCAGTCCATGCTGGGTACAGGATTATTCGTTTCAAATGCATGGACTTGGTGGTGGAAGAAGCTGTAATCACTAGCGGTTGGGACTTCAAGAAGTCCAGCAATCATCCTGCACATAATTATCTCCACAGGATTAAGAATCCATGCATGATGACAAGAGGTGTGTTGGCGTATTCCTAGCATGATGCGACACCAACGAGCTCTTCTTGCAAACACACCAGTCAATGTCAGATATGGGAATAAACCAGTTATTTGTTCGAGCCGCTTTGTTTTTGATGTAATAATGTCTCAATGTTTCACAGACTCGTCCGACAGCTTACTTCAGTTTCCGAACAAACGAACCATTGAAGACACTCGTCATGCATGTGAATATAGTTGCTCACCAGGAGATGGCGCTGTTGCTCCTACCGTGGTTATCAAGGATTGTCAAGCAGTCCGGTAAGTATCATAGTTATTCTGGGGGGAGAGGAATGCTGATAGGATGAATTGTGTGAGATCTAATAGGAACTATAGTGTTGCAATACACACCAGTAAATACTGATAAAAGCCGTTCAAGTCAACATGACAAACAACTATGAACCATTGATTTCCATGTAAAGCTAAACACTTTTGTGTAGCCCTTTGTTTACTTTAATTCAATATTTCCCGATCTAGAGGGTTTGCGTAAGATTTTCTGTGACGTCGCATTGAATGAATTCATCAAAGCGATTCCACCAGAAGTTGGCGTCAGTGGAATGATAAGTCCAGTGGAACGTTTCATCAGATGCGATCATGAGCTTTGGAAAAGTAAGTTTGGCCATTGCTACATTCAGATGTTCATTGTGTTGAATTTTGTCAGCTTGCTGTAATAAATCTGCAATTCAGGAAATGTGTTGTTTTATATGAAAAGAGATATAACTTTTAAAAAAGGTGAAATACCAAATAATTGTGAGTTATATAGGGATTGTTGTCAAAGAGACAGATAAGTTAACAATTCAAAACTATCGGCGAATTAGCTCAGTATAAGCTTCACAATATTTCATGTCATTGTTCATCCATATTGAGTTATTTGTTGATAATTTTATAATGTTTATCGAATTCAATCTTTTGCAGCCGCTCGGAACATGTACTTGCAACTACTAATGAACAGTCTTCTCCTCGATGCTGAAACGAAAAAAAAGTTTGGGATTTTATTCACGAGGTTGTATGAGATCATACAGGTTTGTGCAGGAATGTCCAAAATGAATCGAATATTCAAATACATTCCAAATAGTAAATTTTTAAATTTAGGGAATAATTTGGAACATTTATTTTCAAAATTAGTAATTTTGACTCGTCAGACAAGCAGATCAAAACGAACGAAATATAAAACACCAAGAAAACAATGCTCTTTATGTTTGTGTCGTTTTAGATGTTGTTAGCATGAAGACATAATGATTTATGTAATTTACCACATGATCTTGCCCCCAATTTAGAATGTATTTCATATTTGTGTACATTTTCTCAGAATGTATTCGGAATACTGAAATATGTAGTGTTGGCAATCCCTGGCTGGATTAGCTTGCTGGCAAAAACATTCATTGTTTGCAATCCCACATTCACTCATGCCACATTCGAAGCTGAAGTAATTTGCTAAATGCTAATGGAATTGTCTCAAAACCACTGCTTCCTATTAAAAAGATTTAATTTTATTTGATCTGTTTTACGCACTTTCAACTCAAGCTTTGACTTGTTTCAGTGCTTGTTTATCGCAATACATGCTGGATGTTAACACACCCATTAGCGTCCAGTGTTGGAAGAAAGTTTGATGTGGAGTAGGCTTTCATTGCATCCGGGATTGCTTATAAATATTTTAAAGAATTTGATTTTTGGGGACTTATGTGACCTAAATTTTCCCACTTTTTTTAGGAGGGCTTCTTGAATGGTGATCATGAACATGGGCATTCTGTTGCATCTATGGCTGTTCAACTTTACACTGTCCCTACAGTTGTGAGTTCATTTATTTTTGTATTTTTTATATGGCGAGCAACTTCCTATTCGAACAAGTCCCTATAGAAGCAGCCAATGAATCAGAATGCAGCTAAAGAATCTTTTATTATTTGAATGGACCGGAAACTTTGGTTTGGCATTACCCACCCAACCCTTGTCAACGCTGGATGTGAAATGTCACACAGTTGAGTCTTATGGGGCAGAGAAGGGGGGGGGGGAGCACAAGACTTATGCGGAGATAGGGTAAAGCGGCAGTTCATGTCCTTGGATTTGGGAAAACTAGAATGTTGCCTATCCAGAATTTCAGATTGTAAACATTTTTTTAAGTATGTTATGGTTGTTAATATTGTACCTTAATTGTATTCCTGGCAACTAGCATTTTCCCAGTTAGCATTGCTTGTGATGTCATCAGTCACAGATGACTGATCATTACCAACCAGCTGTGAACGTGAAGTAGTCATGTGCTCGCTGTACTTGAGGATCCATTTCTGTCAATGTGTCTTGGGGATTACCTTGGTTATTTTATGGGCATTTATGGTTAGGAGTTAACAATTGTATTCTGAATAGTCCAGCATTCGGTTATGGCCATCTCGTCTTCTTACTTTAATGAAGTTATTTATTATTCCAGACTCGTCACCTGATCGTCCATGAAAATGTGATTGGAGTCATTCTGCGAGCTCTTGCCAAATCCTGTTATGACGGAACGCTGTTGAACCCCGATGATTGGTGCAATATAATGAAGCTGAACACTAGACGTATGAAGTGGGCAATGAGGCGAGCCCATCATTCATTCTATGATCTCAGGTTGGTGCTATAGCAGTTAGGCAATGCTCCATAGACTGGGGGTTCATTGGTTTTGCCAATGTAACCCTTTTGGTCGGGTCCCCCAGTTAAAAAAGCCATGCGATATATCATACTCCAAATTTAGTTGCTCTCGAAGTATGTGCACCAAGATGGCGCACAACTTGAACATAGTATATGTACTAGGTTGGGGTTCAGGCTGTGCGACTCCTCGGTGCACATACTTCCGGAGCGCCCAAATTTAATGCAGTTTCTTATACTGTGGGATTTGTGTCTGACAGGTACATCCTTGCGATTCTCCCTGATCAAATGACAGCAGATTTGAAAAGCAAATTCATTGATGGAGTGAAGTTGTTTGTGCAGATACTGATGGCAATGCAGGTGAGGCCCAATATGTTCTTACTTGTATAGGCATTCATGAATATATGAAGCAGAGAGTTGGCTGAGTGCTTGTACTGGCTGCCTGCAAACTGAAGATGAGGTTGTTCGTACATAACGTTCTGATGCCAAATCCTTACCTACTTTAACTGCTGCAAGCATCATACATTTCTGAAATACTCATCAAAGATCATTTAAAGTAGGGCTTGTCAAACTTTTTTCCATCACGACCCACTTGGCAGGGCCGAACAGGTACATCAATGAGACCGGTGTGTTTGCGCATTCTCGCACAAAATATCTAATGTTGGCTCTATTTCAGTGCTGGTTCAAAATCTTTTTATTGAAATCAAATTTTATTGAAATTTTTTATTTTAACAAGTGAATATTGTTAACAAGTGAATATTGAAATAGATTTTATTGTGACCCTCAGTGAGCCCTTTGCTAACCATCAAGGGGATCGAGACCCCCAATGCGAAGATCCCTGATTTAAATGATGCTTCGATGAGTATGTTAGGAATGTATTGCAGCTGGTGTTGTACTTGCGACAAACTGTAAATTGACATCCCAACTTACATCAGGTTGATAATAAGACTTTTTTCAAACTTCAGGGAATGGACTCAATTACCAGGAAGGCAGACCGACATATAGAACATGAACCCGACTGGGAGACGGGGGTAAATGTTGTCATAAAATTCAATCCTGTGATCTACCACTTGTTGCAATGGTTCAGAACCGATGTGAGTGATTTAGCATTGTAAAAATAATTCACTGCGTTTTGTCAATTTTGAGTGATTGGAGTAGATTGTCAATGCCAACGTTCCCAGCTGGGTAATTTCGTCGTTCTAGAGGAGGGATTTTGCACTAATATTCTCTGGTTATTTATTATTACTGTAATACTTATTTATGGACACATTATTAACTACTTGAACTATACAAAGCAAAGTGCGAGTTGTGCATCACACTAGATCCATTGAAAAAATAAAGTAGTTTTAAGCGGGGGTGGGGGGGAATTTATCCACCTTTCTTGACAATTCACTCCCTACTTCCAGGTCGATCTTCTTTTCATCATGCTGAAGCTTTGTCTTCAAGCGTTGAAAGTTTTAAACGAATCGGATCCGGCATCGCTTCGGTCAGGCGTGACTGTTTACAACAATCAAACCTATCCATGTTTGGATTATGACATCACTAAGCAACCAGTATCTACCCAGTATCCAGTGACTCGTCTCATGTCGGCCATAATTGTTGAACTCGGTTTGGCCGGGATGACTTGGTCTGATATTGAGAGGAATGAACATATTGCATCTGTGAGTTACTTCTAGGTTTTCAACCTTTATTCTTTTATTTATTCTTCTAAACTAAAATTTGGGTTGGCTGAATTGAGAATATATGATGTATTTTTAAAATTCCCTTTTCTCTAAATTTATGCACAATGTTAAGTGTAGGGATGGCCAAATTTTTTTGCCAGAGCTGCATTTCAAAAACACTGAGAAATAGACTTAATTTTTTCGAAATGGCATATTTTAAATTTCAATATGAAAAATACTCAAACATGAAACTATACTACATGACAAAGTTAAGCCATGGACTGACGCAAATTTATTTGGCAAAGCAAAGTAATTCATTACCAGATACTGATCAATTTCATTAAGTTCTCACATATTTCTCTTTTAATCTTGCAGATGTTGGAAAGCAACTCTCTGCCCCCAATGCAACTGATGGAATGCTCACTTCGTTGTCTTTGTCTCTCTGCCCAAGTCAATGCAGGGATGTGGCGTCGTAACGGCCTGTCGCTCATTAATCAACTGTTCTATTACAAGGACTATAGATGCCGGCAGGAGGCCTATGAGAGGGACGTTCAGTTACTGCAGGTAGGAAATGTTGAGGCCGAGCTTCAGGGCTGTGGACTTCCTATTGATTTTTGAAATCTCAGCCAGAACATGATTTCCAAAATCTTCAGAATTCAAATTCCTAATAATTGGATTATCAGAATTCTAATGTGGCGTTTCATAAATTGTCTGGATTGTGACTTTAATCTAATTTATCCAGACACAACAGCTGTAAAGATAATGATATGAATCTTTTAATCATGGTTCTTAATCACAGCAAATGTTTTCAATTTATCACAGGTTTCTGCTGCCAACATGGATCCCAACAATTTCATTGTAATTCTGCTGAATAAGATGAAATTAAATCCTGAATCCCCTGAATTTGCTGAGGTAAGCAAAATGTCATGTAGCATCATATTTTTTTTTATAAGCTCACATGCAGGTGGTTAATATTTGTTCATTAATACGACCTGCATTCTTCACCTGGAGATCCTGCAATGCTTTATGCGGGATGGGAATAATTGTTGCAAGGTGGTTGTAGATATAATGCTCATGTTATCATTAAAATTAAATATGAATTTGACGCCCTTGATCACACCTAAACAGCTATTATTAAGGTTGTGCCTGGTGTTAGAATAGATTTCTCTCTATAGATGTCATGTCTAGGTAGCACTGTTCCTCTGAAATATTATAACTTTTTCCCTTCCAGTACCACATTGCTCTGATGAGTGAATTCTTCCGATTACTGATCTCGATTTGCGGAGAACGATATACACCAGGTGTCGCCGTAGCATCATTACAAGAACAAGGGAAACGTCAAATCATCCACATTCTTGCCTCGGAGCCAAAGCCGCATTCGAAAATCTCCAAACAATTACCAGATTCAGTGAGTATTAGGAATCGTTCTCACTCCCTCCCCCATAAAAGTTTCTGTTGTTTTACTAAATTGGCCATATTCATAAAATGTAGAGCTCCCCCCCTCATTTGACTCTTTGCATACTTGACTTGACTGGATGTTTCCCCAAAACCTCAGATTGAGGCATCTGACAACTTGTCACTTTTTATTAATGATTCTCAAAATTTAGGTTTAAGTAATTCAAATACCTTTAGGGTCATTTTTTCTTCTGTGTGTTTTATTTCAGTTGCCGGGATAAAAATTAGTTCCCAATAGGCCGCCAAAGACTAAGCTATATCTTTTGAATGAAGGATGGTTGAGCACTTGGCGATAACGATATTTTTCAAACACATACACCCGGTTGTAAAATCTATCAACTGGAAGAGCCTTGTAATTGTTTTCTTTTTTCACCAGGTCTCAGATAAAATACCTTGGGAGGAGATTTTGCAAGAAGTTGCAGATTTTCAGGAACCGACGAGTATAAGTTCTGTTGGGAGGTTCGTGTTGATGTTGTCTTTACTTATGTTGTGTGTCTTGCAATGTAGACGTACTTTAATGTTATTGAGAAAATATAAATAACTACAGAAAAAATATGGCAAAGTATCGCCTATGACGTCTGATAACTTGCCTATCGCGTAGGGAAGATGATTCATAAAATATTTTGTGCGATTTGTTAATTCTATTATTGAATTGTGACCTTCGGAAAAATGACTTTTTTTTAATAACTAACAATCTGATATATTTCAAAATTTCGTTTGTCTATGATGACCAGGAGGGTGGTTTTTTATTTCAACCCGAATTAGTACATATTGTACCACTCCATCAAATTTTGTAGCAAATCCCCGCCTCAACTACCAATGTGTGCAGTGAAATTGCATTAAAATTATTTGCATGATAAAAAATAGTTTTCTATTTCACACAGGCTATAGCCATACTATCGTCATTCTATCTTCTGTGCTAACATCTCATCTTGCATTGGTATCTTGTTTTATCCAGGTACGTTCTGAAACCATCCATGTTGGCACAGTTCTGTCCGTACTCCTTCCACTACACGACGTTGACAGACGAGACTAAAGCTCAGCACGAGGTCGTGAGAAGAAAGAAGGCATTGCAGATGACTACAGGTGACCATGACACGATAATTAGATTTAGACTATAACATTTCAAAGATTTTCTTTTTAGCAATTTGGGAATCTTGCGGTAACTAAGTGCGAGCGAAAATATCTTATAAATTTAGCAATCAAACATACTCTAAAGCAGGGGTCGGCAACCTTTTCGCGGGCCAAAATTAAAGGTTGCAAGTCATTGGCGGGCCGCACATATTTTTAGAAAGTTAAAATCGAACGGATGGCTGACGAATCACTTTAGCATCAACTTTTCTTCGTTTTGCTGCCATTTGTCTAATTATAATTAAATTATAGGCTTATTAAACAAGTAATTGTGAATTATATACTTGTTAGGTAGTGTAAGTACAACACCCTTATGTTATAATTTTGGTTTTGTTGAGAGCGAAATGTGAGAACTGGGCATCTGATTGAACTGACATACGCCAGGTAGGACCTGCTCTATGTTGCTACTCAACTGTTTCATCTTCATTTCTTGGGTCATTGAATACTAAGGCTACATAAGTAATACATAAATTGGCAGAAGGATATAGGCCAGGGGTGGGCAACATACGGCCTACAAGATTTTGACCGGCCCGCAGACTGGACTTCAGTACATTGTGATATTACATTATTACACTTTTAGTACATTATGATAAATTCATCATGTGTTTTTTGGTCTCTAAGTTTAAACTTTACTTTGTTTAAACACGATTTATAATTTTCTTTTTTGCATTAGCGAATAAATATGTGATTAAGATATTGAATACTATTCATGTTATAATCTGGCCCACTGAGGACTTTATTTTTCCACATCTGGCACGCCGACTAGAGAAGTTCCCCACTCCTGATCTAGCCTGTAGTTATATCATGTTGTGTCTGACATTGTTCAAAGTCGGTTTATCATTTGTGTTGCGTAAGTTCAAAATATCGAATACAGTGACTTAAGCAGCATATTTAACCGATTTATACTAAAAACATTATTATACAGCGTGCTTCTCAAAAAACAAGACCAACAATTTCTCGATTACTTAAACGAAATTCGAGTGAATTATTTAATTTTTTCTAAACTTGAAACTTTTTTGTGTATGTTTGTACCCAAAAGTGTCAGAAAATCTAGGACTTCTTGCACAAAAATGGTGTTGTTCCTAGAATATGTTCCAAATGCCCTACTCGGCGGTGGCATTTCCTTTGCAACATTGGGAGGGGTTCTTTTACGGTGAAATAAGAACGCGTTTATAGGTCTTTAAAAAGATGTTCCGATGATGGCAAAACAACATGTGCGGCAATGTGTCTGTCTCATTAACCTTTCTTTGCATGTTCTACTTTCAGCAATCGCCGACCACTCTCTTTGGTCAAGCATAATCAACTTTTCATTTCAATGCGCCGTTAACTATATTACTGAAAGTGGATTCGTCGCAAATTTAAATTCCTGTGATATCTGCACATAACGCTTCTCTACTTTTAGCGGCGATTCATTAACATATTATTACCAGTTTGTTAATAATGCATGCTATTATTTTTGGCAACAGGGTTTATCGTTGTTTCAAGCAAGAAAATAAGCATTTGTTTTTTTTCGCTTATTCCGCAAGTCTTCACTCTGCGGGGTGTCCTTGCGTTTTAGAGTTTCAAAAGTGATGCCGAAAAGGCGGATGATAGAGAAACATCGACACATGTGGCTCTTTGTCGCCAGACCCCATCCCCTTTGACAGGCGTCAATTCATTGATTTTGTTTTTGCATGTCTAATTTCAACCTTTTAGTAATCGCCGATTATTACCCAATTGTCAACGGTTAAATAAAATGCCACACATGATTTTAATTGAAATAACGCAAAAAATGTAAAATAAGAATAGAATGAAATATTAGCAATCATGAAACACGAAGAAATAGCATAAATTAATGATATTTGCCAAATGCCAATGGTTCATAAACTATTTTTGAGTGCGTCACGAAATATCAATCCATTTAAAAAAAAAAAAAAAATTTGATGTTCCCGTATTTATAACTTCATAAAACGATTACAATCGTTTAAAAACAAGCTGATGTATCAAACTGATTGGGAACGTCTTTCAATGTAAAACTCTTGTTGCAATTATGTGTTAATAAATTCTAATTTTTATCGCAAGGTGTCGAGTCTAGCTAGACCTATATTACTGAAAGTGGAATCGTCGCGAATTTGAAATCTCGCGCCCGTGATAGCTGCATTCTGCGCATAGCGCTTCTTCACTTTCAGCGGTGATTTATTAACATATTGTTACCAGTTTATTAAAAAGAACTGGAAGACAATGCATGTAACTGCTTTTCGCAGACAGACGATTCCAAACGAGTCTTGGACGAGTTTGCTACCCAAAGTCTCGAAGATTGAACATTATTCTGTAATATTTTTTTCCTCGAAGATTGAACATTATTTTGTGATACTTTTTACTCGAAGATTGACCATTACTTTGCTATCTCCACTGCAGCGAAAACGAATTGTAAACGTGATTAATAAAGTCAGACGCTGCGCGAAAGTGATAACGCAAAGAATAAAATTATTGTAAGTAAACGTAACACTATCAAAAAAAAACTATTCCAAATGGGGGGGTTATGACCCATGTAACCCCCCCCCCCTGGCTGCGCCCCTGTCCGCGTTTATAATATTGCCCTAGTCGTCTGCCTAACTAATGAATTCTCAAAATTGTTCCAAGTTTTAATAAGCAAAATCACTTTCTCCAATGCTTGTTGCACGCTGTCTTAGAGATTTTAGTTTGCCTGCAAAGCCGTGAATTCCACATTGTTGCGTCACAATCACAATAACGCAAGATCAGGGAAAATCTACGTTTCAATTGACATGATTTTTCCTTTGGTAGTAATAAAGGATAATAAAAACAACAACACACAAAAACTCGATTGCCTTCCCAAGTACCCATGGAAATCTTCTCGTGCACCCCTGGGTGTTCGCGAATCCCAGGGGTAGACCAATCAACTCTATAAATCAACCCATAAATCTAGGAACTAAACATATCACTGCTGAATTCAAACTCATTAAACAACTCAAATTCAACAAATTATGACAGACTCAGACTCTTACAGCTCAAAATAGCATTCATAAGGATTTTGCCTTATGAATAGAAAATAGTAATTTTGTTTAGGAAGATACTTCTTATATCAGAAGCATCCCATTTGATATCCAGATATCTGTTTGTCCACTGAACCATTTGTTTCCTTTTCAGTGTTCATCCCACCAAAGCTACCACAATTCAGTGAATTATTCCGCAACATCCCCAAACTCCTGTGCTGTGATGTTTTTGTCGATCTTGTATCAAAGTTCCTTCAACAACTAACAACAGGGGATCACGAACGCTGGTCGGACAGACTTGTGGAAAAGGTGGGCTAGTTATGAGTTTGTTGGCAAAATACTGAATTTCAGGCTCCAGGTTGATGCGAAAATTTGCAGTTTATTATCTCTCTTTTTTGGTTTGGATTTGGTTTTAATCTGCTAACTTAATGTTTTATGAAATGATAACTGCGCTGAGTTAACAACTTTTATGAAATTTAACTGTGGTTGAAATTTAGGATAAAGCTCTCTAATCCAAATATGTTTGCATAAAGCCTTGTTCAGAGTGAAATCTCCAACTGTTCGGCAAGTGAATTGGACAATTCTGGTTAAGTCTTCAATCATTGGAGGTATAGAGATAATTGCCTTGAAAATTTGGATCTTTCAGGCTGGTCTGCTGATTGGAAACCAAGTTACTTATTCTTCAGCCATGATAACTAATGTTCTTATAATTGAGTCTGCCTCTCCCTGTGCACAACTACTAACTTTTTCTCGTTTATCAGGTCCTCTATCTCATCTCCATGGCGATCATTGAACATGAACAACAGAAAGAAATGAATCCAGAAAATGATTTTGATTTCATAAAGAAAGCTGTTGCAGGTGAGGTTTATAGGATAGGATTTACATATTTATCCCGGCAGAATGAGGATAGACCGACCGGTTACCAGAGCCTGTTACCAGAACCTGTCGGATGTGGGATTAGTTGGCCAGATATTGTTTCAGATGCATTGACCAGCGATTACGTGAACCACCCTACGGCGGTGAGGACTCCGGCAATCTTCTCGTACATAATTATTTTCCACCTAACTCGAACCTGCTAACCCACACAGGGTAATCAGAGGTGCCATTGCGAGCAGACTCCTAACACTTAGCACGATGTGCCAGGCCGGCGACTTTGCTTCACTGAGTGAGGGTGTGACTTTGGTATCTGCCTGTGGTTTTTGTTTATTAATGTCCTTTGAGAGAAAATCTAAAGCGTAAACTTCGTCATGGTTCATTTATCCCATTGGATTTAATACTGGCAAGCACTATTCTTCGAGTCACTGCTCCCAGGTCATCTGGAAGATTCTATAGAACATTAGATGGCAGGAACTTCATGAAATTTTTCAAATTTCTCAAAAGTAGCTCAACCTCAAATTTTTTGACTTATGAATTACCCAATTTATACCTAAGTTGTGAAATAGATATTGCTAGCCGACATTATTGCCTCTGCAGTTGATGAGCTTTATGTTTTCTGGAATGCTTTACTCTTAGTTGAAACAAGGCTCTATACGAACAGGTACTGATATTTACAGTTCTGCTTTCTTGAGAACCATGAGAACCATTTTGTTTCTGGCAATTTTCGTGTGAGGTGCATGTTTGTACAATATTGCATTACAACTCAGGTTGTGAGAGAGGGATCCTGTTCCTCCTGAAACAATTGCAAGTGACCGAATCACTGTTGATTCACCGGGACACAGTACGATGGCTGGTTCTTAAGATTGAGCGTCATTCAAATCAGAGGCACGGCTCATCATCTGCTGTGGATCCAGAGCATTTCATTCTTTCCAGAGAAGATTCCAATGAAGAGAGGGTTTGTAATCGCTATCTTCTGTACGTAAATGACAGTGAAGACCTGCTTTGTGCAAACTTTTATGGTTATCTGACAATTACATATAGGCAAGAGAAACTATTTATTTAAATCACAAGCACAGTTTCCACATCACATCAGATTAATTCAACAAAAAAATCTTCCTGCAACAAGCTATGTGTTGATTTGTGTGATATCTGGCTCAGTTCTGCAGTTATCTTAAATAAAGCAAGGTTACATGCACATGCTCAGAAGTGAACTTTTAACAAAGTTACAAGCGCCCACTAAATGCCCAATGAAATGGAGATTGTTTCTAAAACTGTATTGAATTATGTTGACTCAATTGAGTGGATATTTGCTTAGTATTGCTTTGACTTTCTCAGGATCCGACACGCAACGCTCGTAAACGTAAAGCGCAAGAACTTCGAGATAAACTGCTGACTCAGATGAAAACGATGCAGCAAGACTTTCTGTCTCAGAATCCCGACGTCATGTCTGGGGGATCTCAGGGTGAATCTATGGAATTGTGAGTCACTATATGAGAATTTTTTCGGGTTATATTTCATGGTGGGCACAGTTTTTCTAAACAACTTAGACCTTCCATGATAGGGTTGACTGAGTATTTACAATTGCAGCTCATCTTAGGGTTTATTTGTGGTGGCTGAGCCTATATGCATTCAATGCTCAAGGGACTGTTGGACTAGAAATCTTCTAGAAGAACTTTTTTCCAGCCAAGGTTTCAGAAATTCCTATAAGTACTAGGCTCCCCAATGTTTGATATGCACTGCAAACATTTCTCCCTCCCCTATTTATTAGTTATGATTTTTCTTAACTTTAGCTCAATGTATAACATTTGTGACAGTTTACATACCAGATCCAGATCTATTCGTCATCCACATCACAGAAAGTTGCTTCAATGTTTCAGGTCACAAGTCTCTACTTCATCACAGCGAGAAAATGAAACACCGGTTTGTACAGATTTATCCTGGCAGCAAGAGACCTTGAAGGCAATGGAGCCATCGTATACATGCATGCTTTGTCAGGTTTATAAGTTCTTCTTAGCTTCTTAGTGTAAACTGTGGCATTATATTCATGTCCAGAGCCATGTTAATGCCATAGGAAAACTTTGATATTTTGTTTCATATTCTGTGGCTATTTGAATCTGGTTCTTGGGCAGGAGTGTGGCATGATTATGAAACCACTCGGCACAGTGATGGTGCACATGTCCATATCCTTCTTAATGCCACAATTTCTGCATTTCAGGAAGAAGCAGTCGCTGCTGAAGGCAGCATGGTGATGTCAGCTTTGGTTCAAAGGTCATCTGTTCTCACTAGAGGTCCTCATGGTGAATTGAACAACTTGGATGACTTTGCTCCATTGTTTGTCGACTTATCTTACCAAAGCGGCATCCACACAAGTACGTGCAGCCACACAATGCATTACGAATGCTTCAAGCAGTTCAGGGATTCTGTGAACAGGTATTGTGTGGAGCGATAATGATCATTCTTACATAGAATACAAGGGATAGATCTCTGTAAAATCAAAACACGAAAAATGCTCCCAGACTATGTTGTATTGGGAATTTTATATTACAATTCTACGTAACAATCCCCTCTTTCCAATTCCAACAAAACCAACATTTAAAAACCTAAATGTCGTTTTTGTCAGTTTTGGGTGTAACCGATTGAAAATAATAGAAACAAAAACTGTGTAATTTCATGTAGCAAACCAGTCTGGTTAAGTGTGACTGTAAACAGGGTTTTAATCGTTGCTTGGTAAGTAATATTTGTTTACATGTTTCTGTGGGGATTCCTTCATAATGGCTACTTCGTTTTGAAGGCAAGGGAACTTTTTAAGCATCATTTTCAGGAATATTTAGTATTTCACCATTGGGTCATTCCTTTGTATGTTATCGGTGCTGCGAGACCTGCGTGTTACTTTAATGCCAACTTTATTTTCTAGCACTGAAGCACGAAGGCGGCACAATAGCAGATATTCAAGGAAAGGTTTTGACATAAAAAACAACGAGTTCTTATGCCCTTTGTGCAGGTTAAAGTTGTTTTTATTTTGTCTGCATTGTATCTAGAGCTCGACCGATATCACTTTTTTAACGCCGATACCGATATGCCGGTATTAATATAAATCATATTGTTGAGCCACAAGATGGGCTTTCATAATATATCTCATGAGTCTGTAGTTTCATTTTGATATTTATATTGTTGGAGCAATAGTTTTACTTAACTAACTCCAGTTAATGCTTGAACAAATGGTATTCTGTAACTTTTCCTGCTACTTCAATATCAGTCTAGCTATTTTCAGGGGAAAGATTTGTTAATCTGACGTTTCTGAATATAACTATGAGCATATGTTAAGGGTATTAGAAAATTATAAATTGATATATTTTAAAGTGAATTATGATAATGATAAATTCCTTCGATTTTGTGATAGCCTATGTGCAGTTACATGTGAAATTTGCAATAACTTTGTTCCAGAGACTCTCAATACCCTCTTTAGTCAATAATGAGGGATTATTTTTTTTTGTAATTCTCAGCAAAGTGATAAACAACCATAAATATAGATAAAAAAAACTGTTACCCCAGCAATTCAAAATTGAATTTGGGGAGGTCACAAATTCGGAACTGACATTATTGTGTGATTACTAACTCACCAACTTCAAATAGATTATATTTATAGAACCACCCTTTAATGTTATACTAAATTTGCCTTTTTCTCATTGTGTACTCTCTCAAAAACGTCACTTAATAAAACGTCTTTGTTACTCCAGATATTAACTTTTCAGTTATGACCATGTATGAAATGACTAATCATAAGACACCGGGAATTAGGAGAAACACCTTTTTAATGCAAGTGAGAGCAAGAGAAATATTGGGAAACCAGTTACGCAGGGGCTAGAGTCGTTGCAGCACGCAGCCCGCCGCTTGCCGATGTGGCCGATATATATCGGCGGTTTACGGCCGATATGATATATCGGCAAACACGCAATATCGGCCCGATATATCGTTTGGCCAATATATCGGTTGGCCAATATATCGGTCGAGCTCTAATTGTATCTCTAATTGTGATACCTCATAGTTTTCCTGACACAGCCAGGAAGATCAGTAATTTTTATCTGATGTTTGGTAGGTTGCTAACTATTGTACTTCTTGATTGGCAGTCGCCTCAGCAACTCTGTCATTCCTGTTATTCCACATCCATTTATTGCCAAACAAAGAGGAATTCTTACTGACCCATTAGAGGATGAGATGATTGACAGCCAGCCATCTACAAGTGCCACGCCTTCAACCATGAGGGAATGGCTGAAATCAATTGAAGAAGTGTTGAAACCGTTGAAATTGGAAGCTCAAGAGGTTTGGATAGATAGAGGGGAAAGTTGATTAGTATTCTTATTGCAAAAAATCCCAAATTTTGTTTTTTCAGGGGTCAAAATTCCAAATTTCTGGGTCAGAAGTTCAGAATTTCAATGGTGATAAAAATCAAAATATGTAAATAAATAATTAAGTTGAAAAAAGACTTCAGAGCTGGAGACAGAGGCTGAAATTTTTCCGGACTCTAAGCCAAATGTTTTTCAATCTAGATTTGGATGTGAATCCTTCCCAGTCCCTAATCCTCTTATCATTCAGATCCCCCAAATGCTTGATGTTTTCCTGCCTTCTCTCATACTGGGACTTTGTATAAGCATCTACTGATGTACGTAAAAACCTGGAATTTTTGTAAAGACCGGATTTTCTTTGGTTTGGCCCATAATTTATTGCATGGGGGGCTTGAAAATGCTATGCCATTGTTCGTGCCCAAACTAAATTCAGGCTGGTTGTTTTGCTATATGACTAGCCCTTTTCCTAGGATTCCCTCTTTCCAGTATTCATTATGTCGTATCTTGGCAGGTCGTTCTGAAATTCCACGTTGATGTCTCGGATATGAAGAATGAGATGGAAAAAGCTGAGGCAGCTGATAGGTAGGTTGGGTGTAGTATCTTTCAATCAGGTTTCCTAAAGCGTTACCTAGGCATAGAAGCCCACACACATCTGAAACACTGGTGTTTCTCAACAGGGGAGGAGTTTTTGGGGGGAAAATAATTACTTCGGATTTTTGTGTAGTATTTCTCATATTGTTCACGTATTTAGTAATATTTTATGCATAGTTGTGCGCACGTTGTAGCAACTTACACGTGTGATACTGGCTGATGATGCGTTAAATATTTTCGTGGAAATTCAAAGGTTTCAAATAAGCTCAATAGAGAGCTTCAAAGTAATGGCCCCAGTAATTCAATTTTTAAAATTCATTCTGACTAATTTCTGAAAGGTTATGGGTGAATGATCCAGCATCCAATTGGTTTGGGGATGAACCCGACATGCTTGAGCCCGATGGCGGGCAAGTTCCTGAGCCCCAACCACAAGTGGGTGCTATAGCCCCACTTCAAGAAGAAAGGTTTTTATTAGTCGTGTTGACTTTCCTCTGTTTGGTGTAGTCTTTCCAACGTATGTTGTTAAATCTTTCTGATAATTTCAGCTTATAGGTTTTCTCTGAATCTTGTCGGATGTGAGGAACTGTCTGCCAAGATTTGACTGTGATCGTGTCAGATTATACAGAGACCTCATTTCTGTTTCAGTTCTAATTTCATTTTATGTTTTGTTCAATATTCTGTTTCTTCTCTCTAAGCATGATCTTTCTTTGTGAAAAAACTTACCAATGATGCTCTTAGTTTTGTTGCATGTTATCTTTAGATCAGTGGTTCTCAAACATTTCAAGCCCATTTTTTATTTGTCAAGTCTCTTGTCCCACCTCAAAAATAACTAGCTAACAAATAACAGATAGTGAGGCGAAAGTATGTTTTGAAAAATGTCTCTTTACAATAAAGAAATGTAAATATCCAAAATAAGGCAGGCAAGAATAATTCTAACATATATTTATATTTTTACTTTCTTTATTATCCTCAAAAAAATTGTCTACACCCCCTTTTACCCTTGTGGAATGCGGCCCATCGTTTGAGAACCACTGCTACAAATTAATATGAAGTTGTAGATTTACAGAGGTTTGAATCCTAATATTTTGTGACGTAATTCCTCAGTTTTGCAAACTAGATTTTGATGGTAATCATAAGCCATTGTGAAAATGGAGCAAAAGTAAGGATTTAGATAGGTTCAAATATCATTCTATACATTTTCTTAGCTTGCCGAGCTTCAGGCTTATGTATCATTCGGTGTTTAGTCTGGTTGTTGGTGATCCATGTTACTTAATTGGTGTTCTTGTCTTGTCGTAATAACCTCTGGTCATAATAACCTCTGAAACAAATAGATAAATAACAGAATATTTCACAAAATACAACAGCTTAACTCGACAAATGTTCAATTCAATTTATTCTGTTAGGTCTTTGCAATGATTTCAATGTTCTATAAATCACTCTTTCGCACCCAGGCCATGGGGACCCCTTTGTCTTTATATTTTATTTATTCTGATGTCTTCGTTTCACGGGACCCTTTTGTCTGTATATTTTATTTATTCTGATGTCTCCGTATCACAGCCAAAATGAAGCCGAAGAGGTTCTGGAGGAGACAGTTCAGGCTTTGACCCAAGTGGATGCTGCGGCATCTGCCGATGCCACAATTTTACTGGAAGATCAACGTGCAGCTCTGAACGAATTCATAGAGGTTTGTATCATCCGCACATCTAGCTGGCCAATGGCAATTTTCGACAATTCCATTTGAAGTTTTTGTGAAAACTTTTTTTACATGAATGGTTGCTGGCAGTAAAATATGCAAATAGATAGTTCAGCCAAAGTTTTGAGGCTCCTCATGTACCAGTGACTAGATATCCATGGCTGCATTTGTAGGCCCGAAATATCATCAAAATACAACGTTTAGTGCATTCAGGGTCAGATGTCCATGGTTATTTTTTCAGCAAATTTCGATACTATTTTTTGTGTTGCACAGACCACATAGTTACACCCTAGCTCAGGGCAAATTACGGCCCGCGGGTCGGATCCGACCCACTTTAGTGTTTTATCCGGCCCACTTGTTCGTGCTGAAATTAGGCTATAGTTTTCATGCATAAAAATTATCGTTGAAGATATCGGAGAAACAACAAATCGTCCGCAAATGTAAATATTGTAATTCCACACATACTATCAGCCCTGAATATAAACATAGAACCATCTGAATAATTTCTGTACAAAAATTCATTTGTCTAGTACAGGGGGTTGGGGGGGTTTGAGTTGAAATCGCTGATAGTTATTTCAGCATGTCATGGGTATTTAAGACGTGAACATCAGTAATATATCGGTAAACTATATTACAGGGAATTATCCCTGTATTATGAGGACGTCGAGAAAAGGATTTGTTTGGAACTGTGCGTGAAGTGTGCAAAACTTCTTACTGTGTGGTCATCTCACCCGAGAGACTAAATACAAACTAAAATGTAATCCGCAAATCCAATTAGCGACTGAAAATGAGGAAGTAAATTATTGTAAGAAAGGAGTGGAGTCATAAGAGATATATATTTATCACAAAATATAAAGCAGAACATCATAAATTTCATTTTCAAAGCTCTATTTTTGACCTGGTAAATCCCCAAAATTTCTCTTTTCTTCATCGGATCGAAAACTATAGCAAATCCCAAATATGTGTTTGTGCTGCGCCATATCGCCACATTGTTTCAAAGTTGCAATGCTTTTACTTTATCATAATGAATTGTACTTGTGGGATTTTATGACCGACCTTGGAATTTTGCAAATGGTGATTTCTTAAAAATAATCTTAAGTGGCTCAAATTAATCAAATGACCAAGATCGCTCCTTTTCTTAATATATAATTAAATTAATTATATTATATATTAAACTGATATGGCAAGACATTTTTAATTCTCGTAACAGTTTTGAACTAAATATTTTGCGCAACAGAAAAACCATCATCGGTGAAAAAGTCGGCAATTTCAACAAATGGGTAATCACGACGACTGTTGCCATTGAAATTTCCATTTCCTATTTTGGATACAAAATAAAATCAATCAGATAACACTTGCCTTCCTAAATCCCAAGTTACAGCAATTTTGTTCGTAAACGGCAGGAATGCGCATCATTTATTCTCGTTGATTTGAATAATCTATTTATCAGATACGGTCATCATGACCGCAATTGTTACATTGTGCTATTTTTATTATTAACGTTATCCTAGCCCAGCTGTTAAGCTTTTTTCTATCAACTTTCTTTGCGCTGCTGCCGTAATTTGCCAGCCACTGTAATAACGGCCTTTTGATCATTGTGTCTAGGACCCTAGGTATTTGCAAATAACCGTTTCTGATCATACTGAATTTTGATCATCCAGCCCAGTAACCAAGTCTGTTATCCGCATCCGGCCCACTCAGGAAAGTAATTGCCCACCCTGGACCAAAGGCACAGTTTGTATCAAATTAATCCTTTTCCCTTTTTGTATTACAGCAAATCCAAGTTGTCGGGTTAAATGGAGACATATCTGAAGTACACCGACCCTTGACCTCTTGGCTTTCTGTTGCCACCACTGTCATCTGCTCTGAAATGGTCGGGCGATTAGAAGGAACGCCGATACTTGCTAAAAGTCCGATCAGAATTTCATCTGCTTTATCAGGAGTGATTCGGGCGGCATTTGCCATGAATTCTACTTCATCAGTGAGTCTGTTTGACTGTTACCACTCAGTCTTTGCTTCTAAATACAGACTCGATCACATATCACTGTTTCAAGGATTTCAAGCGATGGAGGGATTCAGTATCCTAAATCTTCTATTCCCTTTATGGCAAAGTTTATAATTTATGTGTGTGTGTCTGCATTAATGAATATACTTAAATCTTGTTTGAACACTGTAGATTTTCAGTTTACTACATTTGGATGTTTTGAGCACCCCAGAGTGGTTGAAGTTACCACTTGTCACACAATGCTGTAAGATTATGCAAATCCTGTCTTGGAAATAAATTATTGTGGTTTCAAATGTATTATCCAGATCTGCCAGCTCTGAACCCAGTTTTTACAAATTTTATCAAAAGTAGTCCACTTGCTTTTTAAATTGCATTCTCTTTGTAAATACTAAATTGTAGTTTTTACTTTCAACACAGGAGGAGCAACTGAGTGAAGTTCGCGATCATGCTAGGAAACTTTTGTCTGCACTTATTGGGGAGGATACGGATGAACAATCACACGCACTTCTAAATTCCAATATATTTTCACTGTTTGTTAGCCTGTTGTTTTCTAGCGCCATCTTGAGGAAATCAAAATCAATGCAGAATCAGCCTGCTCTGAGAGACAACGCTGAGTTTGAGAGGAATATTTTATATCTTTGCACTTTGGCGCAGGTGAGGGAGGAGGAATCTTTCTGTTTGTTTTCTTTGAATAATGCAACCAACCATGCGATGCTTCATACAGACATCCATTAAATATTAAATACCAGCACCCCTTACAAACACATTTCATTAAATTGTTACTGATTGCTAGCACAGAATGAATGAAAATCCTATAGACAGATCCTGTCTGCAAACATTTTTCTTCTGATTCTATGTTGTTTAGTCGACATCCAGAGATTGAAATTTCTCTTCTAAAATTATTTTCCAACTTTTGTCTGTGGTATACTGCACTTCGTGAAAAGCTTCCAATCAACACTCTTCTCTCATTCCAGATTATCCAGATCTTTGTTTTCCTGAATGTTGATGAACTGGAAGGAATTGTCGGAACAGGAGAGAGAAGGGAAGAAGCGGGGGCCATGTATCTGGCTTGCAATCAGGTATTTGACTTAAACAAAGCTTAGGATCCATGTCTTTGGGAGATTCATAGCAGGATATTCCATCTCAATGATTTGGTATTCATCCCTGGAATAGGGCTTAATCATTGTTGAACCAGAGTCTAGAATGAGTATGGGGTGGTTATTTGTTCTATATGATAAATTCAGGGAGAACCACCTGTTGTAGAGGTTATAAACTCTATCTTGTATTTCATCAGGTACGAGCCAACGCCAACCTCCCGCCTCTACCATCGAACATAGATGAAGATCAACTAATGGAAACCGTAACAGATTGTTTGCATCCATTTCTAAGGTGAGGGCTAGTTTTTATGTGCAGTTTTATTAGAGTATTCACTAAGAATCACTTGGTCTCGGGCCGAGTCAGAATACCTGAATGTACGCTAGGACTTCTACACATTGCAACCGACAGTGTGTGTGCAATTGCGTCCCAATTCTTTGCAATTGCGCCCCAATTCTCTGTATGTTGTGTTGACTGTTGCAATACTAAAACAATTGTATTGACTTTTTTTTCAACTTGTGTAAAGTTAAATGTCATGAACCATAAATTTCCAGGTGTTGTGCTCTTCTGCTCTTTCATGTGACTGGTGTACCTGTCCCAGATTCCTTGGAAACGAGAGATAATCAGAGTAGTTTACTGCAATATCTTGGACTGACCAAGAATTTGACTGAATTATTTGATGTCGGAGGAAAAATGAGCCTGGAACCCTTGATCCAGAGGTGAGTCTCGACTGTGGTTCATCATAGATTTCTAATTCATGGCTTGCATTTTTAGTGCAAAATTGATTCATTGAAGAGCCATTGATTATGGAAAATTGCCAATCCTATCTTTTCCTGTATTGAATAGTACAACATTTCATTTCAGATGGTGTTCACATTCTGATGTAATCGCACGTGTGGCATCACTCCCATACCACGTTTTATATCCTGTAGTGTCACAAGTACCTGACATTGTTCCTTTCCCACATGATTACAGTGACCTAATTGGTGCCGCGGCTTCATTTAAATGCCCTAAATTTGCATCAGAAGACTCGTTATGCCCTACCATGTGCCTTGTGTGTGGGGTCGTGCTTTGTTCACAAAGCTATTGCTGTCAGCAGACTTTGCCTGGGAAGGATGTTCAGGTAAGTCTGCTAATCAATTTATTTTTTATACTTTTGATTCTAGTGCCTGAAAGAGCTGCCATGATGCCTCTGTTTGCATTACTTTCATTGTGGTTGAGAAAGCGTTCATATTCTACTGAGGGGCAGGGTTAGGAAATGTGATACTGCCACTTGGCCACACAATGTCTTTCTAGCACTGCTAACCACACATAGAGAGCTACCATGCCATCCTAGCACCACACATACAACTGATCTGCTTCCTCTATTCAGGTAGGAGCATGCACATTTCATACACTACAATGTGGAGCAAGTACAGGAATGTTTCTTAGAGTGCGAGAAGCCGCAATTGTGCTATTACATGGGGTATACAGAGGATGCTTCGCGCCTGCACCGTACCTTGATAGACATGGAGAAACAGATAAAGGATTGAGGTGGGTTTGTATGTGAGAGTATTTAATACTCCTATGTATTGTTTAGAGTTCAGTTGTAAACCAGTGGACTTGTGACATGAGAGCTGTATTAAACATTATGAAAGTTTATTTCTTTAGTTGGTTTTGATTTGAGCGTTGTTCAATTTCGATTGAAATTTGTACAAATATTGCTTTCTCAGTAATCAAGTTTTTTGCCAAATCTGAATGTTTTTTTAGACGAGGCAACCCGCTGTATCTTAACCAGCCAAGACTGCAGGAACTTCGAAAGTTATGGCTTTCCCATGGAATAGCTGAACGAGTGTCACATGATATTGAATCCAGGAATATTGGACATTTAGTAGACTGGGCTCATCTGTAGATTGTTAATTATTTTTGTTTATTAATATATAACTCAGAATGAGTGCTGGTGATTCTTATTCAGATTTTATTTAAAATTTTGAGCTAGTTGCGAACTGGGTGAAGTATGTAATACATGAACAGAGTGGCTCCTCTGTTTGGGTTGTCAGATATCTTGTTTTGCAACCAACTGATGATTTTACCCCAAATTAAGTCTAATGTTCTGGGTTAGAACTAAGGCTGGGCATTTCAAATTATAGAGTAAAATCGGTTTGAAAGAAAATTTTGAATTTCCGCCATTTTTTTTAGCCACCGAGGGTCAAAGTTAATTTCTCAATTTTTTTATTGGAGTCATTTTTTATAATGAAGTATATGGTTCTTTTCTTTGCATGTTTCCTATTGTGTTTTAATGTTCAGCAAAATGTCTAATTGATAGATTCCATGTTTTCAGTGATTGTGCCTGGAAAACCAATAACAATGAAAAGTTTCATACACTTTAATATCTTAAAAAGTATTCAAAATTTCATTGCCTGTAGCTTTGCTCCAAGCATATTTGATGTTGATAAAATTTATTATTTGTATGTCCTACCCCCACTGAATGACCCACTATATCAGTGTTTTGTAGGAATGGCAGATTCGTTGCATCGAGTTGTTGCACAATTTGGTGAAATGGTTAATTCATTTTTTATTTCCTCATTGCTTAAAAAAGTTTTTTTTTTGAAATGTTCTATATTTTGTTTTTATGTTTGTAGAAATATTGTGGAACTCTATCTGTAGCTTTCTGTTCTATCTCTCACGGTTACTGATTTACGTAGATTTACTTGATTTCCTCTGATATACATAGGGCTTGGACTGTCTGCTTAATCTGAGCAAAATTGTCAATATTCAGTCAAATTGAATGTTTTCTTCTGCAACGCATTGCATCCCAAATAGTCTGGACACTAACTTCTTATTGAATATGATTATGGATGTTGGTTAGTTAGTTTGCTTTCGAAACTTGGATCTTGTATATTTTGCGTATTTACTATATTTTCTGTATATTAGATGATACTTAGGGTAATATTAAATCATAATATGAGGATTTCTTATGCTGCACTGATGGTTTGCTTTATTACTATTGCGGCTGCTGGTTCTATTCAGAGGAATCTAGAAATGGATCGAGGTAATTCATGTCTCTTTCTGTGATTTAATAGTTTTTTAAGGTCTTCAGCAGTTGAGCTTTCCATACTGCTCAAGATTTTATCTTAGAATAATGAGTTTATATCCAAATCCGCATGAGTTTCTGTGGAATGAATGATTGTTGTTCAAGTCCCGGAAAGAAGAAATTAGCTCTATGTTACAGGCTTCTATGTCCACTGCCTTATTTAGGATGTAAAAAATTGAGAAGTCAATGCTTATAGGTTTCAAATCCGGAATTAATGCTTTCTGTGTATGAGGCTGCATATTAATAAAGAGAAGTGTGAAATCCATGGAAAAGTTGACGTCATTGCTTCTTTTTAAAGATAAAGTTGAGAAAGAGGTTGATGAAGAGCTGAGACCTGACGTTGGTCTGGATTACGAACCTGACAAAGATGGCATTCAGCTGGATGTACCTGATGGGGTGGCTGCCTTGGAATCGAACAAAGAAAATCATCCTGAGCAAGATGCACATTTAGATGTTCCTGAGAATATTGTGCCTTTGGATAACATCAGAGGTAACTATTCCAGTAGTGTTATTCGCTGCATTTGTGCAGTGTTTTGTAAAAGTTACTGACCTCTAGTCGTTAGGGAAGCCATTGGTTCATTGAGTCTACTACTAAGCTTAAGTCTGATTGTCAGTTGCTTACGTGATCTTGCATTTATATGACTCATTTTGGGTCTTTGTTTGTCTCGGTGGAGTTAATGTAGATTTATAATAATGTATATGCTCGCCATTCGCAAGCATCAGAATTCTTATTCAAGTGTTTATCGACCAAGTCATCTATAAAAATTTTGCCTTTAAATCTTGATACCAAATTTCTAACGGACACTCGAAAAACAATAATTTTAACAGTCAATCCTTATATTAAATGTTCAGAATTTAAAGAACAGTTCAGTCAGTAACCTTACTTGTGCCATCTTGTAATTGACTTGTGCTGAAAATTCCTATATGTCAGTTTTTTTATCACGACTGTTTAGACTCAGAAGCTGGAGACGACAAACTCCATTTTGATGAGGATGTTGTGCATTTGGATGAGAAGATTGAATCTCCTGACGAAATTAACATGCATCACACTCTAGAGGTCATGTTTGATGAATCCCTGGATCGTGAGGTTGCCCCTCCTGATCACATAGCTGCGGTAAAAATGGAGCGAGATGGCGATCAAAACTCGAACTATCACAAAGAAGTTTTTCTTGGGAAAGAAATGGAAAAGTTTAAAAATGGAGATTATGAAGGTTACCAGCAAAAGGAGAAATTGAAGGATATTTTCACTGCGTAAGTTCAATCCTTATGTTGAAATAATTGTGGTATTTCAATTATATGCGGTTCTGGGCATGCCAGTGTTTTCCATTACCACTGACTTTGGGAATAGATGGGAGGCGTTTATGCAACTGTGGCCAAGTCAGGTTGCCCTAAATATCTAGTAATCATCCACCTGTGTGGGGTTGTTGATATGGTTTGAACCAAGCTACAGGAAATCTTGCCAACAATTATGACAGCTCAAGAAGTCATTCAAACGTCGATTGGGCCATATATTCTCCCCTATATCTAAATTTCTTTCTATATCGCATTCCGATAGCTTTTTACAGAGAAATACATAAAATTGTTAGTTGGGACCAGATATCCATGACAACAAGGTGTTTGCCAATCCTATGAGGATTCGAACCCATGTGGGGTAGTATGCTGTGCAAACTTGTGGTTAGCATGCTAAGGTTTGGCATCATTCATGATGGATTTTACTTTCTCTAGAGTTGATCTGAACACTGATGGATTTCTTGATGAAGCCGAACTAACTGATTGGGTTTTGACAAAAACGCGAGAACATTTCTATGAAGCTCGAATGAACAATGAAAAAACTTTCCGCTTGATTGATCTGGACGGAGATGAGAAAGTTACTTGGAACGAGTTCATTTCACAGTTTTTGTCGGAGAAAGGAATGAACAAGTGAGATGGTTTCAGTCCGAGCTGTAGAGTCTATCCACTCAAACTTGAAAATTGGACTCTGATCACAAAAAACTTTGATAAATTATCGAGTTCTCTTAGAAAACTTACACTCAATTAGTTTCAGTAGGAAATTTCATCATCATTTAATTCTGACTATTGAGAATTCAAGGATCTTACTCCCAAACTACTTAGCCTGACCATTTTCAGTTGTAAGCGTGATAGATTTTGCAAGTAAATTTTATTGCCCTTATAAATGAATATGCATCGATATTTCTACTTATCCCAAACATTGTTCATAGGTTGTCATGCGCCTCAATAATTTCGATTGTACATGATTCTGGAATCATTAATATTCATTTTGATTTGCAGACGTGATGTCTACACTCAGTTGGATTCTGGTGAATCAGTCAAAGTACCAGAGGATCTCGAGAATAAAATTCAGGAACTTCGGGAAAAATGGATCCAGGTTAGTTTGCCATCAGAACTAAGCTGAGTATCGATCCACCTCACAACCATGGGAAACTTACATTCCTTTTTCAATATACAATAAATTTGTTGGTCAATCTCTAATGGATCTTTAGTGTGGTATTTGATCCCTTATGGCAGTGGTTCTCAACTAGTGGTACGTGGAAGATGATGAAGTGGTACGCGAGCAGCTTTCGAGTTGGCCAAAATATGCCGGCAACGCTTTATCTACCATATCCATACTGTATGTATTCGCTGAACGACCTTTATGAATGTTCCCCCGTGCATCATTTTCCTTGTTCATTCCCGTAACCAGCAACAATCATTGCCTCGTTTTTTTAGTTTTGCGTGTTATTTGTCAGTTTTCAGCTGCGTTTCAAAAAATAGTTATGAATTAAATATCTTAATTGTCATTATGTCTTCAATCTAGTTGCTGTAAACAAAAATAAGTCTTGCAAATGCTGCTTTAATCTGTCTTGCAATTTAGGTTAAGGCTAGGCTAAGGATGTAGTGCCCCATTATAAAATACTCCCATACCGCGTGTTTTTGTTCACCGCATAAAAAAGGGCTTTTTCAGTGGTACACGGTCGGAGTAAAAAAACAGTAAAGTGGTATGCACGCGTTCAGTAAAGGCTTGAGAACCACTGCCTTATGGTAATAAATATTGCTTCTTGATTGGGAAACGCAGCCTTGTATGACTTTCGCTCTAGAAGGCGTTGTTGGTTATTTTTGGGATATTCCTCAGTGGCTAATATGGCTGGCAATATTCTCTTCTCTTCTGTGCATTTCCACTAATCAAGTAGTTGTGGATGAATAAGCTCATCATGATTTAAATGTTGTGGAGTCTCACTAACATTAGTATATTTCTGTAACATTACATCTGACTGAGGTCAAATTTCCTGAAATATGTTTATGTTGGTCTGTGACAACAAAAACCTCATTGATAGAAGGCAGACAATTTTCATTCTTAAATCTCGTTGAAGCTCATATATGGTTATACATCAGGTACAGGAAGTCGGCAAGAAGTTCTTGACCGTCTCAGAATTCTTTGATTTCCAACACCCAGAGACAAGTAAGGACAGTTTGAAGTTGTTAGTGGAAGATATATTGCATGATATGGGTAAGTAGTTTATTGGCAAACGTTTTAGGATTAAATAGTTCAAATTTTTTCTAAGAAATCATTACACTGAACAAGCAAGCCATATGGGCATCCACCAACTACGCACAGAGCAATTATTTTCGGATAAACTGGAAATTTCCCGGGGCTCCTGAAGTATGCGAACCAATATGGCCGACATCGGAACGTAGTATGGGTAACAGGTTAGGGTTAGGCCAAATTTTATTCCAATTTTCTTTATTTTAGTCCTATTGTGAGTTCGAAGACAAGCCAAGTGCCTCCCGTAGTATTTGTACCTAAAATTATGGCCCAACCCTAACCTGGTACACATGTATCATTCCGATGTCAGCCATCTTGTTTCGCATACTTCAGGAGCACCAATTTTCCAATACGGCATAGCACTATAACATTAAGCCAGCAACATTCCGATGAATTTTTAGACACAGACAACTCCAATGATATCACTGTGCAAGAATATGTGGCGATGGCTCCTAACGCAGATGTGGATATTGTCCAAGATATCTGGGTGGCTTCAAGGAGGGAGGAGTTTCGCAAAATCATTGATATAAACAAGGATGGAAAGGTTGGAGTCGAGGAGCTGGAGGTTTGTCTTTATAGGAATTGGATCCATCCGGTGCTGTAAGATAAATCTGTTCCGAGCGGGGTTTCAAACACTAATTTATTTAAACATTATTCACCACTAACTCATTCAGCAAACCACATTTCTAGTTAAACTGTGCATGTGCTTGATTTTAAAGCATGGCAGCAAACATTTTGAATCTAATTCAAGTAAATCCTGCAAGTCAATATATTGCCCAATTTTTCAGCCGGAAATAATTTATAACAAACAGAGCAGAATTCAAAACAATTCACATTACAGGCCTACTTGGATCCGTTGAGTCGAACGATGGCTGGACAAGAAGCTCGACAACTTATCGGGTTTGGTGACACAAATGAAGACGGAAAACTAACTTTGAGGGAAATTCTTGAAAACAGCGAGTTTTATACGGGAAGCAAGTTATATAATTATGCACAAAGCATTCATGAAGAATTCTAACCGGTACATATTTTGCAATGGTGGTGGGGCACACAACCACATGTATTGATGAAAATCTAAAAGCACTTTTCTGATAAATTGGCTGCTAAACATCTGTAATATTCTCAATTAGTTGACTGAAGCAGATATGCAAGATGTTTTTTTGCAATGAGATTGTTTAGTGTGTCAGGGCACATGACATACCTTCACATGTGTTTTGTTTCGCATTCACTTTCCACATAAACACAGGTGGTCGGGGTCTGGATTAAACTACCACTGGCTGTTTGCCAACTAGTTTGTCTGAACAATTGAACATTGTATTACATTGTGTAATGGTTTGTCCTACAATATACAACTTCCAATTTATCCCAGGCTTATACTTCTGATAAGTGGACATGTTTCTGTCTTCTGTGTTAAATTGATCTGCCGACTTTAGCAGTAATTAAGCCACTGCACTCCTCTCAAATTGAAAATGTGTTCCAATCACTATTTTAATTTTCGTTAAATTCTTTGAAGGTGTTTTGCGCATTTCAAATCTTGTGGGTTGTGGAATGTATGGCTTTGGTTACCCTTCAATAAGTTTTCAATAGCATTTTTAGCTATTTTATGGTGAGCAAGGTTTAGAATATGATAAACCTATCAAAACGTATAGGGTTTTGGTTGTTATTATGATTCGAGTCCAACTATAAAATACCGACAATCTTGCTATCAAATATGACAGCCCAAGGGACCATATTCTTCCTTGCTGCTAACTTCCTTCATATATGAGCCAGATAGCCCTCTACAAAACGAAACAAACAAATGGCAGTTGGGGCTTTGTATCCATCCCTATTCGTAACCCACTGTCTGGCAGCTTAATAGCAATCAATGATGAAGACCATTCAAACGGTCCTGAACAAATACTATGTGCAATTGTACGACATGCAGTGAATATATATTTTATGTTTGAAAGTTGAATTACATTTTGTTCATAAATTTCACGTGTTGTTGTTTCTGCACTGCAGGGTGAGGTAGAGGGATATTTTTATGTGAATTTATTGGGATAACATCTTGTCCGCTGTTAGGGCTGCAAATTCAAGATTGGGCATGTTCATAAATTTCGTTCATAAATTCATAAAAAAGTGAAGGTTTAAAAGGTTTTGCTCCTAGTATATATATATGATGTAGTATAAGCAGGTTCCAATCTATTTTTTCACACTTTTCCGGTTAAGGTCGAGTAAGGCAGTGGTTCCCAAACTGTTGGTCGCGTGAAGATGTTCCGGGATCGTAATTTCTGTCAAACATGCGCGTAACGCACGGATTGGGAGTCTCCAACTGCGCTACGTTTATACCCAACCACTGTCAAGTACCACGTCCCGGTTCTCCTACAATTTGCAATGCAAACTCGTAACATTGAGTCCCCACTCACAGTCTTGAACTTTTGAACCCAACACAGCAACACCTCAGAAGATCACACGAACTAAAAGAACTTTGTTGTAATATTCAACTTAAAATCACGACAGAATACGGCAATAACACTCACAAATCGCACACAGATTTTGTAGGCTAAACTGAATTTGTAGGTGTGAATAACACGGAGTTCGACTGAATTTAAGTTTGATTTCAAATATTGATAGATTCCGGGATTAAATAACTGAATAAAATACAGAACAGTTAGTAAATATCAACACACGATAAATCCAAGCCTATTCTAACCGATTGGTTCCCTAACTAAATAACGAAAATATCGGTCGGAGATCGAAGACTTATCGATCGAGCGATAATTAACTAATTATACGACATAATTAACCCAAAATCTATAGGCTTCTGGTCCGAGATATGACGCATGCACATGCAAAATTTTGAGCAGATTGAACCTCGCTTTCGTGAGATATCGCGTGCATCTAACAGACATACAGACAAATACCTATCAACATACTTACCGATCTTAAGATCGATAAGTAATAACAAATGGCAGAAATCTAATAACTTAAAAAACATACAGTCAGTTAATTCCTAAAAGATCGGCGAAGCGGATAGAAGCAGATTGCGCCATCACAGCTCGTCTTGCGCCCGCACAACCGAGAGTGATGCAAGAAACTAACTAAAGAGCAAGAGTCGTCGTCGTTCGATTGCCGCAGCAAGTAGCGTTGACATAGCTAATCTCACTCTCTCGAATACGACAAAGACAAATGAACGAGGATACCAAAATACGACCTGCGTGCATTACATCGGCCCCTAAGAACCGTCTACAACCCACGGTTATTACCGACTACCATTTTCACGAAATGAAATATAAAAGCAATATACATATACAAAATTAGGGGCTCCCGAAGTATGCGAACCAAGATGGCGGACATCGGAACGTAACATGTGTACTAGGTTAGGGTTAGGCCATAATTTTAGGTATAAATACTACGGGAGGATCTTGGCTAGTCTTCGAACTGATAATAGGACTAAAATAAGGAAAATTGGAAAAAAAATATCGCCTAACCCTAACCTGTTACCCATGTTACGTTCCGATGTCCGCCATCGCATACTTCGGGAGCACCTACACTACTCCTTCCAATAGACACAATTTACGAATGTCTCGCATGTAACTAGAATCCGCGGTCCTCATGCGTACACTGCGGACATTCCTATCTAAATCGAGAACACTTTCTCGATTACCCTTTTTGGACAATATCGTGCCATTTCTGTCTCAACTGCAGTGTTGGCAAACATTCCCTCAACCATTTCTTCCAGAAACAATCTGTATTTCATGTCACGGGTGAACCGATGTCAACAATCCTTCCTAGTTGTTTCGGAGGGGAGGGGGGGGGGGGGGGGGTGGCACAGATATTAATTAGTATAGCTATAGTAATAATAATTTATTATCTTCCTCAAAATATAGGTTAAAAAGGGGTGGGTCATGCAGGTGTCACGTAATAAGTTACATTTTATGAACAATATTTACAGTGTTAATCAATGATCCTCGCGCCAAAGCTAAATTTAATCGCAATCTCAATAAATTAGTATGTGCACCGAGATGGCGCACAACCTGAACCATGACCTGGTGCACATGCTATTTTCAGGTTGTGCGCCATCTTGGTGCACATCAGGAGCTCCAAAAAAGTTGCATACATATTTATATCTCCCAAGTGTTCGAGATTCGATTCGCAAAATATTCGATTCGATTCTGACCATCAGGTATTCGAAAATGTCCATTCCTAACCATTACTTGTTACTTATCGATCTTAAGATCGGTAAGTATGTTGATAGGTATTTGTATGTTTGTGCGTTTGACTGTTAGATACACGCGATATCTCACGAAAGCGAGTTGAATATGCTCCAAATTTTACATGTGCATTCAACATAACTCGGACCAAAATACTATTGATTTTGGATGAATTATATCGTATAATTAACGAGTTATTAATTAATTAGTGATTGGACACACGGTGTCGCTATGGACCAAGAATGGATGAATCGAAACCGCAGTTTCTGTTTTGGGGGATCCCCTAACTCTCGATCGATAAGTATCCATAAAGTGCAGACTTACAAATATACATTCTATTTTCAGGTTTTCAGAACTAACAAAGCAAAGACGCTCGTTCCTCCGACGATTTGCCACTTCATACCATTTTTAGGACCTCTTGAAGTATGCGCACCAAGATGGCGCACATCCTGAACTCAGGTTGTGCGACATCTTGGTGCGCATACTTCAGGAGTACCCATGTTTATTTATCGTTTTATTCTGTTGCAGGTACCCATAAAGGCTGCCCCTATTACGTAGAAGCCAAAACCACTAGACCAGGGGTGGGCAAGATTTTTCGATTTTCAATCGCAATTTTAAAAATTCCTTGAGTTATTTTCATATAAAACATCAAAAATTGGTTTTAGTTTGACTGTCGCAGCATTAGGCGGGCCAGATTGAATTATCCAACAGGCGGTAGTTTGCCAATATCAGCACTCTCACCAAACGTTTTTGGGTTTCATAAATTCCGTAATATCTAACGATTTCTAAAGTATTTCCACGTTTGAGGGATGGGTATCCCGTTTTATTCGCTCCGGCGTTGCACTTCAATCTGCCATAAATAGACTTTCGCTCAGCGGCCATGGCAAAGTCTATGCGCCCCCTTGAAAGTTTGACAATTTATAATGACTATTATTGAATTTAGATACTTGTACGGTGTTATATGAGTAAAATAAAAGTTGCAGTTATTCCCAATTTGAAATTATCTTCATTGAAACTTTTTATGATTGAGATTCAGTTTTGTTGCCCCTGTCATTAGCAATGGTTGCCACACCCTAGAAACACCAATAGTAATTGGCAAAATAGTAATTTATTCTCAATTTGCAAATATTTTCATGCCATCCTGTGCTTTTTTCGGTTATCTTCGACAAACCATTAATCAGCAATGATTTCATCATATTGATAAAATTTTTCACGTGCTGTTGCACGTTTTATTAGAAGTTTGAATATAAATCACGCTCTCGTTCAATGACCCTCTTCCCCCTTCATTTTGTAAACACCCTTCTAAAATGAAAAGCTGTGTAGCACCCTAAACAAGACTGGAAACAAGCTGCTACTGGTAGTTAAGAGCTTCTCAGTAACCAATAAGGCCACTCTTCAACAAAAATAATTTGTAATTACCGTCAATTCCAGAGTTTATTCGCCGTTATGCCACCACATTTCCTGTAATTTGTAATTACAATAATTTACAGTCTATTCGCCTTTATGGCAGCACATTTCCCGTTTCTTTCGTTTCAAGCAAGCATTCATTGAAGTGTAAAATCCCGGCACGACAATGTTTCGCCCAATGGTCCAAAGTCCACGTCAACAAAACTGCTTAATTTGTATGTTTTTAATTCTATATTTTTGTCATTAGTTGTTCGTCATTCAGTCTGCGTTATGTATGTATTTTATGCCTTCTCTTCTAAACTGCTCGAGATTAGCACTTTCGAATACCTGGTAATTTCAGAATCGAACATTTCGAATAGTTGAAAAAGTTTTAGTTATCTCTGTTTGCTCCCAACCCAAGCAGCCCAGCGTGGCACACTCAAATTGAACAAGACCACCTAATTTGCCTAAATCCTAGACCAACAGGCCCAGAAAGAGTAATCAATAGTAATTTTATGTTTTGCATTTTCATATAATCGCATTTTATTTTTATATGTCATTAGCACTATTTATTCATTATCGCAGAAACGGCCTTGTCCACCCAATTGGCGCTAAATCCCAGAACAGTCCGAACTAATTTTGTTTCGTTACTTATTTGCTTTTTATTTAACATTCTTTATTTTTAAATGTCATAATAAGCAGTATTCCCTCAATACGCATTTTCACAAATATTTGTCGAAACGGTATTGCACACCTAATTTACGTTAAATCCTAGACCAACAGGCCCAGAAACAGTAATCAATAGTAATTTTATGTTTTTGCATTTTCATATAATTTTTCCCGTTACTTATTTGTGTCTTATTTAAACATTCTTTATTTTTATATGTCATAGGCAGTATTCCAGCTTTGTGCATTTTCCTATATTCGCCAAAATGGCATTGCTTGTCCAAGGGAATGGGCCAGTGCAAATTTGTATTTCCCATGGGACGCAAAACCCGTATGATTTTGATGGAAATGATGGTAAAACAATCTTCTTATGGACTCCGTGTTGTTCGTCATTGTCCACCTAATTTGCGCTAATGTTCTAACCCAACATGTTCAGAAACAGTAATCAATGGTAATTTTATGTTTTGGCCTTTTTATTCTTTATGCTCATAAGACATAAGCAGTATTCTTCCCTCGTTATGCATTTTCCAATATTTGCCGAAACGGCATTGTCCCACTAATTTGCGCCAAGTCCCAGACAAACGGCCCAAAAACACATGTTTTGTATAATTTTATTCCGCTACTATTTTGCTTTTCATTTAACCTTCTTTATTTTATATATATATATGATTTAATAAGCAGTATTCCATCAATATGCATATTCGCCTAAACGTTTGTGCTAAATTCGAGCCAACAGTGATACATTTTTTATTTTTATGTGTTATAAGCAGTATTCCCTCATTATGCATTTTCGGTATTGCGCACAAAATTTGCGCTAAATTCGAGCTCAATTGTCCCAGGAACAGTATTTTTAAGTTTTATATTTTGTCCCGTCAGTTACATCTTAACGTTATTTCGTTACAAGTTAACAAGGCTCTGTCGTGCATATGTAAAAGTCCTGCCCCCAAAACTGTTATCAATTGCGCTATATGTCTTTCCGTATATTTTTGTTCCGTTATTTGCTCTATGCGTCCATTTAGCGCCCAAGTCTACTTTATTAGCAATTTTCTAAATACTTCATAATGTTTTAATTCCGTATATATTTTCTTAGTAATCTGGTTTCCGTTATCTATGTGTCATATTAATTCATTCCCCTTTGCATCTGATAAAGTTTCTCGCAGTTTTGCTTGCTGATTGATATATATATCTGTATGTACGCGTATAAATTTGTTGTACACGAATCACATGGCAATAAAAATGAAAAGAAAAAAACACAAGTGTCTATGTTTATGTGTATAATATAAGTGGGAAAGAGTCTAAAATATACTAAGTCCAAACCCCTTTGAAAAAAAAAACGCCTAAAATGGCAACTTTCAGTAAAAGGTAGCGTCTATTATGTTCTCCCAGTGCTCATTCCTAGTGTTTCTAAGCGGCGCCGAAGGCGCCGCCGCAGCGGGAGGCTCATTCCTAGTGTATTAACGCGGCGCCTACGGCGCCGCACCACCTCTTCAACTTTCACGGGACTCGAACTTTGGTTTCAGGCGTACATCACAGACGCCTACCCCCCTGAGGTAAGTCCCCCCGTTACACTCTTAATATGAGTTTAACACTAATATTTTATTTTTTTTAAAATTTCACTTTTAATAAATGTACAAAGCTGAGGGTCCGATATGCTGGTATCGAACCTACGTTTCCGGATCAAGACAGCACGAGCTTACCCGCTACACCACAGTGAGCGATGAAGGATGACTCCCAATTTTTACTTATTAACCTAATTGCTTCATTTGTTGTATTTACTTAAAAAGGTAAGTACGAGCGGATTTGAACGCAGAGCCATCGAACTAGATAGTCAGTACTAAGACCACTCGTTTTACCAACTACGCCAGAGCGGTGTTGGAATAGTCGGTCTTTACTTCTATTACAAATAATCCGGTCCTGCTTGCTAATTAAAAAAAAAAAAAAAAGAATCATCCGAGAAAATTAAGACCAAAAAGCGAATATGAGACGCTGATGATAGGCAGGTAGCGATAGGGTGGTGGGTGAAGTGCCAGAATTGTAAACTGTATATCTTGTGTTCGAAACTGTGTCATCTCTTGTATAATATGTGTTGTAAATACTGTGATGTAAATGTGTGCTTAATAATATATGTTCGTAACTGTGCCATGTCTTGCAAACACTGTGATATATGTGTATGTTCATAACTGTGCCTTGTATAAAGTGTGTCGTAAAATACTGTGACGTACTACATAATTATGTTCTTGTAACTTGTGTCGTAAAAAATACTGTGTACACGCGCTAATTTTATATGTTCGTAACTAACCGTCTTTCCTTTTTGTAAATAAAGTGTCGTAAAATATCGTCTCATGCACATACAAGGCGAGTTCTAAAACACCTAGCGTCCCAAAATTCACATTTTTTTTCACAATAACTGGATATCCGGTATCATTCATTGTCGGGAATATTCATGAAATCTAAAACCCCGCCTTTACCGATTTTCAGTTAAAACGACTTTTTTTTTTATAAATTTTATTCGACAAAACATTCTCAATAATTACGGCCAAAACCAGCAAATGTTTATCAGCAAGTGCGATTTTTTAGGTTTTCATTGTGAATATAAGAAACCATAATGAAATAAATATAAGTTTACCTTTTTTCAGAACTAGACCCCAATTTTACTGTTTCCACGAAAATGTAGCTTAGTTATAAAAGAAAATAAGATTTCAATCCCTCACTTTATGCAGCAGCGCCCGAAAATCTACAAATAAATTATCACTGGAAAACAGATCTCTAGGCTTTATATTGTTGGCTACCATTTGCGTTCTATTACCCCTCAGACCTTTTGAAATTTATTTCCGAATTGCTATACGTTGCTGTATTTCAGTGTTTTTTAAATTAGGTAATATTGTTATTGATAAAACCTTAATAAAGAAGTGTTATATATTAGACTGATCATCTTCATCAGTTTGATGTTGGGGGTGGGGGTGACGTGGATTTATTAAAACGGACATAATAAAATCACACTTCTACGACAATCTGGACAGCCCAGATCCATAGGTTGGCAACAGTATGCATCAAACAGAATTTTATTTACATTAAGGTATGAAGTATGGTGCAGCATATGAAACTTAGGTGAAGGCGGGGGTTGGGGTGAAATTTCAGGGGGTGTTCACAACTTATAGGAGGCGTGTAGGGAAATTACATGTCGGGAAACGGCGGTTTATTCGCTTCTATTCAATTGTTTTTATTATTGATTGTGGCGCATGAATTCACTCATGAAACTTATTTTTATCTTTACGAATGTTTGAGTACCCTTGTTCGTTGTTTTAAGTCGTTAAGAGAGAGGGCGGATTGTCCGCAATCAAGACTTTGATGCCCTATATATTAAAAATAGTAATAATGAAAATTTTCAGAAGTAGTACCAACAAACATTTATAGCAGCTTAAAATGAAATTTAATAATGAAAAATGGGTGTTGCCATTTTGGATAAAGTCAGTCGATTGTGCTCTATCGTGTCATATTGTCAAACTTCGTAGGATTTCTGGTCCAAATATATTCTTCTGCGAGCGTCGAGAAGCTGGGCTCGTCAGATCGATTTCTTCTGCAAAAATAGATAATTTTTCATCAGTGATGGTTTATTTGTTCGAGAGGTGTTACCTATAGACCAGACATGGGCAAAGTACGGCCTGTGGGCCAAATCCGGCCCAATAGGTAATTCAATCTAGCCCAGGGGTTCTCCAACTTTTTTAGTCCCAGAGTCGCATTTCAAACCTCAAAGTTATGAAGAGCCGCACACATACAACGCAAGGTAAAATAGCAACAAACTCAAGCGCGACGATTATCTTAGAACCAGCGGCCAGTGCTATGCGAATTTCCAATCCCTCTTTCGAAATACCTGGCTACGTCATCCGGATCACTACCATTTAGGGAATACTAAAATTAAAAATGATTGCTGAATAACGTAAAAAGTAAAACACTACCTAATGTATTTAATTGGTATATATGGAATTCTATTGCAGTTAAGTTAATTAAGATATAGGCGAATCTTTCACGCCAAAAATAACACGAATAGTTTAATTAAAAACGAAATAATTATGCTACTTTATTATAATTATGCTACAGGCAAATATATTTACGTTTCCCTTTCTAAACATATTCTATATTTAAATTAGGATAAAACATTCTCTCATCTTGCTATAAAATAGGGAACCATCGACCTGTCTGTTAAGAAGAGTGGCCACGCATCACCACGCAGTGGCAATTGCAGATGTGAAAATTTTCGTTCACTTCTTCTTTGCTCTTCAGACCTGTGATTGCTCTTCAGACCTGTGATTAAAAGTGTTACTGATCACATTTATGAGTTATCGTTTCAATATTGTTCGACAACTGTTCAATGGTCAATAGCATACAGCATTTGATGCGGGAAAACGGATAATATGAAAATTATAATCAATAACTTAGATTTGACCAGTATTTCAGCATTTAAAATATTAGGGCTCATTTGTAGTTCCTCGAATACCGGTGTCTACTTATTGATCCCAAATCGGATCCAAGGTGCCAAAACTCCAATAAAAAATCTTAAGATTGGACAAATTTATAGGCTAAATTTAAGCTGTCTTAGTTATAGCAACCAGATCATTTACATACCATTTTTTTTCAGAATTTAACAATTTATACGAGGAATCAAATGGGAGTAGAGGTAAAATGTTTGAGCATTTGATAACGTTGAATCAAAATATCAATTAAATGTTGAAAATCCGTAAGTCACATTTTATGAAAAATATTTACGGTATTACAAAATCAAACTGGAAACGAGACAGCGATCGGAGATCACAGACTTATCGATCTTGTGGCGTGTATTCTTCGATCTGACTCGATAGCGACGCCACATGTCTCATCATTAATTAATAAATAACTCGCTGATTATACAACATAACTCATCCAAAATCAACAGGCTTCTGGTCCGAGATATGATGAACGCACATGCAAAATCTGGAGCAGATTTAGCCTCGCTTTTGTGAGATATCGCGAGTGTCTAACAGACAAATGCCTATCAACATACTTACCGATAGAGATCGATAAGTAACAATAAGCCTTGTGCCCAAACTAAATTTAATCGCGATCTAAATGAATTCCGTGAGATATACAGGGAGTCTTATTGCAAAATTTTTCCACGATATTAAATCTACAACTCCGAAGAATAAACACAAAATGCAAGTTGTTATGTAAAGAATGAGAAAGTGCAAATTGTCACGAAAGTTATCCAACATTTGGATTTGCGTTGGTTGTGGCAGCACCAGGCGGGCCAGATTAAATAACTCAATGTGACGTATTTGGCCCGCGGGCGCCGTAGTTTAACCATGTCATGTTTACGTTCCACTACAACAAAATTTGAAATTTTCGCATGCTTTAATTGTGATGATTAAACTTACCGGTAATTTTAGTAATGCAAGCTCTTACCAGTACTTTTAGTAATGCAGCTCCATACACCACAGACGCCCAGTTATTTTAAAAATCGGTGATATTTCTTCTTCTCGTTCATTATTTCTGAAACGAAATAAATAGAACTTATGACGAGCCTGAAAATGGGATATTTTCCACATTGTTTACAAATACAAGGCTTCTCTCCAGTGAGAGTTTGCTCATGCTTACGTAGATTAGTTGAATATGAAAAATCCTTCCCACATTGTTTACAAATACAAGGCTTCTCTCCAGTGAGAGTTTGCTCATGCTTATGTAAATTAGTTAAACATGAAAATCCTTCCCACATTGTTTACAAATACAAGGCTTCTTCTCTCCAGTGAGAGATTGCTCATGCTTACGTAAATTAGTTAAATATGAAAAATCCTTCCCACATTATTTACAAATACAAGGCTTTTCTCCAGTGAGAGATTGCGCATGCTTACGTAAATTAGTTAAATATGGAAAATCCTTCCCACATTGTTTACAAATACAAGGCTTCTCTCCAGTGTGAGTTCGCTCATGCCTGGGCAAAGCAGATGAATGTGAAAACCGCTCACAGGTATTCCTCTAATTAGTTTTCACTCCTGGACTGTGCGCGCCTGGAGTGGCAACTCATTATTATGTGTTAAAGATGAAAGCAAATTATTTTAAAACTCCATTTTTGACTAAAATGAGGGAGGTAACAAACATTTTAAAGGGGTGTTACAAAATACTAAAAATAAAATACCATAAAATTTATTTTAAGAGTACGGAGAGACATAAAGAAGGTATTTTAGACATATAGTAGCAAACTATCTAACTTTGGTGTGCCAACGGAACACATAAGGCCTAATCAACTATACACAGTCAGTGTAAACAGACAGTTGCCCATCATTGAATACGGCCGCCCTACATTCGATTTCTTCCGGGTTCGAGTATAGTTTACAAGCCAATCAATATACTATTATAAATTTCACTTATTGCAATTTTATCGCAGACCTATGGATATTTGGAAAAGCGATACCTTGAAAAAAATAACCTCATGTGGCAATCAGTATTACAAGATCTCAAATTTGAGGAATTTTCAAGATCGCAAAAATATTATTACTAGAGACGTTATAGTAGTGCTTTTATTTAGTCGCAAATAGAAAATTAACATGATAAAACATTTTAACTGCTTGTATCGGTCACAAATTGAATATCTTAGGCAACAGAAAAGTCTGCTTTTTTACCAGTTGTCGTAATCGCGACGATTATCTTAGAACCAGTGGCCAGTGGCACGCGAATTTCCGATCCGTCTTTCAAAATACCTGGCTGCGTCACCCAGATCACTACTATTTAGGGAATACTGAAATTAGAAATGATTGCTGAATAACGTAAAATTTAAATTTATTTTTAGTAAAACACTACTTAATGTATTTAATCAGTCTATATGGAATTCTATTGTAGTTATGATATAGGCGGATCTTTCACGCCAAAAATAACACAAATAGTTTAATTATTAAGGAAATAGTTATGCTACTTGTATTATAGTTATGCTACAGGCGAATATATTTACGTTTCCATGGATAAGTATATCTTTTCTTTATATTTAAATTATGATAAAACATTCTCTCATCTTGCTATAAAATAGGGAACCACCGACCTGTCCGTTTAGAAGAGTGGCCAGTTATTTTCAAAATCGGTGATATATCTTCTTCTCGTTCATTATTTCTGAAACGAAATAAATAGGTAGTTTTAGTCTGTAATTTTTATTTAATCAACTTGTGACGAGCCTGAAAATGAGATATTTTCCACATTGTTTACAAATACAAGGCTTCTCTCCAGTGTGAGTTCGGTCATGCTTTAGTAAATTAGTTAAATATGAAAATCCTTCCCGCATTGTTTACAAATATAGGCTTTTCAGTGTGAGTTCGCCCATGCCTTGGCAAAACAGATGAATGTGAAAACCGCTCACAGGTATTCCTCTGTGATTAGTTTTCACTCCTGGACTGCGCGAGTCTGGAGTGGCAACTCGTTATTACGTGTTAAAGATGAAAGCAAATTATTTTAAAACTTCATTTTAGACTAAGATGAGGGAGGTAATAAACATTTTAAGGGGGTGTTACAAAACACTAAATATAAAATAAATCACCATGAAGTTTATTTCTAAGAGTACGGAGAGACACAAAGAAGGTATTTTAGACATATAGTAGCAAACTATCTAACTTTGGTGTGCCAACGGAATACATAACGCTCAACCAACTATACACAGTCACTAAGTGTAAACTGAATACGGCCGGCATGCATTGTATTCTTCTCCGGAGTCGAGTATAGTTTACAAGCCAATCAATATACTATTATAAATTTCACTAATTGAAATTTTATCGAAAACATTTTGTCGCAACTAGTACATTAACATAAGAAAACATTTTAAATGCTCGTATCGGTCACGAATTGATTATCTTAGGCAACAGAAAAATTATTATCTACTGCAAAATGTCTGCTTTTTTACCAGTTAACGTAACCACGGCGACTATCTTAGAACCAGTTGCCAGTGGTCCGCGAATTTCTGATTCCTGTTTGGAAATACCTGGGTGCGTCTCCCGGATCACTATTATTCAGAGGAATACTGTAATTAAAATCCGAAAATAAATTTCTGATTGGGGGCTACGACAGGTTTGCAGAACATTATATACGACATTTAGCTTGGCAGAAACGATGTGAACTAGTGATTATCAGTAAATTAGATTAATTGTAGTAGAAAAATGCAGCATACCCATTGCAAATCTGTCTGTTATCACGTTTTAGTTACCAATATTTCTCCAAGCTGGCATGGTGTAATCTCGAAAAGCCTAAAATATGAATGAAACGTAGCGTTATACTTCTGTGGCTAAACTCTGAAGAATTACTTCAGGCGCAGCGCATAGCGTTCAAACACATGCGGAATGAATACTGAATAATGTAAAATTTGAATTAGTGAAACACAGACCTTCGAAGCACGTCACTTAATGTACGTATGTAATCAGTCTCTATACGAAATTCTATTGATGTTATGATGTAGGCGGATATATTTACGCTTTCAAACCTAAAATAACCTTCGCTTTATAATGAACTTTTACAAAACATCATAAAATAGGAAACAAACAACCAACCTGCCCGTTTGGCAAAATGGTCACACGGTGGTAATAGTAAATATCAAAATGAAAATCTTCGTCCACTTTTTCTTTTACTCTCAAGGCGTGTGATTAAAAGTGTATCTAGTCACATTGATGAGTTATTTCAATATTGTTCACCAACGTTCCAATGGCCAATAGAATACAGTCAGTATCTGCCTTGGGACAACGGATAATAGGAAAATTATAATAACTTCAAGTTTGACTAGGATTTCAGAATTCAAAAGATTAGGGATCATTTGTATCGCCTCGCACTACTTCTAGATCCGAAATCGGATGTAAGGGGTTGTACCGCACCGATGTAAAATTGTAAGTTGTAACAACAAAGTCGCTTTCCTATCAAACTTTTAGGCCTTTTCCATAAATCTATTCCTAAATGTCATTCATGAGCTCGTTGATTTGTTTATGACACTGCGTTCGTGTATACATTACCAGACAACGTAACTGAGACTGGACAACATAAATGAACTGTAAAGCCGGAGACTGGTACTCTGAGACAAATTTGAACATGAAAAATGGAGAGGGATAGAGATATAAAAAAAAATTGGCAAATATACCACCTTCCGATTGCTGTCAATTTTTCCAACACTAATTGAAAAAAATTTTCCACTTGTTAGAGGGCCTGAAACAAGAGGGAAATTAAAAAGTGTTAAACAAATTTAATTTATAAACTGGGGAAGCGGTAAGATACAAGATTATACTTATTCCGGCGCGGCGGTGTGGCTCAACGGGCTAAGCGTTAGGAATACGCTCGCCACCGCACCTCTAATTACTTTGCGTGGGTTCGCAGGTTCGAATCCCATGCAGAAATGGTTATGTGCGAAAAGATTGCTGGACTCCTCGCCGTCGTTGGGTGGTTCACGAAACCGCTGGTCGGTTACGGCTTCATCCACCACCAAGTCCATGCTTCCGAAAACAAACAATATGACTTGGAACCCCGACTTGGAATGGTAACCGGACGAGAGGCCGTGGTTCGCCATATGGATAAGCCGTTCTGTCGGCTTTCCTCTCCCCCGGAATAAATATGTAAATCCTATCCTATCCTATCCTTCCTTCCTTCCTTTTTATTCTGGCATCACAAATACTAAACAATATGAATCCTATCCTATCCTTCCTTCCTTCCTTTTTATTCTGGCATCACAAATACTAAACAATATGAATTTAACGTACATCATTGATCTTCAAAATATCGGGTAAACATCCTTTTTTAAACCGAAATTCGTCTTTCAAGTATTTATATTGATAAGATTTACATATTTATCCCGGGAGAGAGAAAGCCGATAAGACGGCTTAACATATGACGAACCACGGCCTCTCGTCCGGTTACCATTCCATGCGGGTATGGGATTAGTTAGTTATTTTATTTTTTCGGAAGCATGGACTTTGATGGTGGAGGAAGCCGTAACCGACCAGCGGTTACGTGAACCACCCAACGGCGGCGAAGAGTCCAGCAATCCTCTTGCACATAATCATCCCTGCGTGGGATTCGAATCTGCGAACCCATGTAGAGTAATCAGAGGTGCGGTGGCGAGCGTTTTTCTAACGCTTAGCACGATGAGCCACACCCCGCGCCAATCTTGATTTATCTTGTGCACTTATTACTGCATATAAACAGTTACCGTATTAATTTGGTCGATATCCTTCGGAAGCCTTTGATTCAAATATTTTACATCAATGAGCCTTTCGATAATATCGAAAGATTCCTGGCGTATGCTTATTATATCTTCCATTTTCGTTCCATTTTGAAAAGTTTCAGACCTTGCTGTCGCATTTCCAATTTGTAGTAATTTGAATTAATATTAATCTAGATCTAATTTTAGTTTAGTATAATATTATAGCTGTGATAGTAGAAGTTAAGAAGTTACTGTGTTAGGGGAATCAACGTGATGAAATATTCAATATAACACGAGCGACACACGGATGCAGTCAATTCTTTTGAAAAACAAAATCAGAATAAATAATGGATTTACTGTTCTTACCTGACGATGGCAGCTTGGACCTAGACGATTTTTTGGCACAGATAAAAAAAAACTTGAATGATATATCATATTAAATACAAGCGATGAGCCTGTAAAAAAAAGGCAACATTTTATAAGTTTATAATTAAAATTTATACTTAATACATGATATCATGATTCTTGGTTAGTATTTGAGTATTTTATACTTTATTACAATAGGCAGGTACTGTCAGTCAGTGGTAATTATTTTCGATCATGTTGATAGGTATTTGTCTGTTTGCTTGTCTGTTAGATTCGGACGATATCTCACGAAAGCGAGGTTGAATCTGCTCCAAATTTTGCATGTGCATTCATCATAGCTCGGATCAGAAGCCTATTGATTTTTGATGAATTATGTCGTATAATTAGCGAGTTATCAACTAATTGGTGATGGGACACGGGTTGTCACTAATGAACAAATATTTGCATTTTATGCTGGCACTCTTCTCATTGTTCTTATTTTTCTCCGTCATTATCATTAGAAAATCGCCTTTCTCTTCGAATATTGGACCGGTTGCTTTGTAATTTTCAGTGGTTAATTAAAGATTGATTTATTTTGCCAAAAGGCTATTACTTTCACTTATTTTCAAAATTTCTGTGGACCCCAAGATATTCGTTTTTTACGTGTCAGAATGAAAAATAGCTACACCTTGTGACCTGTCCATATATCAGAGCTTAGCTCTCTCGTTAATTAATTAGTGATGGTACACATGGTGTCACTATGTAGTAAGAGCGTTGTTTGGGGATCCCGCTAACCTTCGATCGATAATTATCGACTTATAAGTCTTCGGTCTCCGACCGATATTCTTGTTTGATTGTTAACTTTGATTGTATAAAATTGCAGCCCTTTACCTTATTACTTCTTGATAGACTTGCTACGCCTACGCCTACATAAAGTCTTAAATTCAGAAAATGAACAACAATCATCAGAACTTGCAACCCAATTCATATATATCAAAGGCCTACACTTAGTCTCAACTGTTTGAATATAACTGAAAACAGAAAACAAAAATCGGATGTAACTAAGGTAAAAACCAAATTTTACTTGTCAAAAAAAAATTAAAAAATAAATTGCTCCAATATTTGCTCAATAGCGACACCATGTGTCCCATCACTAATTAATTAATAACGTGCTAATTATACGACATAATTCATCCAAAAAAAATAGGCATCTGATCTGAGCTATCATGAATGTACATGCAAAATTTGGAGAAGATTCAACCTCGCTTTCATGAGATATCGCGTGCATCTAACAGACAGACGAGCAAACAAACAGACAAATACCTATCAACATACTTACCGATCTTAAGATCGATAAGTAATAACTAGTTTGCAAAAGAAAGATAACAAAATATTACAGTAAAATATAGGTTCAGAAGTTACCTTCAAAATAGCCAAACATTCCCGCATAACCGCTTCTACGTTAAGGTTTTTATTCAGCACATATATGTTGTCATCAATCTCAATCTAATGCCACAGTCGCAACTAATTTTATATTCGCATTTCCTGTTCCACTCCAGCAGTTGCTGATATCAACATTTAAAGATTGTTTACATCCTTCAATTGTTGGAATAAATCCGATTGAAACTATGCAGTATTTGTCAGTGATATAATACAATATACATGTTATAATATACAATATACCGTATTTCCCGGCGAATAAGTCTACCCGGTTAATAAGATAAGATTTCAAATTGAATGCGTAATGCTAGACCTGATCTACTTTAACTGCATTGGTTATTTGTAACTGTAAAAAGTCTGAAAATCACAGAAAATGATTGTAAAGTAATGCAAACGTTTGCGACAAAATGATGTACGTATATCAAGTCGCGAAAGACTGACAAAATTATAGATGTGCTACCGAAATTACAATATTCAGCTAACATAAACTATACAATATAAGTTAAAGCCGATACAGCAAGCATAAAAAAACAGCTTCATTAGTAAATCTAAAATCTATTCCAAAGTATTTGAATGTACTTTTACAATGCTTACCTGTTTTGACTAGAACATTTCCTTGTTCTTGATCGTCTGCACTCGTTTGCGCTGTCGTCTTCAATTCAATAATTACACATCACGAATCATTCAGTACTAAGCTATGACCTAACAGAAAGAATAACATTATCTCTTATGATCATCGGGCTGACGGACAACTCGACTACACGTACAACTCACCAGAGACAGTCGCAACTAATTTTATATTCGCATTTCCTGTTCCACTCCAGCAGTTGCTGATATCAACATTTAAGGATTGTTTACATCCTTGAATTGTTTGAATAAATCCGATTGAAACTATGCAGTATTTGTCAGTGAAATAATACAATATACATGTTATAATATACAATATACCGTATTTCCCGGCGAATAAGACTACCCGGTAAATAAGATAAGATCTCAAATTGAATGCGTAATGCTAGACCTGATCTACTTTAACTGCATTGGTTATTTGTAACTGTAAAAAGTCTGAAAATCACAGAAAATGATTGTAAAGTAATGCAAACGTTTGCGACAAAATGATGTACGTATATCAAGTCGTGAAAGACTGACAAAATTATAGATGTGCTACCGAAATTACAATATTCAGCTAACATAAACTATACAATATATGTAAAAGCCGATACAGCAAGCATAAAAAACAGCTTCAATAGTAAATCTAAAATCTATTCCAAAGTATTTGAATGTACTTTTGCAATGCTTACCTGTTTTGACTAGAACATTTCCTTGTTCTTGATCGCCTGCTCTCGTTTGCGCTGTCGTCTTCAATTCAATAATTACACATCACGAATCATTCAGTACTAAGCTATGACCTAACAGAAAGAATAACATTATCTCTTATGATCATCGGGCTGACGGACAACTCGACTACACGTACAACTCACCAGAGACAACTCGACTACAGAGAGGCCTGGTGAGTTGTCCGTCTTTTCGCATTTTTACGGCGGTGTTTTAGGTTATAGAAATGCATTTTTATTTGTGTAAGTGGCTTATTTCGCTCGTGTTGTATGAATACAAATACAATCTAGGATTTGCATCCAGATTCATCTCATTAATTTCAGAACTTGTCTCAATCCCAATTTGTATACATTCGAATCAATAATCGTAAGCCTAAGTTCAACTGTATTAGTATAGCTATAAAAATTAACAAAATGACTGCAAGATATAAAGCAAAAATTATAGAATGTAAATAAAAGGAATAATCACGATAAAAAGTAATACTTACAGACTTACCCGACGGCGTCAAATTTAAAAAGACCGCTTTTACGCAGACAGGTATTGACGTGGCAAGAAAAAGGTTTGATTATAATAAAGAAACAAAGAGCGGAGGAAACCGTGAAATGAGGACGTTTTTCATTTGTTATTAGGAACCACGTGGCCAAAAAAGACTGCCACATCACTATATTCTTCGCAACCAGATGCTTTTTTAAAGATTTCACTTAATTTGTGACAACCCGAGTCTGCGAGTAAGTTACCCGCGATCTATCCGGAAGACACTCAGATTTGCAAATTGTGCAGATTCCTCAAATGTGAGGCCAATAATGGATGTATTTCTCAATAGTTCCCACCCGAGGCTTCAAGCAATCACGGCGGAAGCGCCTATACAGATTTGCACCCACCTACTGATAAAAGCTAAACAAAGGGTCATTCTTTTCAATATGTCAGATGTATATTTATTTATCATATATCGTCTTTAACAAGGATTCACATATTTAGGATATGATTCACGTATTTATCCAGGGGGAGCGAAAAGCCGATAAGACGGCTTAATCATATGGCGAACCACGGCCTCTCGTCCGGTTACCAGACCAAGTCGGGTATGGGATTAGTTATATTGTTTGTTTTCGGAAGCATCGACTTGATGGTGGAGGAAGCCGTAACCGACCAGCGGTTACGTGAACCACCCAACGGAGTCGACCAATCCTCTCGCACATAACCATTCCCACATGAGATTCGAGCCTGTGAACCCACGCAGGTGCGGTGGCGAGCGTATTCCTTACGCTTAGCACGATGCGCCACACCGCCGAGCCAAACTTGGTCCTTATCAGATAAATAAATATGGGGGCATTTATCTATTTAATTTACCGAAGATTATTTGATCTGAATATTCTAGAAAGGATTCAAATTGCCCCAGACATCGATTTTCTTATGGTCATCATTCATTCCACGAAGATGGCCTACAGATTTGTTTTGAAATTTTGTAAAACAATCAAGGATGCAATGATCATTTCACGTCTGTGCGAAGTTATTTTACACGGTGACCGTACATTTGAACCCACGTACATTTGAACCATGTACATTTGAACCATGTACATTTGAACCATGTACATTTCAACCCATGTGTATATCCGCGTATCCAATCTATGGGTGGGTGCTAAAACCCTTGGGTTAGGGTTAGTATGGGTTCTAATATCCGTAAAACAAAATAAAAATTTCATGGGTTCAATTGTCGTGGGTTCAAATGTAATTGAACCATTTTACACCGTTGGTCCTTCGGCTACGTTTCTAATATCCCGTTTTCTGCGCAACTTTACCACGTTTGATAAAGGCAACCAAACTATATTTGCGCATCACTGTTACAAATTAACAGATTAATGTAATTCATGGTCGCGATTTCACAGTACTTTCAAAATGCTGTAAGTACCAGTACTATACTTTAATTACTATTTTTTGTTCTTTTTGTTGACGTGCAACAATGAATGCTGTAAATTGCATAGTGGCGAATATGCTTAATGTAAAGATAAAGTGGCGCGGCGGTGTGGCTCATCGTGCTAAGCGTTAGGAATATGCTCACCACCGGTTATGTGCGAGAGGACATGACACGGTGTCGCTGACGCGATGACTCTGGTGGTCTTTCGCGGCCCCGCGTCAATTGCGGGAATATTGTATGTCTTTCTATTTCAATTGATCTTTTTGTTAGCATTTTTTTTTGTTACCTGTCTCGCTACAATATTTCATGCACGACGGAAATAAATATCTGAATCTGAATTGCTGGACTCCTCGCCGTCGTAGGGTGGTTAAGGTAACCGCTGGTCGGTTACGGTTTCCTCCACCATCAAGTTCATGCTTCCGAAACAAATATTACCTAACTAATCTCATATCCGACTTGGAATGGTAACCGGACGAGAGGCCCGGGTTCGCCATATGGTTAAGCCGTCTTATCGGCTTTCCTTTCCTCCGAGATAAATATATAAATATATATATCCTATCTTATTCCGAATTTCTTGCTTTTGTCATATTCGCTATTTTTCCTTTGCTCTCAGGCGTTGTGGGTTGGGCAATACGTTTGATTGCATGCTGCGGAATATTATATTGGCACAAAAATTGGTCAAAATACGGTAAAATTCCATTGGTGACTTTTAAAAAGAACACCAAACCCTATAAGTGTTTAAAAGGGCATGTCTCAACATTGAGACACCCGTACATGCCATTGAGGCAAGAGCATTAACGATTATAAGACACTTCGTTCATTGTATTGGTCACCTGGAATTACAAAGAGAAGTACTTCATACCGACGACGGTGGGGTATTTGGTGTTGACTGGTGTCACAACGACTCAAGTTTCAGAACCAAGTACGAGGCCGACAATAATGATTGTTCCGGGTTTATCATCAACGTCTGAATCCGGATATATAAAATCCATGACTCTTCGTTTATTTGAAAGAGGGTTCCGAGTTGTTATCTTGATTTCCAGAGGACTTGAAAACTTGGAACCGGAAGTTGTGATTTTCTGCTTGGAGATTTATAAGTTTATTTCGACTCCATAATCAGCATAACAATGAAATGATTGATAAAAAAAAATAAAAGCTGATTATGAAATCAGGAGAGCAAACAAAACCTTAGATAACGTTTGAAACGTACGGAATATAAGATGGAAGGTATTACCAAAAGGAAGTGGTACGTGTTCACTCACCTAAAATTATTAAATTATATCACACACGCTCACACGCATTCACACATACACAACCACAGAGAAGTTAACTAAAAATAGTGATAAGCTTATGGCAAGTTACATATATATTAACCCTTTGACAACTCACCGCCCCAGTCAAACTCAAACTTATTGCATGTATTCATAATAATGCGACCGTTCTGCTAGCACCAAAAGTGCTCAAGCCAGACGCTCGATCGAGCGCCTCCTACATATTAGTCGAGACAACGGCTCGCTCATTAGCATCGCCTTTGTACTTTAACATTTTTTTGTCTGCCGCTATCGACACCGAGGCGCCGCTTCTGTCGCGACGCGGCACTCTTTTGCCCGCCGACGTAGAATGCCGATCACCGTGCGCCGGACGGCGCGGCGAAAAAAAGACAAGTCCAACAACACGATGGCCCGGCGAGTGAAGTGAAAAAAAAAAGTCCCAAAAGGCCAAATCGAAGATCTTGAGGATGACTCTCAACACTTCGCAGTGAGAAACTGCTCTATTGGGTACGACACCCCAATCTTCAACTAAGTTGCCTGCAAATGATTTAGCATCTCGCATTAGCGCAGCTTGGCCGCCTTGACTTAGGCGCAAGTCGTTCAAGGATACCATCCTCGCTAGGGTCACCTTAGGACATCTGCGTTACCCTTTGACATATTTACCGCCCCAGTCGAACTCAAACTTAATGCATGTATAGTACTCGTACTTTCGTACTTACAATTGCATGACTTTATCTTTGACACAAGCATATCACTACTGTCAGGACCAACCAGATAGCTGCAACAGCTGCGGTCGGCCCCCTCAGGCAGCCTGGCGCGCTCCTTCGCTCTACCCGAGGTCCCCATCCTCGCTGAGCTCACCTTAGGACACCTGCGTTACACCTTGACAGGTGTACCGCCCCAGTCAAATTCAAACTTAATGCATGTATTAGCTCTAGATTTACCACAGTTATCCACTTCGCTTAGGAGACTTAAACAAAAAAATTGAAAAATAAAAAAAAAATTAATTATTTGTCGCACCATATCAATGAAATTGGAATAGTTGCCACTGCCAAATGAATCGATTTTCTAACCGGGAGTGAACAGTAAAAATAAGATTCTATTGAAAACATATTGCCAAGCTGATTATAGATGGAGTCAAATGCCAGAATGCCCAACCAAGGTTGCCAGAATTGGGTGCATGAAGAGGCGGGCTAGACCACTTCATTCCCCAAATTGTTACAATTACTATCACTAGTTCGCTCATGAAAAAATAGTATGCATAAAATAAATATGATAACATTAATTTTCTGTTTACCCAAGTAATCGGGTGATTTCTTGCGGATAGAATAGCAGAATCAACAGTATGTGTGTTTGCTATATAATATCTATCAAGCTATTTATCTATTTACTTCCATTTTGAATAAATATAAGCGCGACTTCTACCATACCATGTCCGTAGATAACCCGTTTGCCCTCTGAATGACGCCAAAGACAATTTATTTCGGGGGAGAGGAAAGTCGATAAGACGGCATAATCATATGGCGAACCATAGCCTCTCGTCCGGTTATCATTCCATGTCGGTTATGAAATTAGTTATTTGTGATGGCGGACGCCGTAACCCAGGGGTGTGCAACCTTTTTCGCAAGCGGGCCAAATATCAATAACTCGGTAAAACCGCGGGCCGCACCTTCATTTAACATAGGCTTCCTATTAGTTGCAGACACAAAATGGTGTCTTCAAGTATGCGCACCAAGATGGCGTAATTTAAACGCAAGTAATATCCCTTTCACTTTAATAGCAATAACGATGATGCCTCGTTTCCATGGCAACGAGGTGTTTTCTTGGATGGCACCATATCCAAAATTGATCAGGGGATGCTACTGTACATGTGTGCGGAGTTTCATTCTTGCATCCAAAAGTGTACAATTCTATCATTTTTGAGGTCTTAACCGCTGGACTATAAATAAATACGTAGTCAAGAAGCCATGCCCTAAACCAGTGGTCGGCAATCTTGAAGTACCTGCGGACCAAATATACATATTTCCGGTAGCGTACGGCGCGACTTTTCGGCGCTCCCCTAGTACGTGTAGCAAGCTGGCGCACAACCAGAACCCTGTATGTGTACCAGGTTAAAGTTATCAGGTTGTGCGCCATCTTGGTACACATACTATGTTCTGGTTCTTCGTCATCTTAGTACACATATTCTGTTCTGGTTGTTCGCCATCTTGGTACACATACTATTTTCCGGTTGTTCGCTATCTTGGTACACATATTACAGGAGCGATTACATTTCCGTTTACTAACAACCGCCTTCTCTTGCTCTGTGAAAAGCCGGTTGCAAGGTGTATGTGACCTACTTTTAATAAATTATCAAACAATGCATCGTTTTTATTACCTTATTATTAATGTGAAGGATAACATTGATAAACAGATGCGCAGCAT